GCCCCCCCCCCCCCCCCACCAATTTTGTACATGGATCTCACATGGGTGTAATATGCTCATTTGGCCGCAGCATAATCAAGTAAGAAAACCATTATTAGAAAAAAGGCGATCTGAAAGACTTACTTTTCCAAATAAATCACCAGTCAGCCAAACATTAGGAAATTTGTAAATCTTCTTTATGAGGTCCATTTCATGATAGACTACATGGAGAAATAACATCTGTGAACTGGAATAAATGCAATTTATTTTTAAGATATTCGTTTCAGATTAATATTTATCGGAGGAAAAATGTCTAAACGGGATCAGGTTCTCATTATCGAGCCTCCAATTGAGCTCTCCTTTCAAGGTAATTCCTTTTTTTCATGAGTCTTATGAATTTTTATGAATTATTTTCCTGAATTTTGTTTTCTCAGAATGTTTTATCGGTTAATTGATTGAAGACTTTTTTGCTACTGCTTAAAGGGAGCCTCTTATAAATTTGTATGTCTCATTACGGTAAAAAGTAAACCGCATTAGGATCCATTTAATTTAATTTAATTAGAAATAATTTTTTTTTTGCAGTTTTTTGTTGTTTTTTTACCCCTTGGATCCGGATCCGTGGATCCGCATATTTTTGCGGATCCGGATCCTAAGCACTGCAGTAAACTTTTGTCGTAGATAATATATCTCGGATATCCTTCTTTTTCTCTTATGAATTAATATTTAATATATATCATTTCAATTATGTTGTAATAGGTCCCTTCGTGACAGCAGTGACTTCCTCAATGAAACTAAAGAATCCGTCTGATAAGAAAGTCTGCTTTAAGATAAAGACGACTGCACCTAAACGCTACTGTGTCAAACCTAACTCGGGAGTAGTCGATCCAACATCTGAAGTTCAAATCGCAGGTTACAGTACTTTTCCTAATTTTAGGGACAGGGCGGGGACTGGGACTGAGTCGTACTAGGGAGGGGGGGGGGCTATTGGGACTTATCCCCCCCCGATCAGTGAAAGCTATCATTTTCCATGGGTTTTTGGTCCCCAACGGGTGCTGAGCCTCACCCCCTTAAAAAGAAAAATGTAAACCCCTATTCAGACAAACTCCCAAGTATGCCACTGACTTAATTTCTGAGATTTTTTAATTACACTTAAAAATGAACACATTGAACAAAATCCTTTTTTTACAGTGCCAGGAACAATTCACAAGAGTAACTTTTATTTCTATTTTACCGGAGCATGGATGATTTTTAAAAATTTGTCAATGATTAATGTATTATATATAACAAATAGCCTTTCAGAAAAAGAGATAATACAAAATTTAATGCATATAAATTCAAGATTAAAACACCACTTTTTTGACTTGTTAAAACATTATTTACTCGCTTTTCACGGATTAATTTTTTTAGTTAAACTCGCATTTTATGAATTTATGTTTTCAGTCAGTTTACAGCCGTTTGAATATGATCCTTCAGAGAAGAATAAACATAAGTTTATGGTTCAATCGATGTTTGCACCGGACGGAGAGATTGATCAAGATAAACTGGTTAGTATAATAATTATATAACCATTGATAATACTCAGATAATCTGCAGGGATGACAGTCAGATTATCATGGATAATAATTAGATAAACACGAATAATAACTCGATAATCATGGATAATAATTAGATAAACACGAACAATAATTAGATAATCATAGATAAGATCAAGATTATACTGGAGAAAATCAAGTTTATCATGGATATTTCATTAAGTAATGATAACAGCTATGACTACAAGATAATTTAGTTTAAAATCAGATCATTGATTAAAATCGAAGAATCAAATTCAAAAACAAAATGATAATGATAATGATAATGATAATAATACTGATGATAATAATTATATTAATGATATTAAAAATAATGATACGTGTCAAAATAAACATAATTTTATCTTTTAAATACAGAAAAATTATTTAATATTTTAATATTGTTTCAATGGTGTTCTGAAACCATATATTGACACAAGTTTTATTGGAAAGATATCAGTGATTAAATTTGATTGATATCGTTTTTGAGAAATCGATTGAATAGATTATAATTCCTTTCACAGGGCTTATACGGAAGAAAAAAAACTTTCTTCACAAAAAATGAATTAGAATTATTCTAGACAATAACTGTTTTCTACGCGTTAAAATTTTTTGTTATTTTTTATTAATATAACTTTTAACATTTTGTAAGCCCCTATTGTAATCAATAAATTTTTTTTTCTTAAACGCAACTTTACACACTTGTCAAAGTTCCCGGCGTTGCCCTTAAAACTAAAAAATCTGCTAAACACTTTTGCGCGGAAACAGCCAAACTTGGTAATTTTCAATATTTTTATTTTTGACTGAAGTAATTACATAGTAATATACACTTGCAATTTGACGCCTTCTGTTCTTACATTTGAAAGACTAGTCGTGTATTCTTCCTGAAATTTAAATCATGGATCCGCACCATTTTGGCTTCTTGGATTCGGATCCTCAAAAAAATGCGGATCGAATATAAATCTATTTCTAGTGGAAGGATGCTGGCTCGAATATAAATCTATTTTAGAGGAAGGATGCTGGCTCTAATATAAATCTATTTTAGTGGAAGGATACTGACTCGAATATCAATCTATTTCTAGTGGAAGGATGCTGACTCTAATATAAATCTATTTTAGTGGAAGGATGCTGGCTCGAATATAAATTTATTTTAGTGGAAGGATGCTGGCTCTAATATAAATCTATTTTAGTGGAAGGATGCTGGCTCGAATATAAATCTATTTTAGTGGAAGGATGCTGACTCGAATATAAATCTATTTTAGTGGAAGGATGCTGACTCGAATATTAATCTATTTCTAGTGGAAGGATGCTGACTCTAATATAAATCTATTTTAGTGGAAGGATGCTGACTCGAATACAAATTTATTTTAGTGGAAGGATTCTGGCTCGCATATAAATCTATTTCTAGTGGAAGGATGCTGACTCGAATATAAATCTATTTCTAGCGGAAGGATGCTGGCTCGAATATAAATCTATTTCTAGTTGAAGGATGCTGACTCGAATATAAATCTATTTCTAGTGGAAGGATGCTGACTCATATATAACTCTATTTTAGTGAAAGGATGCTGACTCGAATATAAATCTATTTTAGTGGAAGGATGTTGACTCGAATATAAATCTATTTCTAGTGGAAGGATGCTGACTCGAATATAACTCTATTTTAGTGGAAGGATGCTGACTCGAATATAAATCTATTTTAGTGGAAGGATGCTGACTCGAATATAAATCTATTTTAGTGGAAGGATGCTGTATAAATCTATTTTAGTGGAAGGATGCTGGCTCGAATATAACTCTATTTTAGTGGAAGGATGCTGACTCGAATATAAATCTATTTTAGTGGAAGGATGCTGACTCGAATATAAATCTATTTTAGTGGAAGGATGCTGACTCGAATGAAATGATGGACTCTAAGCTTAAATGTGTTTTCGTAATGCCAGCTGGAGCTGAACAGAAATATGTCCCGGAGGTACACTATAAATATTTCTACAGGGTGCATAGCCCCCCCCCATGGCACGGTATCAATCGCCAAATTAGGGAAAATAAATTAAAATCAGGAATCATATTTTATCCCAACAAAATTTATTCTTTAACAAAACAAACAATTCGATATTTAACCTTGAATTATTTAGAATAAGGTACCGGTGAAAGTATACCCTGAACTTGATAAAGTGGAACTACCAGTCAAGGTAATTTTATTTTACAAACAGTTTTTTTTATGATCTGAAGAATAAAAAAAGTTACATTTGACAAATTTTAAAAGGAGATGGTGAAGATGTCATGTTTGATGTAGGGGGGGGGGGTGTCCGCCTTAATTTTTGGTTTAAATCTTCCAATTTTTTGGCTGCACGCCTAATTAGTGATCGAAATTCCTAAAATAAGATTAAATTGAATTGTTATGACCTCTAATGACCTCCAAAATAAAAAAGTTTTAATTATGGCTTTATGCATATCAAAGGAAAGTTAGGAACCCAAGGAATACAGCAGCAGCAACGAATCCAGTGTTTGACCATCTAATGACCTCTAATGTCCTAAAATGACCTCCAAAATGAAAATGAAATTTCGACCACTAATTACTAATTAGGCGTGCAGCCAAAAAATTGGAAGATTTGAACCAAAAATGAAGGCAGGACACTCACCCCCCCTCCCCCTCTCCTTCATCTAATGTGACATCTTCACCATCCCCTTTTGTTATAAACTATTAGAAGAGAATAAATTCTTTAAGAAAATTGTAAAATCCAATGAATTATTAGAAGTGGATTGTAAAGTTTTATAACTTAAAAATAGTTAATTTATGTCAATATTATTTTTTTAATTTAATAATTAAATTAATTAATTTTAGCCTCCTGCACCGGCAAAGGTATTTATAATTTAATTTTTATTTGTTCCGGTAATTTAACTTTTTGCAAAGAATTTTCCCTCAAATTCTTTCCATTAGATTGATTGATTGTTCATTAATTTCCCAACATGTATTGAAAATATTTTTCTTTAAAAATCTCGATTTTTCAAAAATTAATAAAAACTATTGTGTCTCTCATAATACATAATGATTGTAAGGGTATACGAAATAAAGGATTTTTTAGAGGATAATGGATAATTTTAGTAGGAAATAAATAAAAAATTTTAATTTTTTTTTCAAATCTTCTAAAATATTTCCTCCTGAGTGATAATTATGTAAAATTTACCCTTGAACTTAATGAATTATGAAAGAAAACACTTGTAAGTCTATATACACAATATACATACAATGCCAGAAGTTTTAATTATTTTCAACTACTTTACCCGATAAAGTTGTCGTCCACAATTTTATCGTCTTTATAGACGAAAATGCGCAATTTTTTCATGACAACTTTTCAGAGCGGTTGGTTATTTTACTTTGTCCGAAGGGACGTTAAGTTTAGCTTTTTTCTCCAAAAATACCCCCCCCCCCCCCCTCCTCTGGAATGGGAAAATTTTTTACGAACAAGTACGATGTAAGCGAATAATTGCGGATTACTGATCACATGATATATTTGATAACTGCTCCTAAATTTGAATATAAGTTGTAAATTGATATTTATAAACCGATAAGCCGAGCGGGTTTCCTTTTCACATTTTATTGATATTTATGAAGCTTTTGGGAAAAAAATAGAAATGGGAAATGTGTTTGCGTACTAAGATTTAATCATATCCTCACCATGTACAATGAGAACCAGAAGATTCTGAAAAGGGGATGACGACTTTTTGACACACGTTATGAATTTATATAGTCAAATGAACATAAGACGCATCAATTGTGCAGTGTAAACAGACCCATTTCACTCCATAAATGAGTTATCAGTTACTAGTGAAACTATTTGCTTTGTAACGACATCATATATTGTTTTAATGTTCTCTTCCTAATCCGCAGTTTTCTGTTCTCTTCCTATTTCGCAGTTTTCTGTTCTCTTCCTATTCCGCAGTTTTCTGTTCTCTTCCTATTCCTACACAATACTGTGCAGCATTCTTACGCCGTACAGCGAACAAAATCTATATATAAATTTGGCTTGTTTGTATCCAGTAAACGTCAAAACGGCTGAACCGATCGGGCCCAAATTTTTTGTGGGACATCACATGACCACAGGGAAGGTTTATGAATGATAAAAATTAAAAAAAATGTGTTTTAAAGGTTTTTAATTTTGTAAAAAAATTTAAATTCTTGAAAATCTCCGAATTTTTTTTTTAAATCTGCAAATTTTTTTTTTCTTTATTTTAAAATGTAAACAAAAAAAATGGCGCCCTATAAGCCTAGTATATTTTTAAGTTATTAAACTCATTATGTCGGAATAAGAAAACTTTAATGTTTACGGAAATTAGGACGGACATGTATTTAATTAGTTTTTTTTCTAAAAAGAATTCAATGGTTAAAACAGAACAAAATTTGAGAGAAAGAAATGAAAAGATAAGGGGGGGGGGGAGTTGAGGGCCAATAAACAGAACTTTTAGTATCAACAAATTAGGATTAATGAGATTAGCATCTTGTTTTATATAACAAACAATAACACAGATTAAATAAATCATATTGGTTTTGTTTAACTGGACGAAGAAAGATTGAATTTAATATTTTTCAAAATTTTTTGTTTATTTTCTATTGAAAATAACAATAATTACTTATTAGATTAAATCTTAAAAAATGCGGTTTTTTGTTTAATTGTTTTAATGAACCATTAACGATCGAGAAAATTCTTTCTTTGAAGCTATTTTTTCTTTTATATTTTAGTCTGATGGAGATATGTCGGATGCTGTGAAGGAGATTAAGAAACTGAATGAAGGATTGTCTCAGATTAGACAGGAAAACCTTCTTCTCAAGGTTAGATATTATTTGTTATAGGAAGAAGGATTATGGTTCTTAGTTCTAAACAGTGCTTGTGATCGATCTATGGGGAAAATTTCACTATTAAACTCACTACTTCAGTATTTATCGTAATTCGTAATACGCTCTCGATAATTATTCACTTTTGAAAGATTGATAAATATATAAATATTTATAAAAAATTGAATATTAGTTAGATAGATAAATCCTTTTACAAAATGATTTCTTGTTTGATAAATTGATTTCTTATTTGATAAATTGATTTCTTGTTTGATTAATTAATTTCTTGTTTGATAAATTGATTTCTTATTTGATAAATTGATATCTTGTTTGATAAATTGATTTCTTGTTTGATAAATTGATTTCTGGTTTGATTAATTGATTTCTGGTTTGATAAATTGATTCTTGTTTGATAAATTGATTTCTTGTTTGTTAAATTGACTTCCTGTTTGACCAAATTATTGTTAATATTGATTTATTGATAAATTATTTAAATGCTTTGTAAGATTTGATTGATTGATTGATTAATTAATTAATTAGGAGGAAACTATGCGTCTGAAGCGTATTGCCGCAGCAAGCGAGAAGCCTGACGCTAGCAGCTATTCCAGCACTACTGTTGCCGCGGTAAGTTCTATAATTTACTTGTGTCATACCTTGAAGGCTACAGCAATGCTTATCGAAGTCGCACATTTGAGTAAAATCCGTTAAAATAACGTACATTGCTTTCTAACAGATATTTTCTTGAAAAGTTTTTCTCCAAATGTTATGAAAGGTTCGAAAATCGTCCCGGAGGATTCTTTACAGTAAATACCTGTTTTCATTGATTGATTGGTTTAGGTTGGTCCTAGTGGAGAGGGATTATCAACTTTATATATATACGCTGCCCTGGCTATTCTCATCATAGGAATGATCCTCGGCAAATTCTTCCTATAGACAGCCAGGCAATAGCATAGGTCAGTTTATTATTTTCTTCTTTAAAACAATCCATGTTTATTTTTTTAGAAACTGTTAGCTTGATTTCAAGTGACCATCCATTTAAAAATGGCAATGCCTGATTCACAATGGATCAGTTTTTTAATATTTTAAATTGATATATAATTCAAATATAAGCAGACAAAGCTTATAAGGGTACCGTTGTGAATCTGGCATTGCCATCTTCACATGGAGGGTCGCCTGAAATTACGCTTTCAATCCCTTTAAAATGTTCCAATTTTCTAGTGCTATTATTCCAACGCGCAACGGGCTAGATTAAAATAGCCACTATATGTATTATGTATTTATCCAGGCAAAAAATAAATATTTGGGACTTTAAAACTACCTTCTCCATTTATTTTTTTTTTCGTTTCTGAAATTATTTTTTTAAGACAAAATTTTGAATTTAATTATTTATCTTTTAACGCCACAAAACCGGTTTCCTCTTCTAGTCATTTAACCAAACAGAAATAATCAATTCCGAGTCCGAATTTAATGAATTTGAGCCGGCAAAAACCGATTTCAAGTAAGCGCCGTTTTGAAACTTTGAATACAATTTTAAGTGGAATCAGCCATATTTGAGCCACGTCTTATATTTAAGTTTTGGCACAAATTCTTCTAATTGTGCCTCCGAACGAGAAAAATGTTATTTCAAAAATCGACGGAAATACTATTTTGTTTATTATTATCATCTGTGATTTGTCTTTTTCAACCTTTAAGAGACTATATCAAATATACATACTACAGTGAGAACCAGAAAACCCTGGAATAGGAAGACGACTTTAAGACTCAAACAATTGTTCAGTATTAACTTTATAAGTGATTTAATAATTTTAAAAGTTACTAGTAGAACTATTAACTACAGATTAACTCAGAATTACGGAGACATCAAAAGAATTTTAAAAATGTCGTCTTGACAAGTTTTCAATGGGTTTTATACTATTAAACACAAACTTCAGTAATTAAAAAAAATAAAGAAATAGCCATGAAATATGCGGGAATAGTTTTAAAAAGCCACATATAATTATTCAATTGAAAAAATAAATATCGGCACCAATTCATTATCAATAGGTTGAGAATACGACATTTTATACATTCTTTCAATGACTCTAAGGTTCTGGGTTTAACTGTATTTGCCTTGATACGACATAAAATAATTCCTAATCCAATGTATTCTGGTTCTCACTGTATACTTACTATTTCTAGGCCTGCCAAGTGGACAACGCTGGAAAATGGAGTGCTGATAAATCTAGAATGTATAAAACTAAATATTTCACGCAAATTGTTTCAATTCTGATTATACTACTTTACAACCAGTCTTTGGAGCTGGGTTATTTAGGACTTTTGGTCGGCAGATGCCGAACAACCACATATTCTCGAGTTTAAATGTGGCTCAATTGTGCCATTTTAGTCATTTTCAGAGACGCTAGGTTCACCAATTGTGATTTCATTATGTAGTGTATACTGTTAACGCTCTGTATGAAAAAGTAAATAATGTTTGTTAGACTATTTGGCCCAAGAACGGAAAATTTTCTAGTGTTTTTTTTTGTGATTTTTCTAACCAAGTTCATTCCTGTCCAATCATTAGATATTTTTGAGGAAGGATTTTTCAGTCGTTTCATCTGTATATTTTAATTTACGCTACCTCCCCCCCTTCCCTCTCTCTATTTTTGTTCTTTTTTCACCGAATCCCCGAAAATTCTTGAGATTTCACATCCTTGACCCGTAAACTGTATAATGTTAATTCTTTTGTTTCTAAGGTTCGATAATAAAGGATCTTCTTCACTATAAAACCAGTTTATTTTAACAGTGTGTCGCAATAAACATGATAATTTAAATGACGACCAAAAGTAATATTTAATCCTAGGATTCCAGCGCCCACCTTAGCTATAAATCGTTACTATGTTATCGTTTTTTTTTTCGTGGATTTTGAAAAATCTAAATTTCTTTAGGCATATTTTTCAATTCTAACCATCCATAAACCTTCCCTGGGATCATGCGAGGTCCCACAAAAAATTTGGGCTCGATCAGTTTAGCTGTTTATTGGATATTAACTGACAAGCAGACATGCACACGAGCAAAGTATTTAAACAAATAATTTGTATGTTCGGTTTAATCTACTGTTACAAAGTGTGGAGGGGTGTTTTACCTGTTCATGGATATTTTCATTTTCTTAGTATCAATGGAAATTTAAACCCCTGAGGGATCTAATTCTTGGTCGTCTTCTAATTGTCATGATTAGTGGGTCACACTGTGCAGTGTATAGTGAACATTATGTTTAAAGAGTTCAAAAGGTCATAAATGAATTTGTAACAGAAAGTTTAGAGACTTCATTGGAGATAAAATTTACATCTTGCTACCTCACTTGATTCTAAGCATTCCTGGTAAATCACCAGCGTGTTTAAGCAAATAAAACTACGAGGGGAAAAATGCTTAATGCTTATAGCCAGGAAATGTAAATTTTCCTGTAAACGTGACGAGGTCCATTCATAAAATATATTTTTAGTGATTTTTGACATTAGAAGTGTCCCACTAGAATGGCGGTTATTAATCACACTGAAAAATTGCTTTTTTGAAGTTTGCTTTTATTTAACTTTTTTCTTAGAGCAAAGATTTAAACTTTTAATATTAGTTTTGGTTATTATCTGTTTTATGTCTGAACCCGCGATTTAAAAGCTTCGGCTCGGGTCGTAATTCCTCAAGCCCAGCTAAAAACTCAATCTAAGACTCAACTCTTACGTGATTGCCAGCGTAGAGATCTTCGGCTAGACCTAAGGAGTTCGGCCAAATGAAAATAGAAACGATCTTTGTTGGTACGGTGTTAGTGGACTCGTAGAAAATAAGGCTCAATTTTGAGTCTTGTTCTCATCAAAACCCGGAATGCGCCAAACCACGAATATCCGCCAGATACAATATTGAACCGGTTTTATTAGCTCAACTCAGTAGAAATTAGATGCAACTTAAATCCGTAAGTTTAAGTCGTAAATAAAGTCCAATGACAGCCTAGACCTGAGTCGTATTTTCTTGAATTTTTAAATCGCCGGCTCTCAATAAACGATAAATATTGCATTAGTTAATAAAAGCCACTTTAAGAGCATGCAATTTTGAAATAAGATGTTTAACTCAGATTTTTGTAGAGCCTTAAGCAAAAAAGGTTAAAGTTTGAAAACGGACCAAAAACAATGGTCATGAGTATTGAGTAACTTTCACCTTTCAAGAATAAAACTTGAACGTGGACCTCACAACTTAGTAGCTGAACATGGGGGTTAACGTTGAGGAATGATAGGTCAAAATAAATTCGCCAGATAAATGTCTGTGTTTCCTTTTTCAAGATTTGTTAATATTTTAAATTAAGGACAAATTTTCAACGTTTTTCTTTTTGGCAATTTTTACGCTGAAACTTGAAGAACCAAACAGTTTGACTAGAAAGTTTTAATAATTTTTCATTAGTTGACAGTTGAGATCTCTGTTTTGAGAGCAAGGACTTTCTCAACATTGCTTGGTCAATCCATTGTTGCCCCTGCCTTTCAAAAAATTAAGAACGCCAAAGAATTAGCCCAAAATTGAGATTTTTAAGAAAAACTTTAAAAATCGCGATTTTTTCTTATTTTTTGAAATCCCACTGCACAAACAGTGGAAAAATATGGAAAAATTGAATTTTTTTTAAAAGTCATCTTTTTTTGATGTAAAACATCACTTTGTGTTTGTTCTAGCCAAACGTCGAATACTTGGATACACTTTTAATCCTAGGAAAATCGCAATTCCGTTACGTTACTTCCTGATCTTAACAATAAACATCGAACTATTGTTTAAACGTTTTGTTAAAATGCTACAAAATATTTTATCTTTTTTAAAAAGAAGGTGACTTAAAAATAATTTTGTGTCCTAAGTAACTTTGACGTCTTTGAACTTTTTAAAAATTATTTAAAGTATATATCTTCAATCTTCATTCTCCAATTCTTCTCAGCTTTAAAAAAGGATGTCTGACTTTCTCTTATCATTATTTCAAGAAAATGGCGTTTGAAGATTTAATTTCTTTTATTTGTACTACACGGAATGTTAGATTTTTTCTGGAGTCGGGATCGTCACTGGGATCTGGATTCTCTCCAGGTTCATGATTTCCTACTCCTTAAAGGAAATATCTCCATTTTATGAACTTCTCCGTAATCAGAGTTTGTAAGGTTTATTATATTTTTCCGGGTTCATGAATCTCTCTAGGTCCATGATATTCACCGGGTCCAGGAATCTCTGCGGGTTCACGATATTCTCCGGGTCCAGGAATCTCTGCGGGTTCATGATATTCTCCGGGTCCAGGAATCTCTCCGGGTTCGGGAATCTCTCCATGTTCAAGATTCTCTCTGGGTTCATGATATTCTCCGGGGTCGGAAATTCCTCCAGTTTCCTGAGATTCTCCATGTTCAGGAATCTCTCCAGGATCATGAGGATACGTTTTCTTCATCCACTCCTGACGAGTAGATAAATACGAGAATCCGATACTGAAAGCGCAAATCCAGAAGTTGACAGCCCTGAAACAAAAAACAATTTAAACATTTAAATTCTTTACCTTTAAGCCAAAGGGTATCTATTTTGCCGTAAACTTGTTTTCTCGTTGTCTGAAACTATTTCATTAAAAATGGCAAATCCGTTTTTGCACAAGCAAAACAAATTATAATATTAAGAAGAAAAAGTCAAAAGTCAGAAAGTAATTTACTTTAAAAAATAGATCATACGATTATGATTTCATTAATTTTCAAGGAAATTTTGAGATTTTAACGTTTCTAAACGAATATTTTGACCATCTTGATTTATTTTGACGATTTTTTTTACTGACTTACATAATTACATTAGTGATTTGATTTACCGAAGGGTCAGTCCAGGTAAAATCAGCCACTTTTACCAAAAGCCAGTAGGCACCATCTTTAATTTTTTTTCAAACTTTAAATATTTTAAATATTTTATTTTCATATTTCATATTTATATATATATAGGTGGATTTCAGAATTTTATAAAAAAAGTGCCCTATACTTTCACACATATTATAAGATAAGAGTTTAAATGTTATCGTATTAAATTACCGAGGTCACTTTTTTATCATCTTGATTGCACTCAAAATAACTGAGAATCTTAAATAAATCAAAATAATATTGTTTATATTTACCCCAGACTGCAGTACGTAATATCCTCCCAGCTGAACCTAGATCTGGCAAAGTCTGCATGAATCAAGGTTTCATATCCAACAAGGTATTGAATCATCAGAAAAAAGCTTAACAACGCCTAAAAAATTATTATAGAAACATTTCAGGGGTGTATATTTCTTTAAAATTCACTCCCCTGCGTTTTAGAATACATTTACTCCGTAGAACTTATGCATGTTTGCGCGGAGGAAAATAATTAATTTTTGAGTAAATAGTATCAAACAGGATGAAAAAACTTGACTTTTCAGTCCCAATTTTACATATTCCGAATATGTTTTCCATCAATTCAAGTAAAAACATTAAAGATAGAAATATATTATTTTAATGCTGGAATTAACTCTATGAAGTGAAATTTTATTTTCGTCTTTTGATTAAAAGAAAATTATATAAAATTCCAAAAATTTAATATGACTTACTGAGGACAATGCTAAACTTATTGAAATAATTGAGAACCGAAGAGAACTTGAGAAGCAGAGATTAAAGAATCCAGAAATACAAGACAGTAAAGCACAACCTGATAAATAAAAGTGTATTTTTTCCGATAGATTTCCAAATTTTACAAAATTCAAAATTGTTCATTATAAACATTTGTTTTCCTTTCAAAACCTTTTTGCATAATTTTATAAAAGAAAACTCTTACAGAATTCAGTTTTAAAATGTTGGAACCTTAAGATTTTTTCTAGTGTCTTTTAAAAGTTCAAAAACCTTGGTTGAACCAAAGAGCTTTGCAATATAAAGAGTAGGCATTGGGATTTATACGCAAAACCAGACGCCTCAATTGGGTCCCATAAGAAGCTAAAGAATGTCGTCTTTTCTATAATTTAAAAAGTTTTAGGACTTTTAAGCATTACCAAAAACTTGCGTTTTTTACATAATTTGCCGTTAGAAATGTATAACTTTATTATCTTTTTACATAAACTTTAAATTTTAAAACAGACTGCAATGTAGTTGGTTTAAAAAATTTGGCTACTTAAAACCAAGGTTTTTTCGGGCTTTGCTCACGTTACTGGCATACAATTCTGCTTTAGACTATAACAAAACTATACTTAATGACATTCTAACAAATTTTGTTTTAAAATATGTGGTATTTTTCATACTAATGAGATGCGTAACAAAATCACAATTTTAGCTTTATTTTAGCAGGAGAGCATCCAATCCTATCACTGATTAAAACAAATTTCGAAGTTTATATCCGTGTCATTATTTTCCCACCATTTTTTAGCACCTACAATGATTAATTTATTTCATAACTAGATCAACTAGAGTTTTAATGTTGATTGTTTGGATATAAAACCAATACTGCACCCAATGACGTCATATAAAAGTGTACAGAGCGTACACACTAGTAGGATAAATTCCTAATGCCCTATCTTCTACTATTCTACCGTCTTTGGGTTGAACAAACGAACAAGTTATTGCACATCACAAATCAGACCATACCTGCCATGACATAGCTGCATATTGAATATCTATATAGATAAAAAGTACTGGCCAATCCCGTAAACCTAAAATTAAATTAAACTAAAACTAATTTTGAACTAAATCCAATAAAATCCTCAAAATATTTAATCTATCCACATCAAAAATATAATATTTTTAAATCTCAACCAAATTTTAGCGTGGCATTCAACAGAAAAAGTGTGAATATTTTTTTCTAAAGGCAAGTACAAAGTGATCATACAATTTAAGAGTATGATTTATTACGCCCCCACTGACTTTAGTACAGTTGAATCCTAAATGAGCCATACATCGAAATTTTTTTCAAATGCCGTCTTGACAATTTTTCAATGGGTTTTTTACTATTTTATGTAAATCTCAGTATATGTGAAAATAAATAAATAGCCATGAATATGCGGGAACAGTTTTAAAAATAAAATCATTTGGTTAAAAAACTAAATATCTGCAACATTCCGTTAACAGAAAGTAAAGAATACGACATTTGATAAATTCTTTCGATGTATGGCTGTATCACATACAGAGCGTCCCATATCATAATAGATTATCTCCAATCTTTAACGCCAAAATACGCACATAATACTCTAAAAATCTAGCATTATCTGCAAAATAAATTTTCTATTAACCTTATTAAATTTTCAAAATGATATATTCTTCTTAAATTTTCTGATTTGTCCCCCAAATCGTAATTTAGACCCATTGACGCGGTCTAATTTGATGTGGGACACCCTGTATAATTATAAAGATTTGCTCGTTTTCTATTTAATTTCAAGCCCGGGTTCTCTTAAAAGTGACTGGTGGCCGGAATTATGCAGCATACACGAAAAGAATGAAAATAATTAAGTCTGTACAGTGCAACCTGTAATCTTTTTAATTAAAAATAATGTAAATACCTTACCCAGAAGCAAATAAAAGTACCAACAAGAAAAAGTAAGGATACACATATTTAAATTTTGCCATTTTCCAAATTTTCTGAAAATATTAAAATAATAAATTATAATCTTATTGTTTTTAATACAAATAAAGGATATCATAAATACGTAATTCAATTTTACAAATAGTTCTTAAATTCATTAAAATTAACAAAGCTAGATTATTTAACAACTAATCCATTTGGATCATAAGAATTCCATGTAAAATAGTTTCATGTAAATAAATTTTGAAAATTTCTAAAGGGATTGCAATATTTTCTGCAGAAGGTTACAAACATATCTGTTGCAGTAGGTTACAACTATATCTGTTGTAGAAGGTTACAACTATATCTGTTAAAGAAGGTTGCAACTATATTTGTTGAAGGTTACAAACATATTTGTTGCAGTAGGTTACAACTATATCTGTTGTAGAAGGTTGCAACCATAGATGTTGCAGAATTAGTTACAATTATATCTGTTGCAGTAGGTTACAACTATATCTGTTGTAGAAGGTTGCAACCATAGATGTTGCATAATTAGTTACAATTATATCTGTTGCAGAAGGTTACAACTTCTTTTTCAGAAGGTTACAACTATATCTGTTGAAGAAGGTTGCAACTATATCTGTTATAGAAGGTTGCAACTATATCTGTTGAAGAAGGTTACAACTATATCTGTTGAAGAAGGTTGCAACTATATCTGTTGAAGAAGGTTGCAACTATATCTGTTGAAGAAGGTTGCAACTATATCTGTTGAAGAAGGTTGCAACTATATCTGTTGAAGAAGGTTGCAACCATATTTGTTGCAGAAGGTTGCATTAACATTTGTTGCAGAAGGTTGCAACAATTTTTGTTCCAGAAGGTGGCAACCATATATGTTGCAGAAGGTTACAACTATATCAGCTGCAGAAGGTTGCAACTGTATCTTTTTCAAAAGGTTGCAACTATATCTTTTTCTTAGAAAGTTGCAACTATATCTGCTGTAGAAGGTTGCAACTATATCTGTTGTAGCAGGTTGCAACTATATATGTTGCAGAAGGATGCAACTATATCTGTTGCTCTACAGTAGCCATGGTTGCTAGACTGTTCCCCACAGATATCTTGACGCTGAGGGGTATCTTGAACTCGACCTGAGCTGGGAATATCCGGGAATGATTTTCTAAACTCCGTCCTATCAGATCTAAACAGGAGTCCCGCCACCCGTCCTTGAAATAAGCACTTAATATCCGGATTTGGTCGATAAACGTTCGAAAGGTGCTCATTCGCATTTAAAAACACATACATAACTACATAACAACATAACTACAATGGTGAAATTAGGAAAATGGTAAAAATATGCCCCCAACCCTAGATAATTAAATTTTACCTGGACTTCCCAGACAATTTCATCATGAATGAGAAGGATGACCCTAGCAGCTAGTCCAGCACTATTCAGTACTCCTGTAGTGTAAACAACAGCATTCTTCAGAATATCAGCAGCAGTTCCTAATAATACATGTTTATTGATTTAAAATTCGGTGATGGTGATGGACCAAACCTCTGTAGAGATGTTAGTTCCACATTTATTGAAAATATATTTCGGTCTGGGTTGACCCTTGTCAGTTCTAACGATATAATAACCAAAAAAACGATAAAAAATATTGAAACGACAAGAAATTAAACAAACAAAAAAAGATTAATAAAAAAAAAATTGGCTCTCAAATGGAGAAAAGAGAAATGCACTCAGATTATGAGATGGAAAAAAGATAATTTGCAATAATTCACTTCTTAAACAATGTTTTAAGACAATCATATTCCTTCAGATGGTTTCTGCCAGGAAGATTAAAAACAAACTATTTATATGTATGTGTATTAAGTGGTGGGGGTCANAGGAGGTGTATTTAAACCTTTCAAAGAATTAGACATAAACAATATTCTTTTTTAAAAAATACTGAGTTACAGTTTACAATTAACTTAAAAAATAAAAATAGATTCTCATACTCTCATATTCTCATACTTCTCCGGCCAAGGTCCTAAACCTTCTCTAGTATGCTAACTTTTAGATGGTAGAGTTCATGTCCAAGAAGGTTAAAATGTTTTCCTGTAGTCTGGTTTGTATGGAGATTTCTAATGTATCCAATATGTTTTCTCACTCTTTTATCTAAAGATCTTGTTGTCTGTCCTAAATATTGTTGTTAAAACAAATTCAAAATAAAAGGAAGACGACCCTTTGTTCAGTTTTTATATTACAGCGGCTGCCGCTGTATGTTTCCAGATATAGTAATCATGTAAGACAGTAAACTACATTTCTTGTCTTACAGTTGATAGTTCCATTAATCTCAATCTTCTTACTGGTATTAGAGGATTGTATAACGAGAACAAAGAGGGGGAGGAGCAAAGGGAGGGATTTGAGGAACCAATGCTAGACATGACCCATGGATTAGTCTCATCCCACCCCCTACTGAAAATGAAGTATTTAGTCCACTAATAATGGGTTATAGTTTCCTCTCTTTATAAGGAGTTCAAAACAACATTCAGAGGAAAATGCAGCAAACATTCTTAAAACGAAACTTGAAACTAAAAAACGTAATATATTTCTAGCACTTATGTTTGGCATATTTATTGATTTATTTTCGAAACTAAGGAGCAATAAAGAAAGCTTTAACAATATTGTACACCATAGGGCCATTAACAGAGGTCAATATGATCTTATTTCTAAAAAATATCCGATTTAATGTTACACTTATTTTGGCTGATTACCAATTGAGGTGGTGGAGATTACCAATTGAGTACTGAGTCCTTAGCTGCAAATTCAATTCATGATGGTTAGAGCACAGTCCAGTTTATAAATGGACAGCGACCCAGGACATATAAGCAAAGGGGAAGGTTCAACATATGGTCTCAACTTAATACGATCTTGTTAGTCCTATTCTTTGTAACCTGGGGATTAAGAAGCTCTACCAAACACAAGAATACTGGGATTAAGACCACTACCCTGAGGAAGTATGAGCCTGAAGATTACTGGTATGTTGGTTCTTAAAGGGACTCTTCACTTATTTGGGTAATTTCAGGGTAACTAAACATCCTATTTGCTGTTGATTGGTATTAGTCTTACTTTTCAAAGAAAACAGTGGCCAGAGAAAAAGCCGATTTTCCGTTCAGAATTTGAGCGGAAAAGGACAGTCTCTCTATAGACACTATTTGATGTTTTTTTCAGTATGTTGTGGATCAAAATAAATTTTAAATATAAAATTGAACTGTATAGTATGTAATTTTTATTAAATTCATTCGCTTTATTCAATGATATTCAATGAAATAAACTATTTCTCAAAAATGCATAATTGCAAGTGTAATATACGATACATTTTATCAACGTGGAGTGAATCTATGAACCAAAATACGAGAAATGATTAATTGATTGTTGATTGTTGTAGAGAACGTCGTCTTTGTATACATATTTTACATGTTTTAATACGAAAACGTAAATTTCTTACTAACTCAAATATCAAAAGTTTTCATATTTTAATACATAATAACGGACACATAATGACATTAAAATATGATAAATTTAAATTGCAGCAGTTACTGAAAATAAAACATCATTGCCATCTTTGGATGAAGGTTTTTCTTGAAATTACGCTTACAGTCCATTTGGCATATTTATCTGTTATACCTTGAATAAGAAAGTTAAAAGCTTGTCTCTGAGATTGTATTTTCATCCCGAAATTAGAAGATTTGATGTGAGGGAAGCAGCGCTTCCTCCCGAACATTGTAACGAGGAACCCCTTCTCCTCCGCCCTCTGCACCACAGACCTACAGATAAACACACGGGAATATTATTATTATAAAGATTTATTCACACAAAAAGCTTTACACATGATATATGGTATCTTATTTGTCCTACAGTATAGAAAAAACGTCATTTGTCCTAAGCGTAATTTGTCCTACAGTAAAGGGAAAACGTCATTTGTCCTAAACGTAATTTTTCCTACAGTACAGGGAAAACGTAATTTGTCATTCAGTATAGGGAAAACGTCATTTGTCCTAAACGTAATTTGTCCCACAGATAGAAGAAAACATCATTTGTCCTGAACGTAATTTGTCCTTCATTATAGGGAAAACGTCATTTGTCCTAAACGTAATTTGTCCCACAGATAGAAGAAAACATCATTTGTCCTAAACGTAATTTGTCCTTCAGTATAGGGAAAAAGTCATTTCTCCTAAACGTAATTTGTCCCACTGATAGAAGAAAACATCATTTGTCCTAAACGTAATTTGTCCTTCAGTATAGGGAAAACGTCATTTGTTTTTAACGTAATTTGTCCTTCAGTAGGGAAGACGTCATTTGTTTTGAACGTAATTTTTCCTACAGTATAGAGAAAACGTAATTTGTCATTCAGTATAGGGAAAACGTCATTTGTCACTAACAACCTGCGTGATTTTTTTTTTATAAATAACAAGGTTTGCATAAATTTTTTCTTTAATGTGATCTCCAGTAAACTAACCTGCGTGATTTTAGTTTGCATATTTTCTATTTTAAGATAAAGTTTTAACCACAGAGGGCAATTTTATATTAGTGAGAACCAGAAAACTTTCAGACTCAAGTTATGACTTTAAATATTTCGATAAATATGAAACAAAACAATTTGGCAATGTAAACAGACCTCATTAACTTGATGAGTGATTTAATGCAAAAATGCCTAAATGCAGAAAAAGTTCATTAACTAAGATATACTATGTACTCATCATAAAAATAATAGAAACTCTTAGTTCATAGTTGTCCTAAGTCAGTTTTTTCATCTTTTTACAATTCTTAAAACATTTTCATTTTCGATTCAAACTATACATTGTCTTTTATAAAGCCGTGTCTTGATTCCCCTGTACCTGTTAAAAGACTTAAGCTGAGAGAATTTAGTATAGAAACTGTTGATAATTCCTTGTGCCTAATCAGATATTTTTAAATTTCAATTTTCTTAATTACAGTGTCAACCAGAAAACTGTGGAATCTAGGAAGACGAAATTAAAACAATACTTAAGCATTTTGATTTTTTTACAAATAATTTTACAAGTAACTTATTAAATCGGTTATTTAGTTAAATACACAGCACAGCTTCTGTGTCTCATGTTCCTTTAACTGTTTAAAGTCATAATTTGAGTATAAAGTTGTCTTTCCCTTTCAGAGTTTTCTGGTTATCACAGTATGTATTGAAAAATCTGTATTTTCTTTTTATGAAAAAAGTGCGTTCAGGCTTTTAAGCCCTACAAAATATGGTTGTATTTTGTTAAAAAGTGCTCCTTGTAGGTACAATGAGGAGAGGTTGTTGGGGGGTGTTCATCGTCAATGAAACAGTTTTCTCCAAAATTCTGAGTTTAACTTTAAAATTAATAATGATATTGTTTATGAGAATCTTGAAATTTAAAAAGGTTCCTGGTCCGGAGAAACCTCGAGGATCTCTGAGAGCTTATTCTTCCCTGCTCCGTACATTAGAGCGTAAACAACATGCTTCGTTTTCTCACGATCAGAAAACTAGACAAAGACAAATATCATAACGTTCCTTATCAGGTTGATGATCACGCGATTATGATCATAAAGATAACGATGATGATAATCATAATGATGATAATGATGACAATAATTAAGATGATAGTGATAGTAATAATAATAATGAATAAGAAGATAATGATGATAACGATGATGATGATAATGATGATAACGACGATGATGATTATGATGATAACGATAATAATGATGATAATGATGATAATGAAAACAATAATGATAAAAATTATTACAGTTATGCAAACTTTTAAAGATTGATAAAAGAATTAAAAGTTACATTCTTGTAATCATGAATTATGATGTACGTTAATACCAGATATTTTAAAGATGAATAAATACCTGAATCCTAGATACAGGTTTCTCTAACCAGATTGCTGCCAGTTCCATAAATATATCTCCTCCTGTTCTTATTGCCTTCAATATTAGAATTCACAGTTTTAATGCACGCTGCCACGCATGAATCTGGGATAAAAAGGTTTAAAATTCACACAGTTTAATAATGTAATTTTTTATCAAAGTTCTTCAATTATTCCATGAAAATACTTAAAATTAACTAAACTAAAATTATAAGTTTCCATTGTCTTTAATAAAAATCCCCATGATGTAAACCTTTAATTTTTAAAACTTTGATTATATAAAGTAAGGCGAAAATACAAGTAGTTCAAAGTATTAAAGGTCATCAAAATTAAGTTGCTAAGATACAAGGGTTAGTACAAGGATTAGAAAATAAGAGTTTGAGGTGAGGGTTCAGGTCCTTTTTGAATGTGAATTCTGTTCCTTAATGAGTATTGGATCTCCTGACAGATGAGCTAATATTCTTAGTTCAATCTGCTCATAATCTACCAAACAAACCAGTTTTGTACACTGTACACTGTACGTGGTGACATGATTTAAATAACAGGATAAAAAATGAGAAAAATTTTCTAAATCAGGTTGATCCTCTATTCAATTTAAATCCAATGAATCAAGCACTGAATAATATAAGAGGTTGCTGTAGTATAATTTTTTTTTTAAAAATCTTTAAGAAGAAAATGTTTTGGCTGGTTGATTATTCCTGCTGAGACGAGAATATATCCAGGATTCGGAACAAATGCTTTGCGTAGGTGAACAGTACAGGTATCCAGGATTATATCAGTTTTAGGGATTGCCTGAACATAAACAATAGTTTAGGGATTGCCGAGACACACAATAGTTTAGGGATTGAGTGGGCATTAACAATAGTTTAGGAATTGCATAAGCACCATCATAATATAGTTTAGGGATGGTTTCTTATATATTGATATATTTTCAGGAAATTTAGTATTAAAGTAAATGTAAAGATGATAAACTTATAAAAATACATTTGATTTCAATCTTTGCAACTGTATCTTGATCCTAAATTTTCAAAGAATTGATTAAAGATCTGCAATCTACATCTTTCATGGTTTATTATGATAAAATTTAACCTGTAGGTTCGGAGCAACCGATGTGATTCTTCCGGTTGCTGCTCCGATCTGATCCCAGGTTGTGTGGATCCGTCCTCCCTCATTATGCTGCAGTAAACCTTAACCCAAGGTTTGGATCTTTTTTTAACCCATTAATGTTTAAACCTTAGGCCCGCATTTAGGATTGTAGTTCGAGAGAGATGCTGCAGTGGGGGTGGGGGGGAGAAAGTAAAATTATTAATATGCCTATTGCCTACCCTGGGCCATTTTGTTGCCCGTCCCCCTTGGCCCTTAAGATGCTCTAATCTTCCTTTGGGGCGGAGTGGATACCTAATAAAACCCAAGAAAGGTGATGAAACCAATCCAAACCAGCTAAACAAGAGTGTAGAGCATCTTTGGCTATCAATGATATCTCACAACCATTCCATTCCCCTGAGGATGATAGGCAGTTGTAGTTGAGTGGATATGATATCCAGTGAAACATCAAGGCATCTACTAAATCTTTTGTGTTGGTGGCGGAGGGAGGTAAAGCTTCCGCCTAGTGTGTAGGTCTATCAATTATTGTGAAAATATGAGAGAAACCATGCAAGCAGGGTAAAGGTCCAACTATGTCTACATGTATATGAGAAAATCGTCTTGAAGGAATTGGATTAGTTTGAACTTCTGCTCTGACCTGTCTGTAATTTTTTCCTTTCTGACACTCTTCACAGCTTTCACATCATATCTTAACATCACCATTTAGATTCTTCCAGACAAATCTAACAGATATTATCCCTCTGGTTGCTCTGACTCCAGGATGAGAAGCAGAGAAAATTTCCAATCTTACTGTGTCTGGTACTTGAGGGTGTGGTGTTCCTGTTGATACATCACACAATATCTCAACATTCTGTACTTCTATCTTCAGACTAGAAGAGGCGTTGTGCTGAAGGACCAATGGCTTGCTGAGCAGCCAATGTTGGTAATCAAGTCCAAGTGGAGGATTTGAACTTAGCCTGGAAGTTATCCATGCAGTCCTTGGGAGAAAGGATGCAGTTAAAGTCTCCTGTAATGCTGAGTTTATTAGATCTGATAGAGAGGTTCTTTAAGATGATTCCCCCACATAATTCTCTCCTTGCCTTCCTCTTACTGTTCCCACTCAGAGCAGTTAAAAAGTCAAACTTGGATTCTAAGTTAACTAGGAGGAGTTGACCTGTACCCAGGGGAAGGATTTTCTGGACAGAAAGTGTGAATTTATCAAGGACTACAACTCCTGGCTTGTCCTGGGGGCCAAGACTGGAAACTTCTTAGTATTGATATCTTTGCACAAGAGTGCAAAGTCTGGAGTGTTCTGTTGCAGAAAAATAATACCCTGTCTGCAGTAGCAGGAAATTTAAAGTGATTCTGTATATGTGGTTTTAAAATGAAACAAGAATAACTGAACAATAATTTATTACTTTAAATACAAATATATAAGTTCCACTCTTGAAAATAGAGAGCTCTGTGGCACTGATAGATTCGCAAGACTCTTCCGAACTAAACAAAAGTTAGGTTAAACAAGCAATTAAAAGTTTACAGCCATAAGGGTCCCATAAAAGGTCCAATAGTTACAGCTGTAAAGAAGCTAAAGTTAAGCTTATAATTCATAAGTTTAAAGCTTAAACCATGGTATTAACCAAACTCAACTCTGTTTACTTTAATTGGAATGCAATAATGGTGCTAATCAATAAATTATTATGGCTATTATGGCTGGTGACTCGGTAATTATGAGGACCACTGTACTTTTAAAAGTAATACTTTTGAGAAAAAACTCGGTAATTATGAAGACCACTGTATCTCTCAAATTAAAACCATGTAATAAATTGCATGGTAAAACTTTTGCATAATAAATGCAATGAATAAAAATTGGCGAACTTAAAAGCATTTTGCCAATAATTGCAATGTAAAAAGTTGCAATAAATAAGAAAGGTTGCAATAACGTTGCAAAAATTAAAGATATCGCTGCAAAAGTTGCAATAACGTTGCAAAATGTGGCAAAACGTTGCGAAATGGAATGAATTGCTGAAACTTCCAAGAAGGCAAATTTCATTAGTTTCAAAAGAATTGAGTTGCAGAAACTTCCGAAAAGGCAAATTTCATGGGTTGCGGAAACTTCTAAAAAAAAGCAAATTTCAAGTAAACTTAAATAAAGGTTTATGCTTACTTTTCCGGGCAGAACCACAGATGAAGAGATGAATTTGCAATAAAGATGCAATTAAAGAACAGTGGCAATCCACAAAGATAGAAATAAAGATTCTAATCAGAGATAATAACATTTTACGACTTTTCACGTGAAACATTAAAGTTTCGGCTCATTAAAGTTTAAGGCTCATTTTCACGCCAAGAATAAAGAAGTAAACATGTTTATACCGACCTCTAAGCTCCGGATTCACAACACAACTGGCGTGTTTGTTTACATTTTCATTCATCAAAAATTTTCATACAACATGTTCTGCATACGGTTTCCAGCAAGGGGTGAATTGTTTCATGAAAATTTCAAATTTTATCTGATTTGCAAAAGTTCCTGAAAAATGTTAAAATTTCACAAAAAAAACTGAAGCAAACATTTCAGGGGTAATATATGCAAAAATTTAGCAAAAAAAAATATGTCAGAGAAATTATTAATTATGATATAATAGAACTTATAATGCAGAGCTCTCAGAACTTGAACCAGGGACCAAGCATAAGAAGGATTTCCTTGAGAGGAAAAACTCTCACTAGGCCTTTTCTCAGAGAAGTCATCATATTTAACTTGATCTGAAACCACTCCTGAGTGATCCATGGGACAGGTGATGAAGTAATCCACTCATAGTATATTAATGATTAACATTGAAAGATATTATCTTCATCATTTTGGAGGTTTAGAGTTGTGACATCATTTCACCCTTTTACCAGAGAGTTGTATGATAAGTTCAGGATCAACTCTGAGGAAAAACTCTCAATAATCTCACTAGGCCTTTTCTCAGAGAGGTCATTATCTTGAACATGATAAGAAACCACTCCTAAATTATCCATGGTTTCATCATGCAACAAAGAAACATATTCTGATCACTGCAGAAATTCAGAATCCTCTCTTCCTTGTCCCAGAGGAAGAGTTTCAGCTGATGCTGAAGAATTCTCAGTCCCCTGACTGGGGAGGAGGGGGTGTAAGTGCTTGTTTAAACTGCTGAGAGTAGAGGACCCAGTTGCCTTATCTGGCATTTCAGCCCTAGTGGTTGAACTACTAGGTGTAATCCTAGTCACCTGAGGAGGTGAAATGAGAGCAAGCGGTGTAGAGGACCTGGTTGTTTGACTTGAAAGGCATCCCCAGTGGTTGTACTACCAGGGTTAGAGACACCACTAGACAAGAACTGGTGCTTTCAGCAGATGAAAGCTGAACCTTATTAATATTATATTTTAAACTATCAATACAGTTTCAATATATACAATTTTAACAACTACGAGTTTAAGAATGGCATGATAAATACAATATTAATTGTATTAATAAACATTATTATAATAAAACATTGTAATTTTAGTTGAAATAGTAGAGATTGCAATTTTGGTGGCATCCACATGGTAAAGGTTTTTAACCAGATCTAGCTGAGCAGGAGTCTTGTTGATATAGTCTATGGAGCTCAGCAATCCTACCACTCCAAAGAGGATATTCTAGGGAGTTGTTGAGCATAGATGACCAGCACTTAACACATTTGGGGAACAGTGTTTAATCTTCTCACAAGAACCTTGGAGAGCAGTTAAAATCAGTGTACATTCAGGTTGGTACACCAGTATAAGATCTCTGTCTCCCCTGGAGCAAAGTTTAGAAGAATCCAGTAATCTCTTCTTCATTAATCTTCCTATTCTGCACCTCAGTGCCATCTATCAACATATAGCCAAGATTAGAAACCTTTCCTTGCTTAAACTCTTTTCCCACACTGTACAGAGAAACAATATACTGCTCCAGGTGGCCCTTAGACCTAGATCCAGTAGCAAGGTCAAGTAGAGAGAAGAAGTGAGATTATGTTTGTCTCCTTTTTCTAACCCTATGAAAGAAAACTGCTGAAGAAAATATTTTAACCCTGGCTTAACAAACTCATCCCACCAGAAGGCAATATTGGCATAATAGCCCATGTTGTTGAGACTAATCTATCCCATACATTTTGAAAATTCAAGATGATATCAGGATATAGTAGGATATACACATTCATCTTCCATAGGTGAACCACAACCAGGGCCGCAGGATCTGCAGCCCTGCACTCAACAGCTAACACCATGTGATCTGAGGTGGTTTCTGAGTGAGTGATGTCAATCAAAATAGAACTATCTAGTGGGTAGATAAATTCTATCCAACCTGGAGGGAGGGGGGGGAGCTGGATATATTTTAAGTGAAAGCTATATCCATAGGATATTTGACCCTATACGCATCTAAGTATCTTAACAAGTTCACTTTTTCACTTAGAGCAAAGCTGCTTGTTCTTGAAATTATCAATGTTACCTTGCCTTGTATCTGTGCAAAACAACATTGAAATCACCAATTATATGGGAACATTTCCCCTTATCTACAAGTTTCTTAATAAAATTTCACTGGCAAATTTTCTCCTTTCAGCTTTAAGAGAAGTGCTCAAAGAAGCATAGATATTGATGAAAGAAAAGTATCTTCTAGGATTTATCAGTAAAGAGCTCCAGGTTCCAAGAAAAGTATATATAGAGTTTCCCTATACAGTACTGCAACCCTATACTCCCTCTCCTCACATAAACTTGAGAAACCACTGTATCCAAACCTGTTAAAGGTGTGATTTAGGGAATCTCTGATTTCAATACATTCTTACAAGAATCCCAAATCAGGGAGATCTGATCTCAACTTGTCACGTGTATTTCCAAAATCTGCCTTCTGATTCAGATTTAGTGACCAGATAGCGAAGTTAAGGTTCCATTGATGAGTCCTTAGTAGTAGGTTTGAATTTTATGCATTATTTTTTCCAAGATTAAGGAGAGGTTTCACTGGCTTGCCAACTTGTAGTGGGCAAGATTTACAGAAGTTTTACTGCGGGAGAGGGGAAATAACTTTAGAGGAAGGGGAAGGCAGACCTAGAAGATGGTGGGGGTGCCATGCTCTGTCTATGTCGTTTTTCCATTGAACAAAAAAGTAGAAAGAATATCTCTGGAGCAGCTCTACACAACAAAGGAGCTTGATGGCCTGGGCTTGGTCAATGTCCAAGTAAAGTGCCGAGTACTACTAGCAAAAACAGGATATGGACTAAAATATATACCTACATATACATATACACATATATATATATACATATACATATACAATTGAAAGTTGTCTTTATTGTATTGATATATACGAGGACGTCGGAGTAAGAAGAAGGTAACAAACATGTAATCTACTTTAAGGCATGTGGTGCAGGATTAGTGACGCAACCACAATTCATGTGTTCATACAGTGTAGAGGGCTGGTTGAGATCTAAGAATGGCTGAGAGCAAAAATCTTCTGGCTGAAAATCCCAAGAAATAAGTATTAATTGGAAATATCCTACCTCAGCACAAATATAACAAAACTATGGTGGGAGTTTCTAAAACAGGTAAGGATTCTGATGGTGAGAAGGCTGGAAGTGCTAATCCAAGCAAGAGTTTGGCAAAATAAAGAGCAACAGAATTTTCCCACATGTAATCTACCATGATAATTGTATGATCTGAAAAATTGTAAAATAGATAATATGTACATGCAAAAACTGTTAAATTAGAAGATCAAATAAATATTTTTTTTAAATCAAGCGATCTGAGTTCAAATCTTGGTGAGACCTCAAACTTTTTCATTGCACTCAGAGAAATGTGTCCCATATGATGATGTTCCTTCAAAGATTGCAATTTCTGACAGGCCGTGATAGCTCAGTTGGGAAAGCATCCCCTATTTGATCCCAGGTCAAGGCATTTTTGTTATTTTCAATCTTAAATCAAAAAGTAAATCCAGCACATTTGTTTAAGATTTTATTCTCAGCACCTGTTTTCAAAAGGGTAAGTTTAAAGCAACAGTGAGAATCAAACTCGCGATCTCCTGCTTACTAGATAAGCCATGGTGCCGGATTAATGAAGTTTGAAAAGATTTTGACATACTTTTGCGTCTAAAGGCTGGGTTGTTTGCAACAATTGTTTCTTCTATAAAACAGTTAGTCACTCAATCTCGGGCTCAAACCCTTGACTCTGAGTTTAAGAGTCTCATTCTCTACCGACTGAGGTGGCAGCCGGGCTTGTTGCTGTGAGGAATTGTAGCACTTAGTTAATTTAACCAAAATCAGTAAAGACATAAAAATAAATATCCAGCAACCTGGGTTCAAGTCTTGGTGATAACTCTAACTTTGTTCATTGCATAAAGAAAAATCTGTTCCATGCAATGAATTTCCTGTTAAAAAGTATAATGTGAGAACTTGCAGGCAAACTGGAAAACAGTGAGATTTAAATTCAGGTCTTATAGATAGGCCCTTCATTTATCTGTAAATTATCAACATTCATTTGTTACAAAAAAAAAATCTAACATCTAATGCTGAATGAACTACTTGAGAAGATATTAATCCAAAAAATTGGGTTTGCCTTGAATATAAGCAGCCTGGGATTTAGAAAGCTGTCTGTGCTTTAAGATCAATCCTGGAAGAACATTAATAAAAAAGGTTGATTAAGATAAAGCAAGACAACAAGGAAAGATGTAAATATCAAGATAAGTTATCATCAAATTAGTTAAGTTATTTACTGTGAAATGAACAAAAGTCTAAATAATTTTAAATCTATATAATAGAAAACATAAAGGGCTGAATTAAAAAAGATAAAATTAAATGGAAGAGATCTGGGCATCTGACCAGTGTCATAGCACTTGAAGGAGCGGGGGAAGGCAGGCGGCCATGAGCCACCACTATTTCCCCTTCCGTGCCACATATTAGCTTTTTTCTCTTCTGGCAGCCATGAGCCACCACTATTTCCACCTCCGTACCACCACATTTGACTCTTCCGGGCAAAACTACTTTTTTAAATGGTATATTTAGGGCCTTTAAAGTGTGATTTTAAAAAATCCAGCCGCGTCACGCAAAGAAGCACAACTCAAACCATTTTTTCAATTCTACTTAAGATTAATATTCTGTGTGTTGAATTCTTAAGCTGTTTTACAATGAAACTTTTGACAAATTTGACTGAGTATTGCATCTTGAAATATCACAAAGTCTAATGATTATTCAATTACTGACTCATTATACTAAATCAATCTTAAAACCACTCATTAACCAACTTAACCAACTTCTTTGCGTGATGCGACTGGATTTTTCTTCTTGACTTACCTGGAACTGGGTGAAAAGGTTCTAGTTTTTTCAGTGCAGCTTCACTAGAAGATTTCAGTCCTCCTGCAGTCTTACCCACATTGACTCCAGATACAGTATCCAATCTTAGGATATCATACAATACTTCTCGCACCTATATATTTATGCTGGATATATTATCAAATAAGGACGGTGAAGGCAACCCACACCAGTTTTCCTCCAACCTCCAAAATGACATCATAAAATGGTGTTTGCATCCTATTACTTCTAAAGCGTCTGACCCTCACCCATTTTCCCTTCCAATAAAATATGCTTAAGTTTATATTTTTAAAGACATCATGGCATCTTTTATTTAATAAACCTATTCATCAGACTTTTTTGTAAGTTGTAAAAAAATGCACTTTTTACAACTGTTGCTTCTCACGGCCAGGAAATGTGCTAATATCACCAATATTGGATACTCCAGTATAATTAGACAATCTTAGTTGTTTAAATATAGGCATTAAGTCAGGGTTACCCTCAAACTATGAGACGCTTCTGACAATTTAGATCTCTTTAATTTAGTAATCATTCTGTTTCTAAAACTTATACTAAAACCTGTTTAGAAGATGCCAGATTAAACTTAGTTCCAGCTAAGGCGTGGCATTCTTCTTCCACGTGCTTTGCCTCAGCAGTAAGCAACTCACCGATCCTAGAAAAATATTTAGCTTCTTTATTAATCTCTGATATGAAAATATCATAAAGAGAATATTTTGTTTTGAATAACGATTAAAACAAATCTTTTTTAAGGAAGAGTTTGGTTGATATTTATGGGTTATACTTATCCTCTCAGATATACTTCAGAAAAAGAAGTTCAAGATTTTAAACTGAAATGAAATGATAAAAATTCTTTTTAGACATCTGTATGGTTTTAGATAGAAAGTCTAAATCTATCGTGAATCTTTAAATGAAGGGTCAATTAGAGTTATATCAATCTATATCTTCTTGTTCCCAACCTGTTTAGTTCTCCTTGGTCAATGCTCACTCCAGTTCGTTCCATCCCAACCAGAAGAGGGAGAAGGCGCATCTCTGTCAGATAGAACACGTCCCATAGCTTTTCCAGGTGCAACTGCTGGAACATCCTCTCAGTCAGCTCTGAGACAGTATCTAGGTCCTAGATACCAGAGAGCATGGCTAGAATCCTCACTTTATTTTAAGGTTTGTTAGTAAACATATCCTTAACTCCAATTTTGTGTCACTGGAAACTAGAAACTAAGCATTCCCAATCAAATTAATCCACTCAATTTAAAATTTTTAAACCAAGTTAAGAACATTTCTCGAAACAAAATTTGAGCAAGTCGGTCAAGGGTATATTGGTTTTAATTGGACAAACAAACAGACATTACAAATGACTTTATGTTTATGTAGATTCTGACTAACCTGAGTAACTGTTTCCCTGTTCCCCCAATCCTTCCTCCTGCTTCCAGATAGTAGAACAGTTACACAGTCTTGGAAACCAGCTAGCTGACGGTCAGGTTGCAGTAGCCAGCATCCCACCAGGGGATCCAGGTAAACTTGGTCTAAACACAGACAGCCAACATGTAAACAAAAACTTTAACAAAAACATAAACAAAATAAAAGTTAAATAAAATGTCATATCTATTTTCAATACAAAGTGAAAAATCATTCCAACTAGGCTGTAAAAAGTGAGAGTGGTGTTTTCAAAGCCAAATTATTATTCTAAAATAAAATAAGACATTTTGCACATCAGTGCTCGGAAAATTAGGAATACCCAAAAATTGTTTAACTCTCAACCTTTCTCTTGTTAAGAAATTCTTAACTAATGATAATGAAATTATAAGGGCAAATTAAAGTAAATTTGTTATGGAAAAGGGAATCATTTTTATTTTTATGAAACTATTGTTTATTTTATCATTCTAAATCACTTCATCGTGAATTTTACAATGAACGTGCTATAAAGTAATCATCGTGCTATAAAGTTAAATTATCTGTACATTATAGCAAGTGTGCAATACAGTTTTGATTGGTTCCCAGATTTTCTCTGAAAAATTTAGGTTATTTCCAAAATATTCTTTTTCAATTGAAATAAAAATAAAATTTAAATCAACTATATTTAGGCTTCTGCTTTGTTTCAAAGCTTATTTGATCTAGAAATAGCCATTGAAATAAAACAAGTACACAGACGTTTCATAAATTTACCTATAGCACTATTATTTTGGTACAACACGTGCTATAAAGTTTTTGGACTTAAATTTTCTCTATATCTCGAAGGTTCTTGCCTTTTTAGATTATATTTAGTCCCTCGCTAAAGCTCAGGAAAAAATTAAATCTGAATAAAAAGACTAGAACCTTGTTGATAAAAATGTCTGTCCAAAAACTAACACTTTATAAATAATTATTAGCCAATTAACAGAGGTAAAAATTGTTTCAATTCCCCTACTTTTTATTTCAGGGGATATTAGTTCAAAAACTAACATTTGGCCCCTTTCTAACACTGAGTGTTAGAAATGGGCCAAATCTACAAAGTTATCTTTTTAAAGAGTATATATCTTTAAATCCAAGATGAGTAGAACAAAATTACTCCATATATTTATCAAAAATGGCAAAAACTATTTATTGAAACAATAAATGTCAATTTTAAACTAATAATAAGGTGTGAGAATTAGTTTTTGTTGATTCTTGATTTCATTTTAGCATATATCCCTATTTTGAAACATTTGCCGGATTTCAGCTCAAGGTCATGTCGCGTTTTCGGAATATTTCCTGGTTTTGAAAAAATTACCGGGATTCACATCAATGTCAATTTTCAACCATTTACGCAATTGCGTAACAAAACAAGATCTTAGGATAAGGTAAAATATAAACAAAATAGAAAATAAAAGAAATTGTTCTTTTATAATTTAAAAATCATTACAGCATTGAGAAATCAAAATATTAATATCATTTGTTCTTACAATATAGATTTAACTAAAAAGGCGGGAAACCGTTGGTTTAAAATGCTTGAAGATAAATCACCAATGTTCTCTATTTTAACAGATAAAATGTGGAAACTTAATGTTAATTTAGTCTTCATAAGATACTTTTTGTTTACAGTGATTTATTTTTTAAGTTATGAAAGTGAGTTTTCTTTAGAATTGAGGATTATACTCAAAAACAGGTAAGGGGGGTTTGTCTTGAAAACGCGACAATGTTTCAAATTCAGAATATGTTTGAAAATGGAAAACCTGACTTTGTCTTAAAAAGGGTCAAGAGATTTAACTACGTGTTAGAAATGGGCCAAGTGTTAGTTTTTGAACTAATATGCCCTGTATTCGTTTGAAGGGAGTGGTAGTTAAACTGAGAATGTAGTATTTTGGAGAATTTATTTAGGATTCATTTGAGACATATAAAACGTTTTAATGGTTTATAATTACTAAGTTTGAGCGGAAAGTCGACGTTTAAAATCATTCATTTAGGTGGTTTGGCTTTTGAGAATCGATTTTTTAAAATTATTAAATAACAACAACCAAAAATGTATCTAACGTTCCACAGTATACTATTTAGATGTTTAGGAACATATTTCTCAATAGAAATTTGTCAATAAATCAATGTTAGAATCAATTATTTCTTTTTTATTATTATATTGAATTTCTTATTATTTACGAATATGTTTGCAGATTTCTACAAATTCTTCAAATGTCGCCTTTTCAATAAAAATTCCAGGAAATCTACAGAAAATATTTGAGAGATTACAGAAACTAATAACTGAATAAGATTACTTATTTTCGATGATTGGAGTTAATTTTTATTTTCTCAACCTGTTTCTGAACAACTAATTAGTTTACTGTAGAATTTTTGTTAATTTTTTTGTTACCGTTACTTGATGATTTTTAAAAAATCGATTCTCAAAACGTAACCACCCAAATAGATGATCTTGAAATTCGACTTTGCGCTCAAACTCAGTAAATATACATCATTAAAACGTTTTATATGTCTCAAATAAATCCTAAAAAATTTCTCCACAATAATACATTCTCAAATCAACTACCATACATTGCCGGTCTTTCCCTTTAAGTCCGTACCTGTGAGCATATAATCTTTGTATCCAGGGACACTCAGTAGAAGAGCTTTTAGAAATATCTTAGCTTCAAATACAATCTTTCTGGTGGAGGGGTTTAAAAGAATTTTCAGGAAGATATCCTCCTCAACCTATATTATTAAGATAAATCCAGATTTATTTCTAATTCACAAAATATATAATCATTCTCTGAGAACCATCAAGTTTTTTTTGAAGCAGTTGAAAAACTCTCTACCACAAAGGAATATTTACAGATATAATCATTAATTAGATATCTAAACTTCTGTGGGGATATTGTTTATCTTGATTGTTTGATCTTGATATCCAATTAGGCAATTTAAATGTTGAGGATCAATGCTTGATCAATTAATGTTGTCCCTGTAGGGTGTGGAGTGTTCGAGTATAACCATCAATGTGGGGTATATAGTATACCATCAATTATCATGGAATGTTCAACAGGAATTAAACTAGTGCGTAAGGGTGCATAGGATGGAGATCAGTACTTGATCCCGAGCTTCAAAGCACAAAAGTCCTGACTTCAGAATTCAAAACTTTTTTGAACTAAATCTCAGAATCAAGCAGTAATCCGTGTTACATAATTTCTTTTAAATATCGAGATCAAACATTACAGATACAAGCTATATTAGAATTTGGAATTGTTCAAATTATTAACAAAGAAAAACAAGAATATTAATGGAATATTTTTCTAATCCCTACGTTATTCCAAGCTGATAGTATATAATGTAAACCTTTGATATTTCAAACTTTGATCATTAGACCTTACAGAAGTTGTAGTTTTAAATTTCAAAGGTTTAGTATATATAATTATATATGGGTGCCAAGATGTATGGTTATATGAATATCTGCGTCTGATGTAATTAATTTCAATGAAAATAAATCACCTGATTAATGTTAGATAAGTTGAATCGAAGGTAGAAGACAGGACATGCTTTAATAGAACAACGAAGAAATATAGACCTGAATACAAGCCTTATATACATCAAAATATTTTTGGTATTAAATATATAAATAATCAACCTGGGGCTTAAATTTCACCGTTTTCATTCACTTCTGCTTTTCTGTAGCCTTTTACATGTACATGTTAGCACTTAAAATCACTTGTTGTTAGTTTTAGTTTTTTAAAAGTATAGGCATAATTCTTATCAATTTTTGCTTGAGAACGTGAGACCGTTAAAACACAGTGCAGAGTTAATGAAATCTAAGCTCTTAGAGTAAAATTCATTAAAAATATGAAAAAAACTTTTTGTGTGAAATATCTTCATTCTACAATCTCGATCGCTTGAACTCAATTTCTAATTTGCGAACTTTTCAATTTGAGGTTAAATGCATGATCCCTTTATTTTAGTTATTTCTGCAGTGTGCGATCACCATGCACTAAGGAAATACATTAATCTGCATAAGACGGAGATTAATCACGTGTCCCTATATTCACAACACACAAGTTCTGACATAAGATTTTATTTGATTTTTTATATTTTTATAGTTTTTCCTGTGAATTAAATCCACAGTTTTTAATTTCATTTAAACCAAAGAAATAATTTTTTTGGCTAAAATATTAATGTTTGATTTAATGCGTGATTTTATTGATGTATTTAATGTTTCCTGGGGCTGAGCAGATTCCTGGTAAAACTATTTTTATCCTTCAGGTTGGTCACGTTCCCCAGATAGCTAAGGACAAAAACTATCATTTTAAAAAATTGTTAATTTCCGACACCTTTCAGGTATCCTGCGTCTAAGGTTTAAACGAGAAAGCTAGCCTACGAAGGAATTGAGTTATTGCGACAAACTCTAATGTTCTAATCCTTATATCTTAGACCATTGATATTTAAATCTTTGTATTCTGTTAAATCAAACAATCTAAGTTTGAAATATCAAAGATTTTACCATTAGGATACGAGGATTATAAAATTAGAGTTTGTGGCAAAGGCTCAAAGACACAAAAGTTTTCCCTTTTGACAATCAACCCAATTCAAATGATCGTTCATTGATATCCAATTCACATTAACGGTATCCTTTATTAACTTTTCTGAGCAAGAAAGAATTACACATTTTTTTCGTTTTTCTAAACTGATTATTTTCATTTGTGGCTTCTCTACAAAAGTGTCATTCAACATGGTAAAAAGAGGTTGTCTTCCACATTCTTGATTAGATTAAAGTTTCAAGAGAAACCGATGTGGATTAAGTATGACCCTCTTTGCAATTGCATGGAGGTTGTTTTGCTAAAGGTTAGTTGTCTTAATTCCTAAGTAGGAAGCAGGTCTCCTCACAGTTCTCCAAGAGGGTTGTCTCTGCTCCGGTCAAATCAGCCAGGTTCCGTATCCTGGATCCTCCGCTTCTAACCTCTACACGACAGGAGGATAAGTTTTACAAAAAAGTTATAACAAGGGGCTAATTCAGGGGACATCAGTTCCCAACCACGATTTGGCTCATTTCTAACACTGATTGTAACAGCAAATATTTGTTAAGCTGGAAAATCTTCCAATTTATGCTTATCTCTAAAACTCAGTGTTAGAAATGGGCCATAACCCCAGTTTGGAACTAATGTCCCCTGAAATCCATGAAACTAGTTAAAGGTCGGAAATTTTGGTTTTAAATGGTGCTAATCTGCAACGCCTTAACTCACACATGATTAAACTTAAAGCAAATCAGTGTTTTGTCCGTACTTATCACAACCACTCGTCTACCTTTAGAAAGTTTATAAAAAATTCAGAATCAATCGGACTTAAAATTATATCATCATTTAAAAAAAAAAACTATTTGAATAATAATATGCAAAGTACTGCCCCTCCTGTCGGTCCAGTAGATAAAGCATCAGACTCCTTCTTATATTTATCATAAGTTAAATTAAATATAAACACTGATTTATTAACATATAAACAGGAATACAAATAACTTTTTTAAGAATTAGAAACGTCAAAAAGATAAAGTTGCATTTTTTAAGTTTTCAACTTTACTGACTTTTTTAGGGCAAACTTTCTTGTTTTATCATATTTAACTGTATATTCCTGTGATATGTTTAAAGCTTGTTCATCAATTCTAAATTGAGATTTCTTTGCTTGTTTATCTCGAGTCTTTTTTGTTCCACTGGTTTCCATTGTCATATTAGTATCTGGTTTATGATAACCAGTATCTTCTGTTTTCTTCGTATCAGTTTTTGGGTTTTTAGTATACTCTATCTTCTTAGTATCTTGTTTACAAGTATCCTTCTTCTTTTTCTTGGACTTAGAATCTTCTAAAAATGAACATTACACATTACACAGTACTAATTTGACTAAATGTGATTTTTTATCAATTATTATATAATAGTAGGCTGGCTCACTGTGAACTTAAGAGAAGTAGAGTGTTAAATTGTTTCTCTAATTTTGATTTTATGCAAAAGTAACCGAATACAATTAAGCTCTTCAATAAGAAGAATTATGATTGAAAACATGAGAAATTTCAATCCTACATGTTGATCACTTTATTCTTAAGTTTCAATCATTTGCACCCCTTACTCGAATTCAAAGGTTTACACATCCCAGTTTCGGAAATATTATAGATTTAGAGTGTGAGGTCACAGTGAGGCTGAAGGAAATCAAGACGTTTTGTTCTACCCAACCCGGGAACTAATATTTTCTGAAACTGCAATTGTCCCCACGAAATTAAGGAGCTATAAAATCTCCTATGGAGATTTTTTATAAAAATTACTTTGTAGTAGGATTTGTGCCCTAATTCGTTACCAATTCTAAAATTCTATTTATTTCAAAAATCCCCTTAAAAAAATTCAGTTTTATAGCTCATTAGTCATTAGTTTCCTAGAGGTGCGTGATCATTTATCAATTTTCTTGCATTCCTTTCGTAGATATCAGACAACATACTTTTACAATTAAACCCAAAAATGCCCTTTTGAAATATCAAAATGGTGATTATGAAAACAATAAAAAAGCATTCTTTAAAGTGATCCATGATTCAAGAATTTTCGTGATAATGTCCTAACCTGGTTCAAAGAGTTCAAGAAATGTGGGTTTAGGACATTCTATCTTTCTCTTTCCAATATTTATCTTGGGTGCATAGTCTTTGTTCATCAAGGTTGAGTTCTTCATGCCTTTACATCAAAAGTATCCATTGTCATTTAGAAACTTTACTTCAAGATATTGCACAGTGTATAATGTGTACGGTGTACGGCACACCTATTTGATATATTTCAGAACAAATATTTAATTGTTCTGAATCCTTGCCACAAACTAAAGCTTCTACTCCCTATATCTTAAAATCCTAATGGTGTAACTTTTGATATTAAAAACTAGTTAAAATATCAAAGGTCTTCAATATCGGGTTGCAAACATAAAGGGATTTAAAAATCCGCGTTTGTGACAAGACCTTAGCCTTGTGTTATCATTGGACAGTCGAAGTGAACGCTAGAAACCATAGCTTGGCAAACATAGAGAATAGAATATATAGAGAGGAATTTACTAGAAAAAAGTGTAAAACGGCCATTTTGTTGTACTGTTTCCATACTGCAGGTGTACTTCACATATTTGTGCTATATAACCTGTTGGGCCCTGGAATATCATTTTATTGAAAATCTAAAATTATTGTTAAAAGAAACCCAAATTATGAAATAGGCTGGTTTCATAATTGACCAATGATCATTTCACATAGATTCTATGCCTTCCACTTTACAAACGATGATTTTCCGTTATAATTATAAATCAAATGATGTTTTTATTCACCTAATTCATAATAAAGTTTATTTAACAGTTTAAAAAATTCGAAATTGAAATGAATAGTCTAGGGAACATACTGTATTATTGTACTCTACTGCATATAATTTGTGAACATTTACATGATTTGTACACTTTGAACTCCCTTTCAGGCTGAAAGGTACTGAAAAAATTCATACCGAGAGATTCTTTTAATTCCTCTCTAATATATATTCTATTCTCTATGTTGGCAAAAGGGCGTTGTGATATTTTTCCCTTAAAGTGAACAATATCATTAAACGCTGATATAAAGTCTGTCCAACATTGTGCCAAACTGAATAGAATAATATTATGCAATATATTAGTTGCAAGGAAATCTTTTCTTAAAAAAAAATATGAAAAAACCCGGTGGGTTAGATTTCTTTAATTTTATTGGTAAAAGATTGGCTCCAAACTTTGTAATAGCATTAAATTGATAAAAACTGATAAATTTAAGGATAAGATTTTCCTGTTGTGTTTGTGTTGTTTGAGGCAGTTTGACTCCGGGAGTAGAAATCACTTATCTTTGATTGAACTCTCTTCATCAAAAAAGTTTTTTTTAAAATGTGATTTCTTAAAGTTATTTGAAACCACTAAAAAAATGATTTAAAGGGACTGTACCCATAATTTCAAGAGACCCTCCGTGCAAAGATGGCATTGCCTGATTTACAATGGTACCCTTAAAACCTTTGTCTGAAATATGAATTAAATATCAATGTTTATAGTTTTGAAAACTAATTGTTTTCAATTGCGGTTTCTCGGTAAAAGTGACAATTACGCATTTCTACAGATAGAAAACATGTATTAATTATCTTTAAATGGAACGTCAAATTTAAAATCAAATATGAAATCATAAAAAAACTATTTCCTTGAAAGGGGCTTTAAACCGGGGAACTACTCGTCTTTCCTGCTGGGAACTCGTCTCACGCTCTACTGAATTAACAAAAACGATGATTAACTATTAACGAATTTTTATTATTATTATCGTTATGCAGGGGTGTATAATTTCCTAAAAAAATATTTTTTCCCCTTTCAGAAAATATCTTTTTCCCCCAGAAGTTGCATATGTTTGCGCGGAGCGCGTATATTTCTTTACGGGGGGGGGGGATAATGAAAAATGGGACAACAAAAGACAAGTTTTTGCCCAAAATTCATTTTTTCCCCTGAAAAATCATTTATTTTCCACAATTCAGCAAAAAACCCCTAACATTTTTTTTGGCGCTCCGCGCAACCATTTATAATTTCTGGGGAAAATAAAGGATTTTTCTAAAGGGGGGAATGATTTCTTAGGAAAATATACACCCCTGAGTTCCTTCTAAGGTTGAAAAGATATAAAGGATTAGTAGATTAAAGTTTGATGCTAGTAATTCTAAACCAGTGCCCTAGAAATGTTTGTAAAATTTGCTTTCCGTTAGAAAGGATAGATAGTCTGGTGATTTTTTGAAAAAGTTGCTAAAATTGTTTTATATTAAAAGAAAACCTTTCTGCTGTACTTCAGGACCATCTCCTTTACAAAGTTCTAATCCTGATTCTCTTCCAGGTACAGTTGGAGCTGGAGATCTATTCTGACCTAGACCAGGAGCAGGGTTCAAGGTAGGTTGAAGTTTATCTTGTACTGTCCTCAAAGTAGAACAGTTGATATTATTCTGGACTAGTCCCGGGGCCAGATTCAACGCAGAGCTGTTCCAATCTTTTGTAACATTTTGAAGCGGCGCTAAAGAGACGTCCTTGCTCAGGGTTTCTCTTGACGGAGAAATGTTTCCATCGTGGCTTGGACCTGGAGACTGGATCGGAGCTAAGCCGACTTTATTATCTGGTTCACCTCCTTTTATTCCTTCAGGCTCATCATCACTTCCAGAGTCGGACTCAAAATCTAATTGAAATTTGAGATTTTGCTCCGACCCTTGTACAGTTTCGATGTTGTCCTGAGCACAATCTCTACTTCCAACCTTTACAATTTTTCCGGAAGCGTAAAAACTGGGTTTCTTAGTATTCCGTCGAATCTGTGGTATAACTTTTCTCACTATAGTCTGGGATGCAATTCCCGGTTCTGAGATTTGATCAGATGTATCTTCATTATCTTTTTCCATCGTATCCAATCTTGCTTCAATATAGTCATCTATAAGAATACATGTGTTTATCTTTACAAAAATAAAATTGTATCACCTCTATTAAAAGACGGAAGCAGTCTCTTGTTAGGTTATTAGGGTCTTCCCCCCCCCCCCCCTAATAAGAAAATTGGCATATATGTGTCTCCCTAAATATACCCTAAAACTCAATTATGAAATGAGTTTTTGCCACAATACTTTCTAATTTTCTGATCCCCATATCTTTGCAACCGGATGGTGTAAACCTTTTATATTTGAAACTTATAGATTTCTTGATCTGACAAACATAGTTTAAAATATCAAAGATCTACGAGATCGGGTTGCAAAGTTTTAGGGATTAACAAATTTAAGGTTGTGTTAATTTCCTTTAATGAAAGATTGAACTATGAACACTTAAAAGCCAAGATGATAAAACTTTAATTTCCTAAAGTTTGATCCAAATTTTGGCTCTGGTCTGAGAATGAATCTCCGGTATCGGAGCTAAACCGCATCAAATCAGCTTCCTCCTGCACGCTGTCTCTCTCCGGAATGAAATACTTCTTAACCTTTGCATTAACAGGAGAACGATTTTCTTCATGAACATAGGAATTCCCTTTCTCCTCTTCATGCTTTTTTGATAAAATGTTTTCGCAGTTAAAGCTTCCTATGTCTGCAGTGTTATGAATAAAGCTTCCTGAATGAATTTTGTTGCGCTTATGAGTTTGTGGCCAAGCATTATGAGCAAGAGCATTTCCGTTCCTAGTTTCACGGTCACGTTCAGGAGTAGAACTTGGAATACGATTATGAATAACTTCACCAGTTTTAGTAGCATCTTCATCTATGTTGGATATTTTATCCCCTGTATTGTCAAAGACTGGAGAAGAATTGAACCTGTCCTCTTCTTCGAAGTTGGATCTCGAGTCTGACCCATCTACAGTTTCTAGGTTCTCCGCAACATCTGGAGCTATGGTGTCAGAATCAGAATCAGAATCTGAGAACGAAATTCCAAAATCTGACAACTTATTATTAGGATTGTTGTTCTCTTTGTTCTCAAGGTTTGTAGAAGAGTTTTGGATGAATTTTAGGGTTTTCTGTAGACCATGATATTCTTGATCTACTTGGGGTTTCTGTAGACCATGATATTCTTGATCTATTGGGGGTTTCTGTAGACCATGATATTCTTGATCTACTGGGGGTTTCTGTAGAACATGATATTCTTGATCTACTGGGGGTTTCTGTAGACCATGATATTCTTGATCTACTTGGGGTTTCTCTAGAACATGATATTCTTGATCTCCTTGGGTCTGCTCCAACTCATCAAATATAGAATGGAATGAGATAAATGATTGATTCTGTACCCCTAAACAATAACTATGATCCTGTAGATATAAAAATAGTGTTTTCATATTTATTATTTCATATTATCATAATTTATTTCTCAAGGACTAAGTTGAGAAGTGGCCTTGTGACTTTGCAACAAACTCTGATTTTCTAACACATAAATCTCTGCAAATATTAAAGGTGTACGCCATTGCTAAGATTGCTAGGATATAGAGATTAGAAAATTGAGTTTGTGTCTAAGACTCAAATGTTGGTTGGAATTTTTTATCCTGTGAAGTGTGAAATGTAATACATTTGAAAAAAAAACTCATTTTTGATTTATCCAGCAGTATAATTTGTTTACTAAAGGGACTGTAAGCGAAATTTTAATTGACCCTCGGGGAAAAGATGGCAAAGCCCGACTAACAACGGTACCAACTACAGCTTTTCTAATTAGCTATGAAACAGATATCAATGTTTATAATTTTAAAAACTGTTTAATTTCATAAGGTTTCATAAGGTAAACAAGTGGCTTGGGCATTTTTCACATGTAGGAATTATCACAATAAAACACTTAAACCTATAAAAACGACAATATCCTCCTTCATATTGATCAGAAAGAGGTTTACCGTTTTAAATCAGGCATTGCCATTTTAGCATTGAGGGGTACTTGAAATTACGCTTACAGTCCCTCTTATTCAATCCATTTGTTACAACTAACCTTGTTTTTGTGTTGAATGGTTTGAATAAGGTTGAATTGGGGACAAGCTGTTATCCATGCAGAAGGTCGGACATACTGCTGTCTGGACCCTGGAAGTATGTTTCCCGTATTTATATTGTTATAAGATTTATTCACATAATGGTGTAGTTCAAAGAAATTGAGTCTTAACCGCAAATTTTTTAATCCCTATATCTTTGGAACATGATGGTATACACCTTTAATATTTAAACTAAGATTAATTCAAAGACATAATTCAAAGTTTGAAATATCTGAAGTCTACAGCATTGGGTTGCAAAGATATAAGAATTAGAAAATATGAGTTTGTGGTAAGAATTCAGGTTTTTTTTTTAATGTCTAAGTATACTCTAAACTTTAAAATTTTCCTTTTAAATAATCAGTTTATTTTACGATATCTTACCAATAGTAAATATTTGTTTTAACTGTTTGGCGTACACCTTTTTTTGATCATTTGGCATTTGATATTCTCATAATTTTGCCATTTATACATTAATTATTATTAAATTGTGTCAGGAACTCCGGGGGTTAATTTCCTACAAGTCAGAGAGAGGGACGTATACACATATATAGGACTTTGTCATATTTTACACTAATTTCATCTTTTTCTCCTAAAAATTCGTAATAAATAGTTAAACAATTTTTAACTGTAACATTATAAATGTGTTTTTTTAGTAATGAAATATATCTTATCTTATCTTAACTTCCGTTTTTAACTTATATTTTCTTACTTTTCATAATAATAATTTACCCTAAACTCCCAATTTTCTTAATTGTTTTTAAATCTTAATGACAGAAACAAATCTCAAGGAATAACATCAGTCTTTAAAAATTCTTAAAAATGTGATTAATAGCAAATTTTCTTTTGAAAATATTATCATGATCTAAGTGAGTTTCACTATTTCATCTGACAAACCATTTCAAAAAAGGTTTTGCTGTTTATTTTCTCAACTTTTTAACATTATAAAATATTGATTTTGATGGTTATTAAATCGGTAAAACTGAAGAACCCAGTGCGAAGTATAATTTTAAAATGTGGAACAAATGCCTATTTAATTAACTCTATGAGGTTGTATCATCATGAACTCCAAATTTTGCCAAGATAGTTTACCTAGTAGAGGTCCCTGGTGTACAAGGTGACGATGAGCTTGTTGTTGAACCTTCAAATAGTCCAATAAAATCAGTAGATCTTCTCAACCCTATCTCCTCACCAGTTCCTCGGATTAAATTTGACTCACGAATCCCAACTCCTGATCTTACAACTTGTGCTCTTAGATCTTGATCCGGCAGCATCAAGAAGTTTAGAAACCCGGAACCTAGTTCCGAGAGCTTGTGACGTAAGGGAGGTCTGTTACTCCGGTGTCGGAGCTGGGACGGAGTAGCTCCATGTTCCTCAAGAATACATCCCTGGGGATCTAATCTTACTAGACGAACATCCATCTTTATATATTCTTGGGAATCAGGTTTCAGGACATTTTATATTTATCATACATCTTTTAGAATCTAAATATTTAGAAGTTTTTTTTACATTTTTAAAGTTTAAAAAAGTAACATTGCACATTTTCATATGTTTTAACGAAAAAAGATTTAATATCACTCAACAATCAATTTTATAATCTTTAACTCAGCTAAGCTTCAAATCATAAAATATATTCTAAATGGGATTGAAGCTGATGAAAATTGAAAATATTGTTACATATATAGAAAAATCAAAATAAACGTTTAATTTTTCTCTTCAGATTTGGTATCATCAAATATTGCAGCACTACGAAAGATATTAATTTTAACAATTTACTAAGAAATGCACGTACGGAAAGAAAACCTCAGATTATTGGTTTGGATGTTGAAGAAACTGTCTGAACTGCTCCTGGATAAGGTTCATCTTGATCCTCTCCTCTGGGTCCTGGACTGGAGCCATCTTCAGACCCATCTTCAGGAAGGATATCGACATCCGGAGCATTGAGCTGAAATATTGTTGTAATTCAACAGTTTTCTAATTATATGTAATAATCTTGACTTTTATTTTTTTTTATTTTTGTACGTAACTAACACTTGCCTCTCAAACATAAATTATTGAATCCCTATATCTCTGCAGCCTGGTGTTGTTCACCTTTGATAATTGAAACTATGAATTCTGATAGAAATTTGAAATATCACAGGTTTAAACAATCAGGTCAGTTAAAAGGATTAGAATTGAGGCAAGTGTTTAGTTTGATACATTTTATTCCAATCTCTTGATGTCATTGTTAAATTCAAAACAAAAATAATTTGTGAAAATTCAAAAAAGATTGTCAGACACAAATATTATCACGGACTAAAACATCACTACGCAAAAATTTCAGAAAAAAATCTTAAATGTGTTTACTTCCTTGGAATATGTCTGATCTTAAACTCAGGAATCCATTGCCCGATTTGCCTCAATTTTGTATGGAAAAACTCGGCAGTATCGCGGGAATATTTTTAACTGGTTAATAATTCTTAGTTAAAAGATTTGACTTTTAAAGCAAAAGTTTAGTTTTCAGGTAAATCTGGTAACCTGCGTTAGTTTTTGGATTGTTTTTTAAATATATACATATATTATATATATAATATATATCTTCAAAATCTGACATAGTGTAAGAAAAGCTAATGTTTAGAAAATACATAAAATATTTACTGTTTTTACACTAGGCCAAATTTTGACCCTGTTAGAAAATGTAAGTAAAATCTACCCAGAAACTAACTAACTGAAGACACGTGACTTTTTACAACTAAATAATACCTGGCAATTGATGCTCCCTCTAGAGGTTCAACAGTAGCAGTATAACCTTTGGAAGCAGCAGCGCTAGGAATAGGAGCAGTAACCCCTTGGGAGGGAGCAATAGTAGTTTTCACAGCAGTATCAGAATAACCCTCGGCTTCTTCTATGGTACTGGGAGGATTATTTGAATAGCTCTGGGTAGTATCTGAAATAACACGTAACCCCTTCCTTGAGCAAGGACGGATACATGAGTCGGAACTATTGGAACCTTCTTCTCCACTATCCTTCTCTTCAGAGTAGGAATCCTCAGATTGCTTGACTCTATTTCCTAAACAGGAGATTATCGAATAAAATCCCAAATTTAGTTTTCCAGAAATTTCAATTAAAATTCTTGTTTAAAGTGACAGTAAGTCAAAATTTCACTTGATATTCATACAAAAAACAGCTGTGCCAACCAAAATTGTCAATTTTAGATTTTCTACAATGATGTAACTTTCTAAGTCATCTTTTTTATCAAATGTAAAGATATTAGATTAAGTTTAAGCATACAATATTTATATTAAAATCAATCCAGGATTTGGATCCGGATCCGTATAAAAATTAAATTGACCCTGAGCACTTGTTTAATATTAGTTTACCGGAAACATTCTTCTTCTTGAGCTGTGAAGGTTGGGGTTTCCTGGATATTTGAACATTATCCTCCTCCTTCTCCTCGTCGAAATCATATGGGTTCAGTTTCCTGGATATTTGAACATAATCCTCTTCCTTCTCCTCGTCGAAATCATATGGGTTCAGTTTCCTCACAATCTTATTGTTCATCTTACCAGGGAAAACATGATCCTAGAATAAAATAATCAATGAACAAAAAAAGGAATAAAAGCTTCAGAGTAGGACCTACAGGGATCAGGATCCAGAGGTAAAATATCAACCAAAACCTGTTGGAAAACTTCTTCAAAAAAAAGAGTTCATCTTGAAGAAATGTTCATGACCTAGATCCGGATCCTTTTTTTCAGATAAAAATTAAATGGATCCTAAGCACTGGTATCGGGTATGTGGTATTTGGCCCTAAAGCATGGAACGTTCCAACTATTTGGGAGAGTTCAACAAAATACATAACCCTTCATTTTAGATAGCAAAACCTGTTTCTGTTTATCATCAGAATCTTCAATAGATGGTTTCTAATATCATATTAATAATCTCACCTGTTCCTGCTCCTCATCAGATACATAAATTGATGGATCCTAATATTATATTAATATTCTCACCTGTTCCTGTTTATCATCAGAATTCAGAATCATCAATAAATGGTTCCTTATATCATATTAATAATCTCACTTGTTCCTGTTCATCATCAGAATCTTCAATAGATGGTTCCTAATATCATATTAATAATCTCACCTGTTCCTACTCCTCATCAGAAACATAAATTGATGGATCCTAATATTATATTAATATTCTCACCTGTTCCTGTTCATCATCAGAAACATCAATAGATGATTCCAAATATCATATCAATAATCTCACCTGTTCCTGTTCATCATCAGAATCATCAATAGAGGGTTCCTTGTAACAAACAGGTTTACGAACTCGTAAACTTCTCACAATATTTCCAGTTCCACAAAACTACAAAGATCTGTTAATTTTGAGCTTTTCTTTCTTTACATTTTTATGTGTCAGTGTATCCAAGCTGTTTGAAAACGATGTAGAAATCAAACTTTAAATATAAAGTCGTCTTCATTGTATTAATAAAAAGGACGACGACTGTAACTAACATTATAATTGTGTGAAACTTTTTCATGTATCTAATACTTTTCCACAGCAAAATATAGAAAATTAAAAGCAACATTGCAAATTTTTAATCGAAAAAAAAATAAAATAAAATATCTAAAATTGTTTTCCCAAACACGGATGTTAAAGATTTTAATGTTTTTGAATTCAGTGTTTCAAGAAAGACGGATATCTTCGTACATTTTGACAAAATTGACTTACATTAGTGTTTATATCTACACATATGTGGCAATTCATTTTAATGGTTACATTGATACTTCAAGTTCTTTATGATACAGGGTGTCCCAAAAAACATGGGAATTCAGTGACGAATTGGATTTAGTCTTAGTTATGAATTAGCATTGTAATACCTAATTTCAAAAGCTTTAATATTATTATTTCTGCTAGAGTTTATTTTATGAAAAGGGTAGAAGTCTGTAAAGATGTCTCTATAATGTCTCCGCAAGATGAACAGTGAAGACAGACAAGTTTACTCTGTTTGTATACTGCAATTTTCTTGTTTTACTAAGTACAACCGTATGCAGTCAAAACATTAACAAACAAAATGTGAACATAGTAAACGAAACTCTTACAGATTACAGCTTTCTCACTAGGTATCAATCTAAATCTTATTTATAAAGACGATATCAAATTCGTCACTGAATTCCCATGTTTATTGGGACACCCTGTAGCTCTTCAACAAGAGGAATTATGATAAAAAAACATATAAGATTTAAATCTTACGCGGAATTTATTTTAGTTTAACGTGATGCTATTGTTTCGTAATAAGATAGAAATTACTTACTTCTTGATGATTTTTCTCTGGCGTCTCGGACAGTTTACTTTTCTTAGAGGAGTTAATAGACTTGGATTCATCACTACATGGTTTCCTTTTCCTCACAGTGTTGAGAACCTCTGTAGCTAAGCCTGGTTTAATCCTGGTTTCATCCCTGCAGGGTTTAGGTTTATTTTTGCTAACAGAGCTGGTCGGATACATCAGGTTGGATTCATCCCTGCAGGGTTTAGGTTTATCGTTGCTAACAGAGCTGGTCGGATACATCAGGTTGGATTCATCCCTGCAGGGTTTAGGTTTATCCTTGCTAACAGAGCTGGTCGGATACATCAGGTTGGATTCACAGGGTTTAGGTTTATCCTTGCTAACAGAGCTGGTCGGATACATCAGGTTGGATTCATCCCTGCAGGGTTTAGGTTTATCCTTGCTAACAGAGCTAGTTGGATACGTCAGGTTGGATTCTTCAGAGATATCTGGCAGGACTTTCATACTCTTCAATTTTAAATACAATTTAAAAGAAAAGTATTTGCCACAAACTTAAGTTTTCTAATCTTTATATCTTCGCAACGTGGTGGTGTGAACCTTTTATGTTTCAAACTTGAATTATTTGATCTAACAGAATTTATTGTTTGAAATATCTAAGGTCTATGACAAGGGCTTGCAATAATATAGGGATTAGAACATCCGAGTTTCTGACAAAGACTCCATTTATTTACTCAGTCAAAATATGAATTAGTTCATTTTTTTTTATTTTTAGTACACCTTTGAATTCTCAAACTGTTAATGCTATTTAATCAAATAGTGTTAGTTTGAAAATAATGGTTTGTGGCTAAGATTCCATTCTTTACTTAGTTTAATATGAAATTAGTTCAGTTTTACATGTGAGGTTGATGAAAAGAATGTCTTCACGTGGATTAAACTGTCTAAACTTCAAACATCAAGAAGTTTAGCACAAGAAAAAGTTCAACGAGTTAAAAGTAAAATTTAGAAATAGTAAAAGAAAATGAATATGCATTGATACAATAATTTTAATAAAAAATGTCCTCCAGAAACCAAATTCTACCGGATATTAATGTAAACAGTCTATTTTTAATTGTATTTAAACACCCATCTCTTGAAGAAACACCCAGAGTTTATTTTAATTCCTAACCTTGGTTGCAGGTTTGGTATAGATTTGAGGAGCATGAGCATCAATAAAGCTTGGAACCTTGAGCTCAGCTGGTTCAGAGCCAGGTTCAGAATCTTCCTCTAACATCAACTTCTAGAATCATAAAACGTTTTAATGATTGATATTATTTTTATCTAACAGATCTTTGTAACCCATATTGTAGACCTTAGATAGTTAAAACCATCAATTATCGTAGATAAAATAATATAATTTTAAACTACCAAAGCTTTACACCATAAGGTGCAAATATGAAGGAATTAGAAAATTTGAGTTTGAGGCAAAGACTCAATTTCTTTGTTATATGTAAAGCAATAGTTAATCTTTTTTTATACAAAAAAAAGAACACTTCTCACAAATTTAATTTGAATAAAGTATTCTACAGCATGCATTTGAGTCTAAACCTGACACGCTGTGTGTTAACCACTACCACAGTTTGGAACTTTTGTCCCCTGCATTTATTAGTTATGTATAAAATTTCCTATTAACACCCATACCCCCGGACTATAGAAAGTTACCTCTGTTGAGTAAAGTTTCTTCCTTCCAGCTTTAACAGGTCGCCGAGTCTTTAAATACTTGTTGATATTGATATCCTTAACAGGAAGAATATTAATTTTAAATGTGGGTTGTTTGGCACAAAAATGTTTTCTACTGAAATCTGTTTGTAAAATTTAAAACAATAAGAACATGTCAGGTTGAATTTGTGAACTAGGTCAATAATTTCTATCGCGTAGACCCATATCTAGCAGTGTGCTGTTTTTTGGCCTGTTTTTAAGCATTCCAGGGTATGGGGTCGAGTAATTGAGACGTTTTTAGTATGTGCCTTTATTTCATTTCACAAAGTTAATACTCAGGTTCATTTGATTAACCGGTCTGACTTTTATTTAAGCAGCTATAGCAAGTTGTGTACATTATACCAGCCTATTTATGAAAAACGGGACCAAATGAATTCTCTCCCTTGGAGATTTAATATGCAACATTTCTTTTGTGGAACCTTTTCAAACACTATTCTTCAATATTTAATGTCGAAGAAAATACAATGACCAGTAGTAAGGGGCTTCATCATTCCTGGCCCAAAAGCTAATGATTACTTACTTGAAAAATCGAGAAACTTTATTTTATTATTATCTGTGTAATTTGTATTTCATAATAACGTAGATTAATAAAACCAACCTTTATAGTGGCAGTCTCCTTGGGAGTTTTAACAGTAACAGGAGTAGAGGTCATAACTAGAGTCCAAGACTCATCCATTTTTTGCTCAGTACTTTTCCTCGGTTCTTCTTCTTCTTTTTCATTTCTGGATACTCTTCCTTCTTTCCTGGGTACACTTTCTGCTTTCCTGGGTACACTTTCTGCTTTTCCGGGTACTCTTCCTTCTTTCCCGGGTACACTTCCTTCTTTCCTGGGTACACTTTCTGCTTTCCTGGGCACACTTCCTTCTTTCCTGGATACATCATTTTCATATCTTGTTTTGTCTTTCCGTCTAAAACTGTTCTCTAACGGGAGTTTTCTTACTTCCGATTTGTTTAAGTTTGAATCTGAGGCAAAACTCACAGATGTGATGGAACTTACTTCACTTTTGTTTCCAGTCTTCTTTTGGTAGACATCTTTGTCCTCTCGGGAGTCTTGGTGTTTTTTGTTTCCCTTCATTGGTATAACTTGGGGGTTTTCGGTTCCTCCCCTTGATTCATTGATCTGCTGATCTTCCCCGTTCTCTTGAAAACTGTTGTGATTCTTCCCTTCCATCTTAGTTCGGTCGTCTTCTTTATCTTCGGGTTTTTCCACATCGACTTGAACACCTTTGTATTCTCCTTCGTTGTCTTGGTAAACTTTGTATGTCTTCTTTGTCTTTCCTATATCATTGCTTTTCTTTCCTTGAAAATCCATGTCTTCCGATCCATGCGAATCTTCGTATTTCTCCATCTTGGAATCTTTGTATCCCGTAGAATCTTTGAATGACTGTTGTTTCTGTAAATCATTGAAGTCATCTTGTGAATTTATGAATTCCTCCTGGGAATTTGTGTATTCCTCCTGAGAATCTTTGTATTTATTACTTTGTTTCGTTGAACTTCTAAGACAGACATCTTGACTAGCTTCCTCTTTCTCTTCAAAGCTAAAAAATTCCTCCTCAATGGACTGATTTCCTTCCATCGATTCATTCACTAGAATGGATTGATTAGCCTCCATGGACTGATTCAGTAGTTTGAATGTTTGATCATGTAACTTGATTGTGGACTGATCTGCAGGATCATTTTCCCTACTTCTAGATTCCAGTGAATCATCATGCATAAGCTAGAAATAAAAATCATGGTAAAAGCTTATACAATGAAGATTGGTCAAAAAAAAGGTTCATACATTTTTCTTCTTCCCCGTGCACGCCTTTAACTGTAAGTTAAAACTTTAAAAAATCCTTATAGTATAATTAATTTGTTTGTGACCGTCTAAATAGGCATGTTCAATTGATAACGGTACCCTTAAAACTTGGTCTGATCATGTATGAATTCGATATTCATGTTTATAACTCTACTGCAGGAATACCATGGAGTAGATTTCAGAATTAAACACTGTTCAAGCTAGAAAAACGATGTTATCCTTTACATTACTTATCAGAAAAGGTTTTACGAATACCTTTTTAAATCGGGCATTTATTTTTTCATTACCGAGTTGTTGGAAGCATTTATGTATTGAATAGTTAGTGCAGGGTTCAATCTTGAAGCTTTCTCATTGATTGGATTGTAGACAGAGTCTTGAGAGATCTCATCATCAAACCTTGAGTTCTGCATACTATCTTTATACTAAAATGGTTGAGATTAATGTAACTAATCAAAGTAAAAATGGTTGATTTAAAGAAAAATTTTATGAATCAGGGACAATATAAAGAACAAACAGAGTTTGAGTTGATTGTTGTTATTTTCATTTCCATCTTGCGTTTCATGAATGATGCGCAATTGATCATCTACAAAATGCAGGAGAGAAACTGTCATTTATTACTGTTTTAAAATTGTAAACTGCACTGGTGACCAAATATATAATAAACACTATTGAGTGTTAAGGGCGGATCCAGTTCTTTGAAAAAGGGGGGGGGGGTCAAACTCTCAGTAAAACTGTGATGGGGGGGGGGAGCACCGAGCGAAACTTGTGATCGAGGAGGGAGTAAAATATTTAAAACTTTTGCCACATTAGAATTGTACTTTAAAAATTTGAACTCAGGCTCATTCAAATTAGGCTTAAAGATTAAAAAGGTAAAAAAATCACTAGTATAAGTGATAATCAAATATTTAAAAGTATGTGGAAGGGAGATATAACTGACGCGGTTCGCCCTACCATATGATTATACATGCTTTACAGACGAAGTACTTCATTTGAAAAAGAGTTTTTCAAATCGTCGTCTTTTATTTTTTTAAATGTAGTTACTTTACCATAATAAATAAAAACAATCTTATTTAATATAAAAAAATATGTTTGTAAAGCTAATAATTTTGCATCTTAAAAAATGAATTTATTTTGCGATGTTCAGCATACTTTTTTCCCTGTTAAATGTATTCAATGACCTTTTCTGAATACATGTAATTGTGCATAAGACGACATTTAAATATTTCTTACTCAAATGGAGTACTTCGTCTGTAAAGCATGTATAATCATATGGTAGGGCGAACCGCGTCAGTTATATCTCCCTTCTTCCTTACTCCCTGGGATATGGGTATCAATAATATCTGGGGTGAAAACCGGAGTTCAAAACTATTTACAGAGTTCTAAAATATAAAAATTGGGCAAGCAATGGTAAAAAAACGTTTTTCTCTATTTAAATTAGTTTAGTACTAAAAATTGGTTTTTTTTTAAAAATTTAAATCGGTCATTTTTCAATATTTTACATCTATATAATTTGATTTGAATTCGGAAAAACAACCCAGTATAAAAAATACCCATGTATTAAATAACTGTTTAAAATTTTCATTTTCATTGCTATATAGTCTCTTTTTACAATTTTATCATTACAACCCATTTTTGTAACAATTGTATTTTTAAAACATGGCAATTAGAATTCCAAGTAGAATACAATTTTGCTTCTGTAACATAATTTCTGAAAAATGTCACAAAAGGGGGGGGGGGGAAATTCGACTTGAACAGGTTGCGTTTGGTCCTTAAGATTGTGATGGAGGGCTGAAATTTTGCATGCAGCCTCAAATTGATGTCATCTACATAGATCACGAAGAAAATTTGAGATCCAAGGTCATTGACCACCATTTATACTTCCATGCATTAAGAAAATACTGGAAAATACCCCTTATTTTAAGTTTATCAGACATGTTTTCATATTTTTTGCTACCACATGTCATGTACTGATATTTACACATATATCCGACCTCCTGTTTTACCTCCCTTCAATAATGACCTCTAAAAAGGTCAAAATATTAAATCATAGGTTTTTTGCTGTGCCGATTCCGTTCTGAGACCCATTTTTGACCTCAAATGATCTTTGAGGTCGTCACCTCCAGATATCAATGACCTCGGAAGGTTAAAATATGAAATCAATGAAAATTAGTCATGTGAGTTATCAAATCATAGGTTTTTTGGTGTTCCGAATCCATTCTGAGACCCTTTCTGACCTAAGATGAACCTTGAGGTCATGACCTGCAGATATCAATGACCTACGGAGGTCGAAATATAAAATCAATAAAAATAAGTAATGTGAGGTATCAAATCTGATATGTTGTTAATTCTATATATTAACTAGATGGTTAAAAGAATTCAAAATTTGGTGTCACAAATTGTCGAATTGTGCCCCCCCCCCCTTTTCACACCCCTGCTACTATAGATGGTTTCGTTTTGGTGTCGCTGTAATGTAACTAAAAACCTACAAATCTATCTGATTGATGAAAGGTAAAATTTTCATGATTTATCAATGAATTACAAAATGAATGACTCTCTGAGGGAACACAACACAATAATCAAATTTACTCATTAAAAAATTTAAAGATCCTTTTATCTCCGGAGAATAGGCTGATTTGATTAAATTATTAGTTTTGTTACAGCCCCTTTAAGTATCTGGAAAACAGTTACAGTAAACTTTTAAGTTCCTGGTAAAGAAGGGGGTTCAAAAGATACTCTCGACAACCCTTTTTTAAAAGGGGGGTCTTCGACCCCTTGACCCCCCCCCCCTGTATCCGCGCCTGATTTTTAAATTACCTTTCTAAAACGTCTAAACTTATCCGGGAAAACACGTTGGATCAGTTTCTTCAGATACAGCTCTTCCTAGGGTTTAAAAACTACACATTTTTTGTCAAAATGAGGGAAAGTTCATTTTAGATTTCTTTTTTAATTTCTTTTAAAAAACTAAAAAAAAAACACTATTTTTTTGCTTAAACTAGGATTGTTTTCATTTTTCCAAGCAGTTAAGTTAAATTGCTGAATATCAGAACCTGTCTTAGGTTCAGGATATTTACCTGATTAAACAATATCTTGATGGATCTCCTAGGTTCAGGATATTTACCTGATTAAACAATATCTTGATGGATCTCCTGGGTTCAGGATATTTACCTGATTAAACAATATCTTGATGGATCTCCTAGGTTCAGGATATTTACCTGATTAAACAATATCTTGATGGATCTCCTAGGTTCAGGATATTTACCTGATTAAACAATATCTTGATGGATCTCCTGGATTCAGGTTGGGGCAGGTTGGAGAATATCTGATCACAAGGTTCGATCAGCTTTATTATCATCTTTACTCCTCCATCCTCACTACACTCCAATCTTATCTAAACCATTAAGTTTACTTAAAAATGACTTTGGCGAAAAAAAGGTCCTTTAACTTAAAATGTAAAATTTCTAAAAAGCAGTGGAGCACAACATTATATTTTCTATCTTAATTTTTCAATGTTTTCCTGTGCATTTTCAAATATTATTAAAGATCGCACAAAAGTTCTGCTTGATCAGATAATGAAAGTTTTCAATATTTAAGGTTTACACCATCAGGTTGATAAAATATGTGGCGAGTAACCAGTTCCATAATAAACTAAATCATTGTTTCAAGCAAAACTAATACCTTCTTTACATCAGAGTTCTTCACGATGAAGCAAATTGGAATCTCGGCGCCCTTAATATAGAGGGAGCTTAAATCACTGATAAACAATCTTAAGAACAAAAATTTAATCGTAATTGTCTTATTTTTAATATCAAGAGATACTGAATATTATAATATATATATATATATTGAGGGTAAGTAAAAAAAAAATTTGATTAATGTCTTCTTGTACAAAATTATAATTTTGTGACATTGAAATTTTGCCTCCCCTCTCCCTTCGATTTATTGGTTTTTGACCGGTGCTATGGAAACGCCTCACCACGGAAATGCCTCAAAAACCACTTTAGAGGCATTCTGCTGTTTTAATTTGGGAAATCCCTCAAAACTGGAAAAGGTTGAGGGATTTCCGAATATTTTTGAGTTGTTTCCCAATATTTATGGTTAAGGTGTTTTCTCCTTTTTTGAGGCGTTTCCGCTAATTTTTGAGGCGTTTCCATTTTACAAAAAAAAACTTTTAATTAAAACTTTTTAAAGGTTGAGTTAAAGCACTTGTTGTTAGGTGTGGTTTTTTAGAAGTTATTGGCAAAATTCTCAACGATTTTTGCTTGAGAGCGTGAGACCATTAAATCGCAGTGACCAACTAACCAACAAACCAATTAACCAACCAACCTACCTATAACATCCAAACAATGACGCTCACCTAGATTCTTACATTTCAAACTAACAACCAAGAGCAAGATAGACGACGTTCAACCTCTCCAACAGGATTTGTAGCACACCAGCCAACCACATTCGCAACCTGGATGTAACCCTGAACAGCAGCAATGCATAACCGATCTCTCCAAATAACGCAGCCCTACCCACCAGATAACCACCCAATCCTGCTCCTCAGACTGGCTTTCCAACTCACTATTCAGGAGAATAACATCAAGGTACTGGATCACATCAACCATACATCCTAACCATGAATGCCAACATTGAATTTTTCCTTTATGACTGCCCCAGCCTCCATTAAGCCCGATAGATTACCCAGAACATCCTCAACTCCCGCCCTCAACCACCAGTTAACCACCCAATCCTGCTACTCACCGCAGCTTTACAACGCTCTTTTCAAAAGGAAGAGATCAAGGATCTGGATACATCATGAACATGAAATCCAACCTTGACCTTTTCCTTCATGACTCCTACAACCGGAGAGGTTGCCATGGAACTTCTCCACTCACTCTGCAGCTCACATACTCCCATCTTTTACTGGGATTTCTAAGACTTACTGGATTTTCTACAGCGCTCAATACCTTCCTGCTACTCAACACCTGTGCAAAAATCCTTTCTGTCAAGACCTTCATCCAAAATCCCCCTACTGACCTCTAACTTGGTGATCCCACATTAACTGTAGATCCTTCACTCAAACTATATCAGTCAACTGAACAAGATCTTTCACCCGAATCTGATCCTTCAACCGACCCAGATCCATCTACTGAACCAAATCCTTTAACCGAACCGGATTCTTCTACCGAACCAGATCCTCCAATCAAACCCTATCCTTCAACCAAACCAGACCCTCCTACCAAACCAGACCCTTCAATCAAACCTGATCCTCAGAACCAGAATCTGCTACTGATCCAGATCCTTCACATATTCCAGATCCTTCAACCAAACCAGATCCTTAAACCACACCTTCAACAAAACCAGATTCTGCAACTGATCCAGATCCTTCAACTAAAACAAATCTTTCTACCAAACAGAACCCTTCAACAAGATCCTTCAATCAAACCAGACCCTTCAACCAAGCCAGATCCTATAACCAACCCGACCCTTCAACCAAACCAAATCCTTCAACTGCACATGATCCTCCTACCAAATCAGACCCCCAAATGAACCAGATCCTTGAACCAAACCAGACCCTTCAACCAAACCAGACCCTTCAACCAAACCAGACCATTCAACCAAACCAAATCTGCCAACCAAACCTAAGCCTCCTACTGAGCCAGACCCTTCAACCAAACCTGATCCTTCAAACAAACCAGATCTGCCAACTGAACTGGATACTACTACCGAACCATTTCCTCCAAGTAAACCGGATCCTTCAACCAAACCAGACCCTTCAACCATACCAGACCCTCCAACAACCAGATCCTACTTTCAAAACAATCAAACCAGTCAAACCAAATCCTTCAACCAATCAAGACCCTTCTACCAAACCTGATCTTTCTACCAAACCAGATCCACCTAATGCGCCTAAACCTCCTATTGAACCAGACCCTTCAACCAAACCTGATCCTTCAACTGAATAAGGTCTGTCAACTGAACCAGATCCTTCAACCAAATCAGATCCATCAACCAACCCTTGAATTCCGGTGACAGGGTTTCCAATCATAAATATTTTACATTTCTTAATTTCCTAGGAAAATAAAATTTATTCAAATTCCTTTAATTTATTACCAAAAAAATTTTATTTATTCCCCGGGTTTTAATCTAAAATACAATTTCAAAAGTTTTGTGGAAACGCATCAAAAATATTGGGAAATATTGGGTGAGGCCTTTCCATAGCACCTTTTTGACCATGTAAAAATATGTGTTTATATAATCCTCCCAATCCTGCCTTAACAACTGCAACACAGGAGAGGGATGATGTTCCCAGGTTAAAATCCATCCAGAATTCTACAATTTCATCCAACTTCAACAGCTCCTGACTTCCCAGAAAACATCTAAAATAGAGAACTTGGTGACCTCGTAGTTCCTCTAGTTTTAATTTTACATACAAGAATGAGAAAAACAAAGGTATAAAGTCTAAGTCACGTATTTAAATTTAATGGCTCTTTTTTCACTAAGAGAGGAGTAATGTTTCAAAACATGTAAGAATGCAATTTTACGTCCAATTTACTTTAGTTTGACTAGAAATTGAATTTTATAACTTCAAAGATTTTAAACTTTAAAAGAATTAAAAGGTTGAGTTAAAACTAAATCACAGTGGGTTTAGAGGGACTCATTTCTTTTTTACCTTTTAAATGGAACTACTGTTCTATTGAACTAAAAATGGTGTACCTAAAACCCTCTTTAAAAAACTGGCACTTGCAATGTTTTCTGATACTTTTCTTACTAACCTCAAAAAATGTAAAAATAATTTAAACTTAGTGCTTAGCTATTTCTGTCATTACATTAGTATTTTTAATAGTTAAACTTTAAAATATACTGAGTATTTGTCCTTCTTTGAATTATCCATGCCCGGATCTTTTCTGATTTGTTTGCTATTCTTAATTTGTTCTTGTTTTTATAATTTATGCTTTATTGTAATCTTTTTATTTTCATCTATGTATAAAAAATGTTCTCCCGGAAAATACGCCTTGTTGCTATACGTAGCGGTTTCTATACGTTGGATTTCTAAAAGGTTTGACTTCATTTTGTAACACCAGAACCATACTGCAGTCAGATTATCATACAGGGAAATTTTCAGATCCTTCTAATATATTTCTTGCTTCTAAATATCCCTGGGAAAGAATGACACCTTCTTTATAACCGTCCAACCTTTTAGTTCTAGAACTGATTTTAAAATAAACTTCTTTCCTTTGTAATTTTATGCCAAAATATATTATCATTAAAGGCTAATAAATTAATTTAGTATTACTACGGTACAAGGTGTCCCAATAAACATGGTAATCTAAAATTTCACAGTTTTCTGAGCAGAAATATAAATTAATAAATTTATTTTTGTACAAAAGAGAAATGAAGAAATCATGAGAAACCTAATTTACACTCCATAGAATTCAAGGGATTCATCAGTATGTTCTGACATTTAAACAAAGATTGCTACTTTACGTATAGATTGAAGAATAGAATTATCCAAATCATTCATATCTTTTAAATCAAGAATACTGAAATCAAACAAAAGATAAAATTAACCTGAGTACAGGTAGAGATATAACTTTCCTCTGTTCTCCCTGGTTCTTATTAATTTTATTCAGGAACTCCCTAGTCATTCATTCATTAGGTATTTTCCCAAGGGCGACTTCCCAACTGACAATTTCCCAAGTGGCAATTTCCCAAAGGTTAAGTTAGATCTTCTGAGGAGCTTCAGGTTGCAATGGGGGCCGAGTGTTGTGGCTAGGACGGGCTTGGGGGCCGAGTGCTGCGGCTAGGACATACTTTGGAAGTTGCCGCTTGGGAAAAAGCCTTTAAGAAAGTACCTAACATCTTTATTCATTTAGTCATGCATTTAATCATCCTTTTAATAATTCACCCCAATTATTCATTTATTCTTTCATCCTTTCATTCCTATATTTATGCATCTAATCATCCTTTTAATCTTTCACACAATTATGCATTAATTCATTCATCCTTTCATTCACCTATTAATTCACCCATTCATTCATTTATTCATTATAATTGCTTACTAAAACTATTCAGTATTCAGTTACTTCTGCTCTGATATATGTGGGCTTACCTTTTATCCCAGAAAACTGAGCATACAGTTCCTCCTACTCTAATATATGGAGGGGGGGGGGGGGCCTACCCTTATATCCTTCCTAGGGTTATTCCTACAAAACTAAGTTTACAGTTCCCCCTCCTCTGGGAAAAGGTATGAACAGAAATCTAGGGACGCAGGATACCCCACCCTTAATTTCGGAGAACTCCAAACCAAACCAAAAACATCCATCAGCAGACAAGGAACATTAGAAAAAGTGAAATGTATTAACTAGTAAAGCTTAAAATCCTTGAATAACTCTGCAATCAATAACAATTTTACTTGAACAACCAAGTTTTATTTCAGAAGTATTTTCCAAATGTTTAACTATTCCATCAAACACTCCGAACCTTAATCACTCCTAATCATAGTGTCACCCCTAAATAGTAAAATATATAATTTAATATTCAAAAAACATTTATACCTCAATATTTATTTTACTATATTTGTATTTTTTACAGGTTTGAAATGTATCCATTTTCATGATTATTTGCAACTTCCGTGACCGCTTTTTAAGGAGCCTAATCAACAAACCAACTAACCAATGAACCACACATAGATTCAGCCTCCTTATAAACAGTCTCATCAATTTTTAAGACAGGGCTGACTTTGAAGTGTCGCAACGCCCTAAGCTTAAATTTTACCGCTCTAACTCACTTATGCTTTTCTGTAGCCCTTTACATGTACATTTTAGCACTGTAAAGCACTTGTTGTTAGGTGTGGTTTTTTAGAAGTTATTGGCAAAATTCTCAACGATTTTTGCTTGAGAGCGTGAGACCATTAAATTGCTTACCTTATATCCTGCATAGTGTTAATCCTAGAAAACTGAGTATACAGTTCCTCCTGCTCTGGGAAAAGGTATGAACAGAAATCTAGGGACGCAGGATAACCAGACAATAATCTAGAAATATATAGATTATAGTAACATTTTTATTTTATATTAGAATCCCTATAAGAATTGAATTTTAAACTGTTTAACATAGCATTTAGAAGTACTTAAATTTTGGTTATTTTAATGATTTGATTTAATTTTAATTAATTTAATGATTAATATTTAACATTTTTTTAAGATTATACAAAAGAAAATTATGAAATACAAAGAAGTAATCAGAAAAAATCTTTGCGCGGTCACAGGCAAATTTGTTTACTTTGGAGAAAAAAATAACAATAGTGATTATGAACCATGCAGTTTAATATAAGAAAGTAAACAACTATATCTCTAACAGGGGGTGGAATGATTTTTGATGATTTGGGGGACAAAGTAAAATTGGACATCAAAAGGTTAAGGTTCTTTTTGATACTTTTTAACCAATCATTTATTTTCCCCAATTTAGAGAAAAAAAACATAAAATTTTGTGTTTGCGCTTCACGCATACATTTATAACTTCCGGAGAAAAAAATTATTTTCAAAACGGGAAGGGGAGATAATGATTTTTTTAGAGAATTTACACAAAATCTAAAGATATGTGTTTGCATTGTGTTACCTTGTTAGAAAGATAGATATATTTAACTGTGTCTCCATATCCCCGCAGGACTGCATTATATCTGCCATATTCATCAGTTCATCCATACACTTCAGCAGCTTGTTTCTAGTAAACCAGAGTAAACCAGAGTAAACCAGAGTAATCCAGAGTCAGCCAGAGTAAACCAGAGTAACCCAGAGTAAACCAGAGTAAACCAGAGTAATCCAGAAACAGCCAGAGTAAACCAGAGTAAACCCGAGTAAATCAGAGTAAACCAGAGTAAACCAGAGTCAGCCAGAGTCAGCCACAGTAAACCAGAGTTAAACAGATTAACCCAGAGTAAACCAGAGTAAACCAGAGTAAACCAAAGTAATCCAGAGTCAGCCAGAGTCAGCCAGAGTAAACCAGAGTAAACCAGATTAACCCAGAGTAAACCAGAGTCAGCCAGAGTAAACCAGAGTAAACCATATTAACCCAGAGTAAACCAGGTTCACCGACAAAGGGTCAAACGACACAGGGTCAAACGACAAAGGGTCAAACGACAGTGGGTAAAACGACAAAGGGTCAAACGACAGTGGGTAAAACGACAAAGGGAAATTTTTTTTTTTTTAATTTTGACATCTGTTAGTATTTATCTATTATTATTTAGGGCTAGGTTAGGTTAAGACACTTTCTGGGCCGAGCGCTGCGGCCACATGGTCAATTATATCCATGTCTAACATATAAGATCCATGTACAAAATTGATAGGAGGGTTGCAAGTTTCCTACAATTCATATCAAAAAAATATTTTTATCATTTTGACCCTTTGTCGCACTTTTGACCCTTTGTCGTTTGACCCTTTGTCGTTTGACCCTTTGTCGTTTGACCCTGAGTCGTTTGACCCTGGGTCGTTTGACCTTTTGTCGGTAAACCAGAGTAAACCAGAGTCAGCCAGAGTAAACCAGAGTAAACAAGAGTAAACCAGAGTCAGCCAGAGTAAACCAGAGTAAACCAGAGTAAACCATAGTAAACCAGAGTAAACCAGAGTAAACCAGAGTCAGCCAGAGTCAGTCAGAGTCAGTCAGAGTAAACCAGAGTAAACCAGAGTAAACCAGAGTAAACCACAGTAAACCACAGTAAACCAGAGTAAAGCAGAGTATAACGAATTATAGAGTAAAACGAAACAACCAGAGTAGGCGTGAGAAAAGTTATTTATATTATTTTAACTTTCATTGTTTACAGAAATTATATACCCTAGAAGTAGGGCTGGGAACGTTCCAACTTTTTTTTAATCTGTTCGTTAATGGTTAGAAAAGTCAACGGAACGGACAGGTTCATTTACTAGCTGTTATTAGTTTCTGAATAAAAATGTTCATTTCAGTTAACGTTGTTTCTGAATTATGTTCTGTATCGCAATTGCTGTTCTCTCTTAAAAATTGTAAAACCTGAAGACAAGGAAAAGACAGAGACAAGTGTTGAAAATAAAATTAATTTTCTCAAATAAATCGAAATTCTATTTCTCTTAACATATTTATTTGGCAAAATTCACAAAAATTCTTTTCGAAATGTTTACAAACACCCTAATTGCAGAGTGAAATGAGGGAACAGTATTTGATAGATAAAAAAATCAGTAATAAAGAAAGTGTTCATACAAAGAAAACCATGATCTGCTTTTCATTACGATCCAATATAATCTTACAAAATAATAATCTTACATTGTCATATGACACATCAAGAGCGAAAGGGGAAAGGGTAAGTCTAAATAAGAGAAACGAGAAGTTTGCTTACAGACTACATAGTCTAAAGAACTTATGTATTAGAATTAATAGGTCATCCTTGAATTGGGTGAACAAATCTGTCTTATCTATCTTGTTTTCTAGAATACCTTGCGCTATCAGATGGTTCCAGCATAATCAGGATATTCAGGACATTTACCTTGTTGCTGTCACTAAGAAACCTAGGTATAATATATAAAGATCTAGATTCTAGATAGATTTAATTTCAGGATATTCAGGACATTTAGCTTGTTGCTGTCACTAAGAAACCTAGGTATAGTATATATAGATCTAGATAGATTTAATTTCAGGATATTCAGGACATTTAACTTGTTGCTGTTACTAAGAAACCTAGGTATAGTATATATAGATCTAGATAGATTTACTTTCAGGATATCCAGGACATTTAACTTGTTGCTGTCAATAAGACGTAAACATTGCAATGTCTACGTCACATTATTGTCTTCTCCCATTCTTGGAGTTACCAGCCGCCCGCTGTTGGTTCTCTTTACGGAAAAAGTTAGTTTATAGCTTTTTAACAAGAAATTACAATGGATTTAGTACATTCTAGTTTTATAATTAGATTCTATCGACAATTAATCAAATATACGGGGGCCCCCAAGCATTAATGTTTCGTCGATTATGGCATGATACCTGGAAGAGTATATCTTCAAGAGTGGGGTGGGCCTCTCATGGCATGTTACCTGGAAGAATATATCTTCAAGAGTGAGACGAGAATATCATTTCCAATTATGGTCATGTCGTCTTCCTAACACGAGTCACATTGTTTGAGAGAGGATTAAATACCAGGACTAAAGATAGATAAAGAAGTGCTCAAGGACTGGTCGGAATATTTCAATTTATTATTTATATAAATTTGGCAAAGTATGGGAAAAGCAAATGTTTAGAACAAACAACTTAAAGCAAACCGATTATGCACTGAGATCTAGACAACTCTGAATGTTAGACATCAAATTTTTAGACAGCCTTGACTTTACAGTTTACCTCACCAACTTTCTTATACTTTTTCGTAGCCCTAGGCATGACATTTTAAAAATGCAACACGCTTGTTTCCAGCTGAAGTTTAAAATGAGTAATTGGCAATATACTGATCGATTTTAGCGTAAGCGCCTGTACATCTTGGTTTGCAGTAAATATGTGACCACTGTTCCTGATAGGCTGATATGGTTCCAGAAATGAAGCTAATAAAATCTTCAAAATTATTTTCCAGATTATCCTCTTCTATCTCACACAACACACTTCTAAAACGGAAACATTTAAAGAGAGGAATTGAAACGTGGTAAAAAGGATATAACTTTTAGCTTACTAAAATTGTTGCCCAAAAACAGGGATTAGCGTTTTTAAGCCCAAATGATATTTAAAATGACTAGAAAAAGTGCTTCAAGCCTCCAGTATTTAGTTCGATTCCTTTAGCCAGCTACTTTAAGGGTGACCGGACAAATAGAGTTGCCCCCTAACCTAACCTTTTATCTAATTGTGCTTTATAATATAGTTTTTTAATTTTAGAAGGGTTCGTTTAAGTAACATTTTGGTGTAGAACTAGTTATGACGAATGTTCGAAAACCTCTCTGTTTACTTTGAACAATTAATATTTTTTATTGTTCTATTCAAATCTAATTTGCAAAGAGAGAAAAAAATGCTTAGAAGTTTTAATAATCATTACATACTTAGATTACTATAATGTTTATCATATTACTGCAACCTCTCGTTTTATGGTTCTCTTCATAGAGTTCTTGGTTTTGAACTACGTATACACCAGGGGTTTCAGAAATCTTAGGGGTTCAGATATATGTAAAAGAAATGTTTGTTTCTTAAACAATATTGGTTAGTTGAGTAAGCTGAAGTTGACGGAGAGATTTTCGAACATTCGACCTAGTTACATTATACATACCAAATATATGGAAGAATCAAACGACAAAATCTTACTTAAATGACCCCTTCTAAAATTAAAAACTATATACGTGAGCACAATTAGATTAAAAGAGCTGAATACCCCTAATCCCTGTTTTTTTNGGGGGGGGGGAGGGCACTCTGTATGTTTGGGTCCCTCTCAGCAGCTGGCTGAAGGAATAATGCAAACTTATTCGTACGCACTGGCGATGAGATACTAATTACTTATGAGGATAATTTCAAGTAATCATTGACCAATCGTTTATAAAGTGCCATTCCCGATTAACAACAGTACCCTGAAAAGCTTTGACAAAAAACTCACTATTTTCAACTGTGGGTTCTCTACAAAAATGTTCAGGGTAGAAAAAAAGTTATCTTCCATATTATTAATTAGGTTTTAAGGGTACCGTTGTGAATCGGACATGATTTTCTTTATTTTTTTTTAATGGNGTGTAGCTCGACAATTTTGACGTCAGCTTCTTGAAAGGGAGAGACCGGTTATGTAACATGTTTGCTGCTGAAAGTGCAGTATTGTAGAGAAAAACTTAAGGATTCATTTGATACCATTGAGACAATTTTAGGATGTAAAATTTTTAAATAAGAACATAAAGTCGTTTGTAATATTTCACAGTGGTTTCAGCCAGCAAAAGAAACGTTTTTTACAATTATTTAATAACAAGGACAGCTACAGAAACCTTCAGAACCGACTGTACAGATACATGTAAAAAAAATTTATAAACTAATTTTAAAAGAGCTTATCCATGAAACGAAAACCGTAGAATCGATTATTTTAATATCACTATTACCTTCGCTGTTTCTATAACTTTCTTCGCAGATTTATTCAAAAATCAAAATGTCGTCTTTGCAATTAAAAAAACTTCCTATAAGCTACAGTGAATCCCAGATATATAAATATATTTTTATTGATAATTTTAAAGAAACTTCTTTTTATTAATAATTCAAATTAATAGCCCTGAAATATGAATACAATTGATATATTAATATCAAGCTCATTTTTCTGGGGTATTTGATTTTAAATATGTAATACGACATTATAAAAACTCTTGCTATGTATTCATATATCTGGGATTCACTGTACCATAACTAAAAGAATTTGCATAAACCTGTGAGATTTTAAAATGACTTTTAATAACTTCTTTTCAGTGATATAAGTTCATTAATTTTCTCAACAATACGTACATTGAACATTTATCTAATAGGATAGGCGGATTTTAATCCGATGTACTCATATCCTATTTTTATAATAAAAACCTGCGAGACAATAATTTTAGTTTGAACATTTTTCATACCGGATAAACCTTCGAAGAATCTTCTTGGTAGTGTTAATATCCGGGATCTCATGTTTATACAGGGACTCCAGGATAGGATGGAGAAAAGACAGCTCCGCCCAGTTTATCCGGGTTGACAGGATATACTAAACATTTATTCAGTTTCGTAAATCCAAATATTAACAGTGAACACTGATGCAGTATCTTAAATTCATATCTGAACCATGATAATATAATATAATAATAATATTATAATTTTTCTGTACCAATCCAGTATTCTTTACCTGAACCTTGATCCAGTATTTTTTACCTGAACCCTGATACAATATTCTTCACATCTTTCATCTGTACCCTGATCCAATATCCTTTACCTGAACCCTGATACAATATTCTTCACATCATTCATCTACACCCTGATCCAATATCCTTTACCTGAACCTTGATACAATATCCTTTACCTGAACCCTGATACAATATCCTTTACATCTTTCATCTGTACCCTGTTCCAGTATCCTTTACCTGAACCCTGATACTAAATCCTTTACATCTTTCATCCGTACCCTGTTCCAGTATCTTTTACCTGAACCCTGATCAAGTATTTTTTACCTGAACCCTGATACAATATTCTTTACATCTTTTATCTATACCCTGATCCAATATCCTATACCTGAACCCTGATACAACATCCTTTACATCTTTCATCTGTACCCTGTTCCAGTATCCTTTACCTGAACCCTGATCTAGTATCCTTTACCTGAACCCTGATACTATATCCTTTACATCTTTCATCTGTACCCTGGTCCAGTATTCTTTACCTGAACACTGATCCAGTACCCTTTACTTGAACCCTGATACAATATCCTTTACATCTTTCATCTGTACCCTGTTCCGGTATTCTTTACCTGAACCCTGCTCCAGTATTTTTTACCTGAACCCTGATACAATATCCTTCACATCTTTCATCTATACCCTGATCTAGTATCCTTTACCTGAACCCTGATACTATATACTTTACATCTTTCATCTGTACCCTGTTCGGGTATTCTTTACCTGAACACTGATCCAGTATCCTTTACCTGAACCCTGATCCAGTATCATTTATCTGAACCCTGATCTAGTATCCTTTACCTGAACCCTGATACAATATCCTTTACCTACTTTACTTGAACCCTCGTTCATTCCTTTATCTGTACCCTGATAAAATATCCTTGAACCAAACCCTGATTTAGCTTTATATGAAAACTAATTTTTCCCTATTAAAGTCAAACCATTCAACCAAGGCATCTAATGCATAAAATAGTAATCTATGTTTGTTTGTAAGTCCTACCATAACTCATGATCGAACCCCATATCTGATTAGTCAAAATTTTTATAGGAGAACTCTAAAGATTAACCACGAAAATGTTCTTATTTTGGTTTAAAGAGTACATTCTTCATCGAGTTTAAGACAAATCGGTCAAGGAGTTCATGAGTTATGATTGGACATACAGACATACGATAGATGTCACCCTAAATCACATTCAATAGTATACTTGGATGTCTTTAAAGTGCCACTGTACTGTACCTGAACCCTAAGCCAGTAGTCTGGAACATTTTCCTCCCAACGCTGAGGATTTAGGTTTCTACTTTTAACCAGAACCTTCCAATGCTGCTTTTTCTGCTCATTCAGCAGCTCCTGCAATATTTCTTTTTTACTTTAATCATTTTTTTAAGTAAAAACAACAGGCCTGTAGCTCAGGGCGGCCCTGTACAAATAGTTCAGAGGTGCACATTTTCTTTTTAATAGAGATATATGAAACTAAGAAAAATCCAAAATATTTTTTTATTTTGAACCATTTTTTCCGGTGCCGCCAGAAAAAAACGTGATTTTTTGGCCATTTTTGATTTTATTTCTTAAAACTTTTATAAAATCCAAAGTTTTTGACTGAGAATAATGTTTTATATCATTTTGGAAATCCCAGATAATGGTCAAAAAGATAATACCAACTTTTTCTGAATATTTTGAAAATTCATAGTTTTATAAGCAGTGTTAGCCCTAAAATCATCGATTTTATTGATGCGCACTTGCACCTCACTAACATACCCTGAGAACTGAACAAAACAAAAAAAATTTTCATTTTCTTTATTTTATACTTATTCTAAAATGTCATTACTTTTTGAAATACCTTCAAAAATGGCCGATCAATTAACAATTAAAAAAACTCATTTTTTTGAGTTTTTTTTAAATTGAAACTCTCTTATAATTTAATGACGTGTTTGGACATTTTGAACTTGTTCTTTTAAAACATTCATAAAATACATAGTTTTTGACTTGGAATGTTGTTTTATATCATTTTAAAAACCTCAGCTACTACTTTATAAGACAATATTAAAAAATCTTTTTAAAATTGTTGAAAACTATTTTATTTTTATGTAAGTTTAGTCGAAAAATAATCTGTTTTTTTTTACTATACACTAACCTGGTCAAAACACTTGCTGACAAATATTAAAACATTTTTTTAGTTTTTCACTTTCTATTTGATATACTCTATGCTTAATGATTTAGACAACTTAAGAAATCTATAAACATTTTGAAGTGATATGTTATTGAAGAAAAGTGATTTTCCTCCACTTCAATGACATGTATTGAAATCCTTGTAGAATAGTCAAGTTTTAACTTCAGGTCAAGGTTGGACACAATTTGATATCAAGCTATAAGTTAACCATGATAAATGGAACAAAATATTATTTTGCATTTTTTTCATCTATAGCATTGCACGTTTATCTTAATTGTCATGGAAAAATATATAATTTTTGAAAATATTTTTGTACACAACAATCAAAAGTGATCGTCTGAAACACGATAAAGAAGACAAAATTTGAATTTGAAACTGCCGTTTACTACATTTCTGTGAACTTGCAGCAAGAAACTTACTGAGCAACTTAATATGGCGAAAAATCAGGGCCATTCTCAAGAAAAGGACTGATTGGAGAACAGTTATGTCTGTTGAATCTATGAAAATTGTTCCTTTTTTCCCTATGCCAAATAAACTGGTCCCCAATGTACCTGATGACTTCATACTGAATCTCTCTACAGTACCAGAGATATCTTTAACTCATAGGCAAATGGGATTCTATCTGAGCTGGGAACTTTTGATTTCTGGATATCGGGATTAATGCTTGATCAGCTCTTTATCTCGAGATTAAATAATGCCTTTTCTCCTCTTGTTATTAATCTCCAGATTAATTAATGATCGGGATTAAGGATATCCCATTCAAAAGTTTTCAGCTCTGGAAATATTTCTACTGACTTAGAAAAGAATAAACCTGGCCCACATTCTAATGCCAGATGGCTAAACCAGTTCTCCAGACTGTTAAGAATATATGCAGCAACAACAAATCCTCCTCATTGTCTGATACGTATGGTCCACAGATATATATGAAATAGTTTCAAATCCAAATTTTGTCTGTTTTATTGTGTTCCAGAAGATCTTTTTTGATTTTTGTGCACAGAAATACTTTCAAAAATTAAATATTTTTGAATGACAATCAAGAAAACCGTGCAATGCTGAGATGAATAAAATGCAATATAATTTTTTGTTCCATTTATCATGTTTAACTTATAGCTTGATATTTAAGCTCTTTAAATTGTGTCCAACCTTAATCTTACAGGGACTGTGAAGAAAAAATAAAAGGAGGTATAGGCTGGAAACAAAAATGCAAAATAATTTGATATTTGATTGTGCCCAACCTTGACATACAGAAGTTAAAAATTGACTATTCTACAAGGATTTCAATACACGTCATTGAAGTGGAGGAAAATCACTTGTCTTCAATAACATATCACTTCAAAATGTTTATAAATTTCTTCGGTTGTCTAAATCATTAAGCATAGAATATATCAAATAGAAAGTGAAAAACTAAAAAAAAAAAAAATGTTTTGATATTTGTCAGCGAGTGTTTTGACAAGATTAGTGTATAGTAAAAAACCAGATTATTTTTCGAATAAACTTACATGAAAATAAAATAGTTTTCAACAATTTTTAAAAAGATTTTTTAATATTGTCTTATAAAGTAGTAGCTGAGGTTTCCAAAATGATATAAAACAACATTCCAAGTCAAAAACTATGTATTTTATGAACATTTTAAAAGAAAAAGTTCAAAATGTCCAAACACGTCATTAAATCATAAGAGAGTTACAATTAAAAAAAAACTCAAAAAAATGAGTTTTTTTAATTGTTCATTGACTGACCATTTTTGAAGGTATTTCAAAAAGTAATGACATTTTAGAATAAGTATAAAATATAGAAAATGAAAAAAAAAATTTGTTTTGTTCAGTTCTCAGGGTATGTTAGTGAGGTGCAAGTGCGCATCATTAAAATCGATGATTTTGGGGCTAACACTGCTTATAAAACTATGAATTTTCAAAATATTCAGAAAAAGTTGGTATTATCTTTTTGACCATTATCTGGGATTTCCAAATAATATAAAACATTATTCTCAGTCAAAAACTTTGGGTTTTATAAAAGTTTTAAGAAATAAAATCAAAAATGGCCAAAAAATCACGTTTTTTTCTGGCGGCACCGGAAAAAATGGTCCAAAATAAAAATATTTTGGATTTTTCTTAGGTTCATATATATCTATTCAAAAGAAAAAGTGCATCTCTGAACAATTTTTACAGGGCCGCCCTACAGTGTAGCTGACCGGTGGGGAGGGGGGGTTGTGCCTCCTTACTCTGCCAATGTTAATGGGGTGGCACGGGCGGGGGTGGGAGGGGACATCCGATATAGAGACAAGAGGAAATAGAAAAGGGAGGAAAATGGGAAAATGAAAAAAAGAAAAAAAGGAAAAAAGGCCAGACACCCGTAATTAACCAACAATTTTTTTTCTATAATCACCGAATCTTTATGTTATATATACCTCGCTTCTCTGTCTGTCTGTCCTTTTGTATTCAATAAACGTCAGAACAGCTAAATCGTTTGGGCCCAAATTTTTGTGGGACCCCCCAGGAAGGTTTATGGACGCTAAAACTTACAAAAATTTGTGTCCAAAAGTTTAAATTTTTGTTAAATTTTAAAAATGCGCAAAAAAGATATTATTAAATCCACGAACTTTTTTCTAATTGTTTTATATTGTACAAAGAGAAGATTAACACAGATAGAGCCACAATTAACAATTGAAGTAGTAGATATGTTATAAAAATCATCAAGTACCATGAGTAAAATCTCTTTTATCACAATCTGTAGACTGCCAAGAAAACGTATAGGGACTGTAACAGTAATTTCAATGAATTAGATGTTAATGTTTATGATGTTAAAAAACTGATTATTTTCAATCTCTACAAAAGTGAATTGCTCATTTCTTCTGCAGAAAAACATACATAAAAAGTTATCACAAAAAGTTCCTTTCAACTCTTGAAAAACGACAATATCTTCCACATTATTAACCAGATATAGGTTTCAAGAGTAGCATTGCATCCGTTGGTTGTTCCCAATTCTTACATTTGTTAAGTATGTCAATATTATTCTCAATCTCACATTTGTTAAGTATTTCAATATTATTCTCAATCTCACATTTGTTAAGTATTTCAATATTATTCTCAATCTCACATTTGTTAAGTATTTCAATATTATTCTCAATCTCACATTTGTTAAGTATTTCAATAACTTTAGAAAATTGAGAGTAAATATTAAGGATTTGAATTAGTTTCGGTGGTGTATTTTTCGACCTACACATATCCGCCATACTCTATTTCTGACCTACGCCAAATCCGCTATACTACACATTCGACCTACTAGCACGTGGTATTATTACGGCTGCATGGACTTGGCCGCAGCGCCCGGCACCCTAGCATGTCCTAGCCGCGGTGCTCGGCCCAGAAATTGTCTTAACCTAACCTAACCCTCAAATAATACTAAAATAAACAGCTGGCGTAGGTCCGATATTGCAGTAGGTCGGAAAGTTAGTAGATCAGAAGTTCAGTAGGGGGGATGTTGCGTATAGACGATGTAACATTATCATTAGTTTCAGCATGGAAAGGGAATGACAAACTCATTTCAATCAATTTATATATATTTCGACCATCATTCATTACCTTAGGTTGACTCGAGAAACTTAAGGACTCCCTTCCACTTTCCATATTTATCTAGTCCAAGGAACAAACAGAATAAAATAGAAAAATAAGCATTTAATAATATAGATTCTATTTATATGATTTATAGAAATCCATAACACAATTATTATAATTGACGCAGTGTGTTTTTAAGACTGCTATGTATGAAAACTGAATATTTAAATACTAGTTAATTTTCATCTTTTTAGATTTATCCTTTAATTGAACAATCTTTTGTATTGTTAAGATGTTTTAGCTGTTTACAACAATTAAAAAACGATAAGTCTACAATAAATGTTTTAAAACAGTACGTGTAAATATCAAACAATACACCTAGGGATGTTAATGTTTTCATTTTTCAAAAAAACGATCGTTTCGTTATGAAAACGACGACGAAAAATCGAAAACGAAACGATCGTTTTTAAAAACGATTGTTTTTTTTTAAAAAATCGTTTTTCAAAAATGGTCGTTTTTAAAACGATCGTTTTTCAAAACGCTCGTTTTTAAGAACGATCGTTATTATAAAATTCGTCGTTTCGTTAACGAAGAGAGGAAACCGACCTGAAGGGTATCTGTACTTATCATTGAGTAGTTTTCAAGAAAATATCAAGGAGTTTTAACTCCCCAACAACTGTTAAACTTCATGTAAGTCGACATTCAATAAAGTTGCATGTAATTTTTTCCAAAAACGACCGTTTTGATAAAGTTCGTAGTTTCGTTAACGATCGTTAACGACAACCCTTCGTTAACGATCGTTAACATAATTGTCAATAAATTTTTTTTCAAAAACGATAGTTTTTTTAAAAGCGATCGTTTAAAAAACGGTCGCAAATCGTTTTAATAAAAACGATAGTTTACAAAAACGATCGCTATTCGTTTTCTAAAAGTTCAAAACGAGTGGGTCGTTTTTAAAAACGATCGTTTTTTTCCGAAAACGAAACGATCGTTTTTTTTCCGAAAACGAAACGATCGTTTTTGAAAACGAAACAAAAAACTATCGTTTAACGATCGTTTACGAAAACGATTAACAACCCTAAATACACCATACAGGAGATACATTCTCATTAACATGAAATGGAGAACATCAAACTAGTTATTTGCTTAAGTGCAACTATGAAAAGCTCGAATAAATATATGTATATGTGGAGTAGATTTTTTTTATCTTAAATAAATGCAATTTTAAGACCGGGATACAAGCTCATTTAACATATCACGAATATGGTCCAACCTTTCAAATTCTTTATCATTAAATACATGGTTACCATTTAAAATGCCTTGAACTTTCGTCTCAATCAATGTTAATTGTTCGAGGAGAGAAGAATTATTTGATAAATCATTCTTCGGCGACGTCGACGTCGTTTTACTTTCGTGATTTTCTTCAACATTTGCAGAAAGATTTTTGAGGTAATATTTTCTATATTCTTCTTCGAAATCATTGAACTCCAGACCATTAACACGGGATCGGAGAATTTCAAATGCATCAGCAGCAGGGACAGCTTTGTCAATCATGCGCTGAAATAAAATTTCTGCAAATCTTTGATTTTTTCCAAAACTGCGGATTTTCCTACTCTGCTTATTAGCGTTAGTTTTGCTTTTCGAGTGCTTGGTCACAGTTCCGGGTTTTCCTTTCTTGGACAGCTGATGGTCTCTATTTGAATGATTCTTGACTAGAAGAGATTTACTCGTTTTGAGTCTCTTGAGATCTAATCCGTTTCTTTTCTTTTTAGCTTTGGTCAGATCTCTTGAAGTTTCTGTCAAATCCTCCACCTTAAAGGCCAAAGTTATATTTAAAGTGTAAACATAAATAGTTAAAGAAACTGTAAGAGTAATTTTCAGTGACTCTCCATGAGACGGTAATGCCCGATTTACAGGAGTACCCTTGAAACCTTTATCTGATCAGTAATGAGGAAGATATTATCGTTTTACTACGTTGAATAGTGATTATTCCAGTAATGTTTCTTGTAAAAGAAATATGCGAGGCACTTTTGTAGAGATATCAAAGTTGAAAATAATCAGTTTTTAAAATTATTAATACTGATATCTAATTCAAACTTGATCAAAGAAGGATATTGTTGTGAATTAGGCATTGCCATCTTTGCGTGGAGTATCACTAGAATCTACGCATCAAGTCCTTTTAAGGGCGCTTTATTAGATTCTTCTCGTAAGAATTAAAAACAACGAAAAGAGAAATTTGTTAATTATATATACCATACCTCATTTTTAACAGTTCTCCTCTTTTTGGTTGGGTTAAATGTATCAGATACCATATCTATCTGAAGGTTTATTAACGATCTCTTTTTCTTTTTGAACTTCACAGACGAAGTTTTAATATCTTTACTTGCAGATCTAACTTCTTCCATTGATTGAGTAGCTTTAGAATCAGCTGCCGGGACGGGTTTGATAAATCCTAGTTTATCATTAGCTTCATCATAGTTAAAGGAGAGAACTTCACCCAAACTATTTCTTAGGATAAGACGTGTCAGTGCTGAGTTATCAGGTTTAACGGTACGCCTGGGATTCCTCTCAAGTAATTTAAGATCTTCTTGCCTTGGACATTTTGAACCCAGACTCGATCCTTCAGAACCAAAAACATGCTCATTTAAACCTGGGTTATTTTCTTTAGAAACTGAACTCTCTTCGTTAGAGCCCGGATTCAGTTCTTCAGAACCAAGATTTTTTTCAGCAGGACCCGGATCCAGTTCTTTAGAACCAGGGTTCTTTCCTGCAGGACCTGAATTCAGTTCTTCAGAATCAAGATTCTTTCCTGTAAGACCTAGATTCAGTTCTTTAGAACCAGGATGCTTTCCAGCAGAACTTGAGTTCAGTTCTTCAGAACTAGAACGCTTTCCAGTCGAAACCGGATTCGGTTCTTCAAATACAGGATTGTTCCCTGCAAGAACAGGATTCAGTTCTTCAGAACCATACTTCATTTCTGCAGAACCTGGATTGCGTTCTTCAGAACCCGATTTTTTTTCTGCAGGACCATCTGGATTCAGTTCTTCAGTACAAAGATTCAGTTCTTCTGGACCGGGATTTATTCCAGCAGGACTTGAATTAAGTTTTTCAGAGCCAAGATCTTTTCCAGCAGAACCTGGATTTAGTTCTTCAGAACCAGGATTCTTTCTTGAAGTACCTAGATTCTGTTCTTCAGAGCAAGTATTCTTTTCTACTGAAACGGAATTCAGTTCTTTAGAACCCCTTTCTGCAAGGCCTGGATTTAGTTCTTCAGAACCAGGAATCTTCCCTATAGGACCTGGATTCAGTTCTTTAGAACCTGGAATTTTGTCATGATCTTCAAAACCAATATCTTTATCTTCAGAATCTGGATCTTGATCTGCACAATCTGAGTCAAGATCCTTCATATCAGGATGGTCCATAACTCCAGTTATCTCAGTCTTTTTGTTTTCAGCTGCATGAATAACTTCTTTGTTATTGTTATTTTTATGTAGATTTTCAATGTCTACGGCTTCATTGGGTTTACACAACTTTACCTCCTCGTTTGTAGATACTTCATCATCAATTGTACAGCAGGATTTAGGGCTAACGCATCTTTCAAAGTTCGTGGATTTATTTTGAAAACAGACAGATTGTGCCTTAAGCAGAGCTTTTACATTTCTTAACCTTTCAATTCTAATTTCAAGATTCCTTGTTCTAATGGTGGTATTATTTTGCATCTTAGTACCAGCCGAGAAATTTTGATTCCTGAAATCATATTTTTGTAAATGATATTTTTTAATATACCGTTTGGTTTAGATTAGGCAAAGAAGTAAAAGATCGGTAAAGATGTTGCGTAGATAATTATTTCCAAGGTAATTCTACATTCTACAATTTACCCAAACGCACTGCCTTTATTAAGCCCCTGCTATCTTCGACATATGATTATATTTAAAGCATTTAATTCCAACAAAAAACGTATATTCTTTGTTAAATGGATTTACCTGACTTGAGATATTTTAGTGTGGTTCCTATTGCCTGTAGAACTATTTGCAGGAGTTCCAGTATATAGATTGTCAGGGTCTAATCTGGTACTAGGTCCAGTAGATCCATTGTCAGGGTCTAATCTGGTACTAGGTCCAGTAGATCCATTGTCAGGGTCTAATCTGCTACTAGGTCCAGTAGATCTATTGCCAGAGTCTAATCTTCTACTAGGTCCAGTAGATCCATTGTCAGGGTCTAATCTTCTACTAGGTCCAGTAGATCTATTGCCAGGGTCTAATCTTCTACTAGGTCCAGTAGATCTATTGCCAGGGTCTAATCTTCTACTAGGTCCAGTAGATCCATTGTCAGGGTCTAATCTTCTACTAGGTCCAGTAGATCTATTGCCAGGGTCTAATCTTCTACTAGGTCTAGTAGATCCATTGTCAGTGTCTAATCTGCTACTAGGTCCAGTAGAAATATCATTTGCATCCTTGAATAAAGAACATAAAACACGATCCAGTAAGTTTATGGAAATCTATTTTTAAAAACTTTAAAATAACTAACATCACAAATAGTATTTATTACCTCGTTTGCCATTTTTTCCATTTTTTGATTGAAAGTATCATTATTTGCCTCCCTTACAGGAATAACTAAGAGTGGATGCTTTGCTTTAAAGTGGGCTTCCAGAAACTTATAGCTTCGGACCTTCACATCACAACCTGGAGAACATAATATATTGCACCAAAATATTTTTCCACAAAATGTTCTCTGCTTTAATTTCCATTTTGTTATCATAACACAAATCTTTAAGGGATTGTCGTTAAAATTCACAACGGTAACCAACATTTCAACTGATGAACAAAGTGAAAGATATTGTCGTTTTTTCCCGATTTCCTCAATTATTTTTCAGTGAAGCAAGAAATAGCCGAATTTTTATAAATAAATCATGATTATCTCATTCATATTTGTTCGGACAAAGCTTTTAAGGATACCGTTTTGAATCGGACATGCCACTCTATAAATAAAGGCAAGGGTCACTTGAAATTATGTCTTCCGTTCCTTTAAGTGTCGACTATTAAAAGTTCAGTAAAACTCCCCTGATCTCACATTAGTAAATTAATTATTACCATATAAAATTGAGAAAAAAAATCAAAAACTATTTTGCTTTAGGTAAATAAGCAAGAAAAACTAAAGATGCAATTTTACTGAAGTTAGGTATGTTAGCGCGGAGCGGAAATTTTGTTGGGAAGATGTATTTACTTAATTAGGGAAAATAAATTAACTTTTAGGTAAGTATAAAAAGGATGAAAAAACTTGCCTTATGATGTCAAATTTTTCATTTTATTCCCTCAGATCTTCTAAATCACCACCTCCCCAAGGGGAAAAATTATTAAAATATACACCCCTGGATGACTAGGTTCTACCTGGAATATCACAGATAAGATCATAAAGAAAATCTTTCTTTGCAGAATTCTTCGCTTGCACCTTCCCCTCAACCTTCCTTGTCGTCTCCCCTGAGCTCCGACGGATATTATTATAAACCTTTTTGTAAACATTCTCTCCGGGATTATTTGTCGAGGATCTTCGAGGTTTCCGTCTCTCCTTCTTCTCTCCAGGCTGATGTTGAACTTTGTCGCGAAGATCAACCTCGTCAACATTGTTTCCGACTTCTTTCTGTTCACAGGGGACATGAAATCTCAAAATTTGAAACGTTTCGATTGGGGGGGGATTTTATTTCAAGCAAATCTACCGTGTTAAAAATGGGTGCGGAGTGAAATCATATACCCCTGCCTGTTTATCCCTCCTCTCATTAATGCCAGGTTGGGTTTTAGAATCACCTCCATCTCTCAACAAATCTTCTAAGTTAATCTTCGTCGCGGTTTCTTCAATTCTTGGTGTATTTGTTTCTAGTAGAACCGGTTTATTAAGAAGAGGGGGTTTCAGAACAGGAATCTCTGGATTAAGTTTGACAGTCCCCTGTGGCGGTAACTCCGTGAGACCTTGATCTTTATCTATCCTTTGTTTTAATTTAGCAAATTCTACTTCACCCCACCTTACACACGTCAAACAGATCGATACTTCTGAAATATAAATATTTTAAATATAAAATATGACAGATATTTAGGTATCACTTAGATCAATAAACGTATTTTCTACTTCACTAAGACTTTATTTTTGCCACGAAAACAAAGTTTTAAACTATACATTTTATCTATTTTTTTAAACGTAACGATTTGAAGCAAAAGTCGTTGGCAAAAAATTAAGTGAAAATAATTTTACCTAAAGAAACTTCATTTCTAGTATTCTCAGTTTTAAGGCAGCTAAGAGCTGACTTGAACGCCTTGAGAAGCCCCTCGTCGTAGAGGTATTTAACCCCGGGGTTCAGGAAGTTCAGGTTCAACCCACCAGGGTCTCGTGAAGCTTCAACTTCCCAGTAATGTACATCTGACGGAGGATATCCTTAATATTAAAATTCTAGATTCTAGAGGGGCAACTGGGTCCTTTTATATGGAGAGGGGAGAGGTTGCGCGCAAATTCCAAGGTTTGCACGCAGAGTTTTTATCGTATAATTATATGTTTAAAGGGGTAAACTTCTAAAAATATGCAGATGCAGTATTTTAAAATGCTGCAGTTTCTATCTTGTATATAATTAAGTACGGAATGAGGTGGTGCACCGCAAAATAGTTTTTTATTGATAAACACTATTTAATTCAATATCATTTCTAAATCAAATCAAATCAACTTTTAGGCGGTACTACTTCCATTTTGAAAAATTATGAAGAATCTAGCGGGGGGGGGGGGGAGGTTAGAAAAATACAGAATCCAATTTTTCAACATTTACCTATAATGATATGATTTGTACATTGACATTTTACTCTCGACACTTTTCTTTTCGCCGTTGAAGTCTTCGCTTTGTTTGAAAGAAGGCTGAATATTTCATATTTTATATTCTTGCCGCTAACAGAGAACGGTTTCACTCTAGCTAGACTTTTATCTTTTGAAGGAGCCTGATCAGAGTAAGTTACAGTGGGTTTAAGAAGAAACCCTTCGATAACTCGGCTAACTCCATTCTCAGAGTAACTCTGATACATTTTATCTCCGTCCTGGACTAGTGTACTCAATGTACTTTTAGAACTGTGGAGTGATGTACTTTCTGACCCCTGAATTTGAGTACTCCCTAATTCTTGTGGTATAAGTTGACCTGTAGCAGGGTCTAGAACTAGTGGAATGGTTTCTGATACAACCAATCCTATAAAGAAAATTGTTTAAGACTTTTAATTAATTAGTCAAACAATATTCGGTTCAAACTTCTGTCAAATACTAACAAAGAGTAAAGATCAAACCTTATTTTAGAAAACAATTTAGCTTCTGACCTTTTAAGCTTCCATGTACATCTAAAATCCAATGTTCTGTGTAGGGTCATATGAAATCAGAGTCTTAGGGAGTATAGAAGAAGGGTGAAAAATCTTGCCTTGTTAATGTCCCATTTTCATTTCCCCCTCCCCCCCCCCTTAAACTTTGCGACATACCTGTAAGATCCACTATTTGGTTTGAGCCCTGAATAGAATACTGTTCAGTTCCATCCAACATTATACAAGGTTGGAAATCAGCTGTCTCAGATGGTTGGAGAACTTGGGAAACAGTTTCAATTCCTGGTTTAGCCTTAGACACAGGTCTATACACTCTCTTTATCATTTTTCTAGCTCCGTGAGCATTTCTGGTTGTATTTTTTTGTTTTGTGGAGATAACAGAGATAGCTTCGGCCGGAGATTCCAATAAGTTCTCCAGGTGGTTTGAGTTACCAGTAGAATAGTTTGTACAGCTATTAGGAACAGGTATAGAGAAGGTTATACTGCTAGAGTCGGTCAGAGAGGATACGACAGGTGTAGGTTGGGTCTGGGTAGATGGAGGATTGAGTTTAGGTAAAGAAAATGAACCTGGAGATGAACCAGCAACAACCTGAGAAAATAATAACAACATTTTCAATAAGATTTGAAGTTTAAAAGCAATAGGCTAGATAATAAAAAACCCGACAGGATAATGGATTTTAGAGAGCCCCGGCCCTAAATATGTTCAGAAAAAAAAAACAGTTTATTGCTGAAATTTTGCCGTCACAATAAACCTTACAAATTCAACAGAGAAAATCGATACAGTGCTTGAAAAAGAACATTTAAAAATCATGAAAAACAAACAAAAAACTGAAACAAACATTTATCATCATTTAGAATTGACCTGAAAGGGTTGAAGGGTGGAGCCAGGTTCACTGGCTGGGATAATATACTGGTTGCCATCATCCCCGAAAGCAAGGATACCCTAATAATAAAAGAAAATATTTAAAAAACCATTTCTAATTAGAAGCAAATGGGAGAGGTGAGAACATCAGAATGATTTTAATGTTTAAACCTGTCAACCTTTAACTCTACAATTAATTTCCACCACCATTTTCCAAGGTTTAAAGAATAATCCCAATATTTTCAAATTTAGTTTTGACAAAATACTAATTAGAAAATGACCTTTATAAGTGTTCCGTCGAGATCAATCCACTGTGTTTCAGTATCCTCAAGCTCTACTGTAAACATATATTTAAAGATAATTTCAGGTGACTTTACATGCAAAGAAAACAATGCTAATTTCACAACGATACCTTTAAAATCTTTATCTGATTAATAATGTGGAAGATATTGTTGTTTTTCTAGATTTACAATTGTTTACTTCTGATAATTCATACATGTTTTCCTGCAGTAGAAATGCGCGAGACACTTCTGTAGAGAAACCATTATAGAAAATAATCTATCTTATAAAAATGATTTCTAATTCATACTCGATCAGACAAAGCTTTTAGAATATCGTTGTAAACTGGACATTTTCCTCATTGCTTGGAGGGTCACTTGAAATTACGCTTAGAGTCCCTTTAAATGGGGGAACTTCTTAAGTCCCATAAACAATTCACAACGTGTCCTTGAAACTTTAAAAGTAGTTTGGAGAAAGATAATTGAGAAACATTTATTCACCTCTGAATAGAATAAGATAATTGATATCAAATTGTACCCTAAAATCAACTAAAATTATATCAATAAAATGTAGACGACTTTTCTATTTAATTTTGATTTCTAACAAGTTTTTTTCAAATTACAAAATTACTAAACAAAGAGTACTGTTAATTGACAGCTTCTCTCTGTACAACGTGTATCCATTCTGAATAAAGCTTAGTAGAAATAAATAATTTAAATAGAAAGATGTCTTCATCGTATTGATATATACGACGATGACTGTACCTGGATTGTGAATTGACGATGTATCGCCCCCAGCTGCAAATGTTTCAAGTCCTGCAGAGATGTCCGGAGCTTTGTGAGCCGATGACAAAATATCGGAAAGTCCCACGGTTTCCGGAATTCCGTTGCTCAAAAAAGTATCGGAGATCAATGTTGAGAAATGACTATTGTCTGATTGAACGGAAACTGTAGACGATGCTGAGTTCAGATCCATAGATTCCGGAACCTGGGCTAGAACACCTTTAACATTGGATGACTCCGACAACGCTTCTAGTAAGCTAATTTCTTGGTGTTGCATGGTTGTTTTTGAAGATATCATAACTTTTTGAGAACTTTTTTTTAGATCGAAATTAGTTCATTCTTTTACTTTGGAGATTAACTCTAAAATTTGGATGTAGGACATTTCAGTTCGGGTGCCAGTCGACGTAATTTTCCCATTCATGACAATGCCTTTACAACAAGATGTATTTTAAAAATAAATATTTAAAATCAATTTAAAGTAAAGTGCACCTTCATAATAATTTTTGGTTTATTAATTTTCTATTTTGAATCAAAGCCCCTCACAACTTAATAAAACAACTCGGTTGAATTTACTCAAATAACTCATTAACAGATGGTAATTAAGAAAACAAGTGTTGACAATCCGTTTTTTTCAATTTAAGGTAAGTGATTTATTCAAGTTTTCAACAAAAGGGTACTATGTGCACAATCATGTCAGTAGTTCAGGCGACTGTAGTAATCTGTGCACGTACATAACAATAAGAAAAACTTTGCAGCATAGAAAAAGTTTATTAAAACACTATGAAAGACAACCGAGACAACCCGGCTGTGTGAAAATTTCATTTAATAAGTTTGTTAATAAAATGCAAGGATAGAAAGATATGCCAGTTAAATAATTTGACTAAAAATAAGGTGGTTATGCAAACATTAAAAATATATCCAATACCCTTTGGAATTATATGAAAAATATTTAAACGCTTATTAATATTTGTCCAATGCAAACTAAAAGACAATTATATCCAGATTAGGAATGGATAAAAGAGATGAGAACTTTGATTTTCCTAAGACAAAGGATTTTTGCTCGTTTTCCAAGCTAAAAACTAGAAAAAATTTCGTTAAGAAATTTTACGCACTTCTCAGTCATATGAAGACCAAATATACAGAAGTTTCTTTAAGTTTTAGAATTATACATTATGCGCAATATTGCCTTTATACATAACTCGTTTGCTGTTCTATGTGGATCTGTAGGTCATTAAATTAAGAAAACTTAAAAGTTTTATTATAATTACGCGCATCAAATGTATTATTATGGAAATGCACTTATTTCTACTTGTTTTTTAAAATATTGAGTGCGTTTTATATAATCTTAAGAAAATAATAAATTTCAGATTACTTACACTGAGAAGCTGCTTTTCCTCCACGTTATTTAACCGAGCATTTTCTCTGAAACTCAGCGCAATAAAATCACCGGATTAACTCCGTTTCATCAACAGATTAACCAACATACTTGAAATATATCATATATGACAGGATTTTCAAACAAAAAATGAAGTTATGTATATTAGTAAACAGTAGGAATATGATCGGTATGATGTAGTCTCAAGCCAAAAATATCTTTATCATAAGTTTACAATGCAAGGTTCAAGGTAAAAAAAACGCGAAAACACTAAATCTGAACAAAGAAATCTAGACAAAGTTATTGTATAAATGAAATGATAAACGTATGTGGGGATCCCATGCTAATCAAAACAAGGTTCCAATCATTTTATCTGGGATTAATCTTTTTTCATGAGGTAAATTTGTCATTAAAACACACAAAAACAATACATATTGTAGGAATAACCGACTAGTGTAACACATTCTCTACTGTTTGAGCATTTGAGGATTCAACCAACTGTTTCACAACGGAGTCAACTTCATTTATCTTCTTAAAGCTGGTGAACTTAGCATTAAACCTCGACCCCTTCCCTCCTCCCTTTCCATCCAGTAGCTCACACAACCTGAAACATTAGCTTTCAAGAAGTTGTTTTTAATTAAAGAGTTTTGAAAATTTTAATCTTAATTATGCTGTATAAAGTGTTCCTGTACAAAAACCATACTCAGAAATACCTTATTGTCTGAAAATGATCATAATAAAGTTCTTTTCTATTTGAATGAATTAAGGTATTTTATTATTATAATCATTATTTATAACGCATCATTCAATTTAAAGCATTGGAGAAAAAATTAAAAATTATACATCAAAGGGAAGTTTTTTTATCCTTTACGATAGCTTTCCCTTAAAAATCATTTATTTTTCCAAAAGCAGCGTAGAGAATAATGAAACTTTTTATACCTAACTTCTACTTCAGGGGAGGGGAGGGGGGTATTGTATTTTGAGGGGAAATATACACCTCTGGTTGGGGTTTAATACGAGGACTCACTTCTTTCCGATGATAGAGGGTAGATCACCGGTCCCCGCTACAACAAGCTGACCAGCACCGCCCTTCTCCTCCCCTGTGATGACGACAAGGAGGTATCCGTCCAACTCCTTCAGGAGGGTGGATATATAATCATTATCTCCTTCCCGTCGGTACAGGTATATATATCCAGGCTAGAATAAGGAGAAAATTTAATTTGTTACTCCTGTATTGAGGATAATGGATATCGAGATCAATGCTTGGTCTAGATCTTTTGTTAATCTGCAAATTAATATAATCTCATTCAATATCCCACAGAAGGAATTACTAAAATGAAGAGATTAAGCATTGTTCCTCAAGTTAAAAGATGATATGAAGATTAACCTCGTTTTCCAGTGATTTAATATTTTTCGCTTCGTTCAGAGCAATTTCTTTTAGAAGATTGGAGTTCGTCTTCGTTGTTGTTTTCAGATTTTTCACCAACTTCTCGACTAGATCTAGATGCTCTTCAGCGCCATTTCTGATAATTATAAAAAAAATATGTATTTTCAAAATCAATTCTTAAATAATAAGCGCGCTATTTTCTTGATTTTACTTTTCTTGATTTTAACCTTATTTAAGCAATAAATAAACTCAATTTCTAATGATATGGGGCTTGGACATTGAAATGTGAAGAGAATAATTGGATCGAATAATGGGATTTGTCCCGAAAAACGCTTTTAGGAACCCCCCTCCCTCTCAAAAATTTTGCAAATGACCTTGAATTCCGAGTATGTTTCAACAAATTTAATTTAAAAAGCGTTTTCTAGGAAATTACCGAAGACCGACCTAAGGATGGCTGTTAAGGCTCGTTCACGTTCCACAGTTTGTGCCAAATATTTGAGAACTCGAGACCCAACCAGAAAATAAAGCAAGTGCTTCCCTTTTTTACCTGTAAACAAAGTTAAGCATTAACTTTTAACAAGGTTTCATTAATATTTTTCTTAACTTACTTTCTGTAAACAGTAACTTGATTGCCTGAAGGTGAGAGAGATTAGAAACATGAGTACCGCAGCAAAGATTACTGTCAATTTCACCCATTTGAATAAGCCGGACCGGACCGGCATGGTCAGCTGGAAGTCCGCGAGTGTGTGCCTAAATAAAATTCGCGCATTTTGATCAGCTGATCTCAGATTTCAAAACAGGGGTATATATTTTTCAGACAAATAGTCCTTTGCAATTTTATTAATTAGGTTAAAAATTTCATTTTAAAAGGAATGAAAGAGCGAAATTTTTCTCAGTTCTAAAGTTCTAAAAAAAATAAAGTAAAATATTTAATTCATATCAAAGGTTGCAACTATTGCAATAATCCCTTATGAAATCTGCCATGGACGTCAGCCTTATTTTTTAATATAAATGTATTCCTTTTTAATATCAACCATGCAGAAGCAAAAAAAAAATCTTCTCAAACAAAAAAGTACAATAGTCTCATTATACTTGTTAATGGCGCCCCGTATTATACCAGGGTTACCACACTGATTGAAGATGGTGACAGCGTTGACGTAATTTACCTAGATTTCAGCAAGGCATTTGACAAGGTGCCTATAAATCGTCTTCTGGATAAAATCAAGGCTCACAATATCAGGGGCAACGTCCACAAATGGATCACAGAGTGGCTGAGTGGAAGGATGCAACGTACGGTTCTAAATGGGTCATTCTCTGAATGGTGTGAAGTCCTGTCAGGGGTACCCCAGGGGTCGGTACTGGGCCCCCTAGCATTTATTATATTTATAAATGATCTGGATGCTGAAACCTCTCTTATTTCCATTATGAATAAGTTTGCCGACGACACGAAATTGGGTCATAAGGTAAACAATGACACTGATAAAGGAGTTCTGCAAAATGCACTTGATAATCTCTGTATGTGGTCCGATAGATGGTGTATGGAGTTTAATGTCAAAAAGTGTAAAGTTATGCACCTTGGTAAAAAGAATAAGGATTATGAGTACTACATGAAGAGATCTGTACTTTCATCAGTTAACCAAGAACGAGATATTGGTGTGCTGGTTGAGAGCAGTCTTAAACCATCCTTACAGTGTGCTGAAGCATCTAGGAAAGCGTCAGTAGTTTTAGGGCAAATTACAAGGGCCTTTCTATACAGGGACCGATTTATATTCCTGAAACTTTATGTCCAATTTGTTCGGTGTCATCTGGAATTTGCATCCCCAGTATGGTCACCCTGGCATATCGGGGACATTGAGATCCTAGAGAAGGTTCAAAGATGTGCAGTGAACTTTATCACAGGTTTAAAGGGTGTGACTTACGAGGACAAACTTAAAGAACTCGGGATTCTTTCCCTAGTCGATAGAAGGTCCAGAGCTGACCTCATCCAGGTCTTTAAGATCCTGAAAGGTATCGACGATGTTGACAGCTCTACTTGGTTTACATTAGTTGGCCAGGAACCTCAAAGAGTAACCAGGAATACCAGTTACCATGGAAACCTTGTAGCAACCAGGTCAAAATCTGACATCAGACTTAACTTTTTCACAAACAGAGTTGTCTCCAGATGGAATGGGCTCCCGACAGACGTCAAGGACTCCAGAACTTTAAACATTTTCAAATCAAAACTTGACGGAATGTTCAAATAACTGGATCCCTATACTTGTGTTTTTGAGAAGTGTGCATGGATAGCTAAACGCAGACGAGAACCAGGCAGACCAGAACACTACTCTGGAGGACATGGACTGATATTCCTACCATACTCCTACCTGGAGTCCTTGGAATTCCATCACAAGTAAACAAGTAAATATTTACCGCATCTAGCTCTGGATCTCCGATCTGAAAGAGCTTGACAGAAACTGGAATTGCGTCCTGTATTGCGGAGTTACATCTCTCCTCCACCAAGCTCAGTGTCTCTGGTGGGACGGGTTTATCTAACTCTATATAAGATAATCCAACCTAAAACAAAAACTTCTTTCGAGAAAATAAAATAAAACCTTGACAGATAATTTCAAGAGAAATTGTGTTTGTTTTCGCACCGTCTAGCTTGTTTTTAAACCTCATGAATTGACAGTTGGATCTGCATTTTAACTATTGATCATTTGAACTATTGTTCATTCTAACTACTGATAATGACGTTATTTCCTGTAGTTCAAACAACACATTATTTACTCATTTGAACTATTATATAAAATATAGGTCAAACTATCATCACAAAATAGTTTACAGGATCAAAAAATGAGAAAAAAACGTATTTCAAATGAGCAAATTACAATTAAGTTCAAATTAACAAAAAAAAATTTTAAAAAAACCAAAAAATAGTTCAAATGAGAAAAAAATAGTTCATGCGCAAAATAAATAAATCATGAGCAAAAAATTAGTTCAAATGTGCAAAACAATAGTTCAAATAAGCAAAAAAATAGTTCAAATGAGCAAAAAGTTATTTTTAAAAGAATCAAAAAGATAGTTCGTATTTTTTAACGAATTCAAATATATTCAATAGATTTTTGTTCTTTTGAACTATTCAGTTGCTCATTTGAAAAATGTTTTTATGCTCATTTGAACTGATATTTGGCTCATTTGAACTATTTTTGCCTGATTTTAACTCTTATTTTGCTAATTTAAACCGTTAATTTTCGGCTCAATTGTACTATTTTTTTAACAGTTCAAATGAGCAAAAAAATAGTTCAAATGAGCAAAAAAAATAGTTCAAATGCACACATAATGTTATCGTTTGAACTATTATTCGTTTGAAGTACTACACGTGGTATCACGTGTAGTTCAAACGACCAATAGTTCAACAAGTCAATAGTTTAAACGGCAGTAGTTCAAACTAAATGGCACCGTGCAAAAGTGACTTTATTACTTGCTAATTAGAAGCAATATCTGCAACATTTTTAATCAGATTAATGTTACAGTCCCTTCAACTGATGTTTATGCAAATCCATAAAAAGTCCAAGAAGGGCTCAATATTTTATATTAAATCATTGCAACCTTATTTTCTGACGATTCTGCCATCCACCAAGCAGTTGTATTTATATTATATTCTCTTTCTAGAACTGCTGATACAAGATGCTGACCTGGAGTATATATTTAATAGAAGATACAATTTACAAATCTATACAGTGATGAACAGAGAACAATGGAAAAGGAAGACGACATTTTAGCAATACTTAAGTGTATTTGAAGTTGCTACAAAGCAAGTAGTTTTACTATACACTTTTTATATCACTAATTTAGTGAAATGGGTCTGTTTACACTGCACAATTGCTGTGTCTTATACTCATTGGACTTTTAAAAGTTGTCTTCCTATTATCACTGTAGGACAGGATGAACTACATACATTGATTAAATAAAGAATACAATTAACAGATTTTTAGAACTAGATGAACTAGAAACAAAGATTAAATAGAAGATACAATTTAAAAATCTATAGAACTAGATGAACTAGAAACAAAGATTAAATAGAAGATACAATTAACTAATCTATAGAACTAGATAAACTAGATACAGAGATTAAATAGAAGATACAATTAACTAATCTATAGAACTAAATGAACTAGATACAAAGATTAAATAGAAGATACAATTAACTAGAAGATACAATTAACTAATCTATAGAACTAGATGAACTAGATACAGAGATTAAATAGAAGATACAATTAACTAATCTATAGTACTAGATAAAGAAGATACAGAATATGAGAGTAAGCTAAAAGTTTATTGATGCTAAAAACCAAATAAAACAATAAAAAATTAAGCTGATAATAAAAAGGCTAAACATGTCTGACTTAGAACTTGAAAATCAGGTATGAGGAAACAATTTCTTGATATACATTATACAAGGTGTCTCTAACAAAGTGTATTTGGGCTTTTAGCCTAACATCGTTGTATTGTGTTTAAAGTGCTCCTAGTACAATGTCTATAAATAGAGGGTCGTTGATGAACTATTTTCATCTAAAATGTCGTTTTAACCTTCAAAGTGTACTTTAAATGTACTCGGTCCCTTTTATAAGATTTTCAACCAAATTTAAATATGTCTTTATATTTTATATTTTGAAAAATCCTCAATTCAATCATTGAACATGCGCAATTTTATTCTATTAATTTGTACAACAAAATCATGCTTTATTTTTTTTAAATCTTTGGAAAAGAGACTTTGCACGTTTTCGTATATTAGGCATATTTTATCGAAGACCCCCCCCCCTCACCCCATTTATGGCGATTTCACAGAAGCAACTATTAACGATGTTTAGTAAACTAAAAATTCTAAACACACTTTTCTCAGAGACACCCTGCAAAACAGTAAATAAGGAGGATATTGAACACCTGAATGCTGTTGCATATTATCAAACCGTCTGTTCCAGTCTAAGGATTGACGAACCACGGAACCAGGCTGAAGTTCTCCTGCTAAAAAGTGTACTGCAACGGTTCCACGGCGGTAAACATCTAAAACCTCTACTCCGCCCACAAGACCTACATCACGGCAAGGTGTAATATATGTAAGGTGGGGGTTGGGCACCCTTGGCCTTGTTTCAGTAGAAGTACACATTTCCGTTTACTGTTCAGCACTGATTTCAGAATTAATCTCTAATTGGATCATGAGAGATAGATAGAAAGATGGAATTGCAATTTCTATTGGTTTAAATCGTCACCAAACACGTGACTGAACCCTGATTGGATCAAACGCTATCGGAAAGCTGAAACAATGGTTCATGGTGTGTGGGGGGGGGGGATAGAATTTGCTTCCTAATTTGACCGTGACGTTTTAGGACTGGTGGCAACTATATCAAGTCAATAATAAAACTTATAATTTGAAAAAGGTTGGAGTTTTTTTTGACAGGGTACGAACTACGAAGCTTTACCTCAAAACCATTCCTCAAGATTCGTTGCTAAGTGGTCTCACACAAAGAAACAAACTTCTAAACAATTGATAAAAATTGTTGTTAACCAAGAGAGGACGACAGAAAAGCACATTCTTTTCAAAATTGACTGAACTCAGAGGAATGAACAGAAAAAAATAGTTTTATTTAATTGTAAACTGTAATTCAGTATGTTTTTAAAAAAGAGTTTTTTTATGTCCAATTCTTTAAAAGGTTTTAAATACCCCTCCTTAAACAAGCAGTCCCCTCCCCTCCCCCGACTCACGCAAAAGTTCGTTAATTAGATCGACCCCCACCCCAACTCTATATTCACACATCTACACAGTTTGTTTTTAATCTTTGTGAAGAAACAATCTCAAGGAATAATAATTGTCTTAAAACATTTTTTTAGAAAGTGAATATTTGCAAACTATCTTTTTTCCATCTCATAATCTGAGTTCTTTTCCCTTATGTCCATTTGACAGCCCAAATTTTTATTTTGAATAATCTTTTTGTTTGTTTATCTTCGTGATTTTTACATTTTTTTATTTTTTTATCGATTTTGATGGTTATTATATCGTTAGAACTGACCGAAATATATTTTCAATAAATGTGGAACTAACATCTACTTTTTTACTCTACAGAGGTTTGGTCCATCACCATCACTGAATTTTAAATTAATCACCAACTTTTGTTCATTTACATGAAACCGGTAAAGTAAAAATGTACGGAAATTCTCCCCCCCCCCCTTCCCTAATATCTAAAATCTTGCACAAGAGGAGACAGAAAGATTGGGAGATAATAACGTCAATTATGCGAACTATACCGAAACAAGATTTCAAATTAAAACATTTTTAAAAACCGGACAGTTTTAAACTTTCCAAAAAAAAATTTCATAACATAAATTATTCAAAAAATTTGGCTGGTTAAATATTGGCTTTTAATTCTTTAAAATATTTTGACTAAAACTTACAAAAATATTTTTTTATTCACAGCATGCATCTCTTAAATCCTTCAATTCTTTTAATCCACCATTTCACAGTTCATAATATCAAATCACATTCTTAACCTCCCTTTTTCTGACGAAAAAATTGTTGAACAGTTATTTAATTTTAAAAATGGTTTTCAGAATTAAAAATTGGACGTCGAAAAAGGAATGTTTTCCATCCTTTTTGATATTTTTCCCTATTACACTTTGAAAACATAAGTAAATTCTGGGGGGTGGGGACAAATTCAAAAGAGGGCGGTGGGAATTATGTTTTATCCTTTTCCGAAAAAATACATATTTTCTTAACCTTTGTCTGCATTCTGTCCCCCTCCTTCTGGGAAGAAAACAGTCTCCTTAAAGGTAACCTCGAATCCATCAACCTTCGCCTGCAAACAAACAAATTTTCTTCTGATTCATAAAAATATATACCTTCCTTCCTGCAGTGTCTAGTTGTCTACTAGTAGCACTGCAGGATACATATGGTTCTCTGCTTTATACTCCTGCCTTCCTACCTCCATTGTCTAGTTTTCTAATAGTAGTACTGCAGGATACAAATGATTCTCTGCTACATACTTCTACCTTCCTACCTGCAGTGTCTGGTTGTCTAATAGTAGCACTGCAGGATATATCTAGTTCTCTGCTATATACTTCTACCTTCCTACCTGCAGTGTCTAGTTGTCTACTAGTAGTACTGCAGGATACATATGGTTCTCTGCTATATACTCCTACCTTCCTACCTGCAGTATCTATTTGTCTACTAGTAGCACTGCTGGATGTATCTAGTTCTCTGTTATATACTCTTACCTTCCTACCTGCAGTGTCTAGTTGTCTAGAAGTAGCACTGCAGTATGTATCTAGTTCTCTGCTATATACTCCCACCTTCCTCCCTGCAGTGTCTATTTGTCTACTAGTAGCACTGCAAGATATATCTAGTTCTCTGCTATATAGTCCTTCCTTCCCACCTGCAGTGAATAGTTGTCTACTAGTAGCACTGCAGAATATATCTAGTTCTCTGTATATACTCCTCCCTTCCTACCTGCAGTGTCTAGATGTCTTCTAGTAGCACTGCAGGATACATATGGTTCTGCTATATACTCCTACCTTCCTACCTGCAGTGTCTTGTTGTCTACTAGTAGCACTGCAGTATATCTAGTTCTCTGTATATACTCCTACCTTCCTACCTGCAGTGTCTAGTTGTCTACTAGTAGCACTGCAGTATATCTAGTTCTCTGTATATACTCCTACCTTCCTACCTACAGTGTCTAGAAGTCTAGTAGTAGCACTGCAGAATATATCTAGTTCTCTGTATATACTCCTACCTTTCTACCTGCAGTGTCTAGTTGTCTACTAGTTACACTGCAGAATATGTCTAATTCTCTGTATATACTCCTACCTTCCTACCTGCAGTGTCTAGTTGTCTACTATAGCACTGCAGTATATATCTAGTTCTCTGTATATACTCCTACCTTTCTACCTGCAGTGTCTAGTTGTCTACTAGTAGCACTGCAGGATATAACCTCAGTTTCAAGTTCTCTGCTGTAGCTTTCACGTTGGCAGTAAAACATTTTATCTAGAAAGAGAGGAACCTCTAGAAACAAATCCAAGTAAACATCAGTAATTTGTATAAACTATCTGAAATTAGCTCATTTATTCACTAAATAATAACATTAATAAAATTTATCATTATTTATATAAATAATTACAAATACAGGGATACTGTAAAATAATCACAATCACGAAAAGTCTGAACACAACGTATTTTGAAAGTTTGAAATTGAGATTGAAATCCAATTTCGGGCTTACAGCTTCAAGTCTGAGAATTGTTTAACTAAACGATGGCAAAAAGGTAGGGGTTAGTAGTNGTGGAGGAACAGGAGAAGATACAACGTATTTATTCGGTAAATGATCTACTCTGATGATAAAGCAGGGTGTCAGGGGTCTCTCCGACTAAACTCATCATTTCAACATCAGCATTCCTATAGATTAATCAATCAATCAATCGTACCAGAAGTATAAAGGGAAAAATGCATAATAAGAGGTAATCATGGCTAACAGGAATTTCCCGTAAAATGTTATGACAAAATAATGCGGATTGGTTTTGAGTTTAAATCTTTGATTTTCTCAAGAATTCCGAATTCCTAAAATCCCTCCAACGCGACGTAGAATATCAAGATTGATTAATTGATTGATTGCCTGAGTGCCCAAAGATGATCTGTGATCTCCAATGCCTCCCACTCTGCTTTAAATGCCTGTTTGCTGTCTGGAGGCATACCTCCAGCCTGGAAAAAATTAAAAATTACATAATTTTTCTTTCAAATAAATAGGATTATATTTGGCATAAAACTGATTATTCACTTTTAAGGGATTAGACAATAATAATACAGCAATTATAGTTTTCAGTTATATTTGAAAAAGGCATTTCTGATATTCTTTTTTAGCGCATTTTACAAACATTTGTCTTACACACTAGAATTTACTCGGAATTTAAATCAATCGAATTCTCAATTTGCGGATTGCAACCCTCTAATTGAACCGAAGTTAAAAGTCAATCCTAAAAAAGGATCCCATTTTTTATAAGACTATAAAGTTGCATAAACGAGCTTATGCTAAGGGCGCGGCGCTTTGCGGTCATCTTCTAATTTAATTTTGAACATTTGCTCTTTGTATAATGTATATATTGTAAAACAAAAACAAACAAAAGTTCACGGATTTTATAGAAAAAAATTAATGGATTTTCAAAAAATGAAAATCACCATTGTTGCGAGGCTACATTTTTTATTTAGATCATCCATAAACCTTTACTGGGGTCATGCGAGGTCCTTCACAAAATGTTGGCCCTTTCGGTTCATTTGTTTTGACGTTCATTGGACACAAACAAACAAAAAAAGCAGACTAGACAAGCAAAGTATATATATAGATAGAAGATAATAACAACTAGTTTTGTCTTGCAATGCTTTTTTCTTAACCTAGAAGACTATTTCTGAAGCTAGAATTGTACTTTCAGCTATTTTCTTGTGCGTTATTGGTGTAGAATATTGCATTAATATTCTTAAAAAAAGACATTAGAACATTAGAACCTGATAGATGTTGTTTTACCTGCATAGACATTTGTTCTTGCATAACCCTAGACTGATCTGCTGCATTATTCTCTCCTAGTACTAGACTGTATATACTCCTGTAAATAATAATAATAACTCATGTGTCCTAACTACAGTCTAAATGTCTCGTGACCCGGAATGTCCTATCTTGAGTCTAAATGTTTCGTGTCCTGTATCGAGTCTAAATGTCTCATGTCCTGATTTGTCCTGTATAGAATCTAAACGTCTTGTGTCTTGGGGTGTCTTTGGGTGTCTTGTCTCGATTATAAATGTTTCGTATCTTGGAGTGTCCTTTAGAGAGTATGTCTCGTGTCCTGGGTATTCTGTCTAAAGTCTAAATCACATGTCTCCTGTTCTGGATGGGTGTCCCGTCTACAGTCTAAAATTCTCCTGTCCTAGAGTGTCCTGTCTACAGTCTAGAATTCTCCTGTCCTAGAGTGTCCTGTCTACAGTCTAAAATTCTCCTGTCCTAGAGTGTCCTGTCTACAGTCTAAAATTCTCCTATCCTAGAGTGTCCTGTCTACAGTCTAAAATTCTCCTGTCCTGGAGTGTCCTGTCTACAGTCTAAAATTCTCCTGTCCTAGAGTGTCCTGTCTACAGTCTAAAATTCTCCTGTCCTGAGTGTCCTGTCTACAGTCTAAATCACATGTCTCCTGTTCTGGATGGGTGTCTACAGTCTAAAATTCTCCTGTCCTGCAGTGTCCTGTCTACAGTCTAAAATTTTCCTGTCCTGCAGTGTCCTGTCTACAGTCTAAAATTCTCCTGTCCTGCAGTGTCCTGTCTACAGTCTAAAATTCTCCTGTCCTAGGGTGTCATGTCAAAGGTCTAAACGTATCGTGTCCTAATTGTCCTGTCTAGAGTCTAAATGTCTCATGTCCTGTCCTAAGTCTAAACAAAATTAGCATCATTGTCAGACTGTATGGAATAAATGTAAAAAGTTTAGAGATATACCTGAGACCGAAAACATTGAGAAAGTACCAGGATACAGAGGAGACCCAGGCAGCATCTAGAGACTGTAGTTCAATACCTCGCTGCAGCATTGGTTTAAACCGTAGGGTCAAAGGAAACGGGACCTAACATCAAGACTATCAGAATACGGAGTTTTTAAAAATTAAATCACAAAAAAAATTAAATTACAAAAACATGTTTTAAATAAGTTTTTAATTAAATGCAGTCTGTACCAACCCATAAATCAATCAGTCAATTCAATAGTTTAGATCAAAATCTATGTCAAATCAAATAACAATCAATCTAGTATCCAATCGATCAACCAGAAAGTCAACCAACTTATCAATTTTTCAATGATGCAATAAACAAAACAATCAATCAATCAATCAACCAAAAAGTCAACCAACTGACCAAAATTTTATTGATAGAATCAATCCATCAACCAATCTTAAAGTTTTCAGAAAAAATAATTTGAAAAAATTTACCTTTGTTGTGACGAACCCGGAGAAATGCCAGTTTATCCATCCTCCAACCACCATCATGGGAACCATACTCGTCATGTTCCCCTTCACCATCTCCGTCATCATGCTTGGGTCCGTCATAGGGTTTGGAGGAGCTGTCGTTTTCCGGGTTCCAACCTTTATACAAAGCATTAATTTTTTTGGACTTTCCAAAATTCACTGAAAAATTAAAAACCAGCTTCTTAAATTAATTAAACCTCAATGCAAAGATGGCAATGCCGGATTCACAATGGTATCCTTTCTATATTAACTGCCAGGAGACCAACCAGAAAACAGCCCTGCATGGCTGCTCTCCTTCCGTTGAGAATCAATAAAAATCATATAAATTTAGTTTTATGCTCAACCTATCAAATTCTTTTGTTTTAAACTTAAGAGTATGTAAATAAATAAAATAAAAAATTTAACGTTGCAATTTCTTTTTTAACCTGTACATTTGAGTCTTTTTATATTCATAGCATTAGCTAGACATATATATTCTGTTGCAAAATGGTGTATTATTCGGACGTACTTATGAGATTGCAACAAAACGTGAGGACTGAGAATGCATTTTTCAAAGTTAAGTGTCTGCTTTGTCTGACCGAGAATAAATGAGATATCCATGATTTCTCCTTTTAAAAAAGGGTAATTTCCAATAGGTATTTCTCTAAAAGACTTGCGCAGATCTGCTATAGAAACAATGAAGAAAATTGTAAGAATAAATTATTTAAATCTAGAAAAACGAGGATATTTTCAACATAGTAAGAAGTAACGTGGTGAATTGGACATAGCCCTCATAAGATGAAGGGTGACTTGACATTAAAGTGATCGTTCTCTAATAATATGTACCTTGAGAATTCCAGTCTCCTCGTCGTTCAAGTAATTTTTCCTCATCAAGAAGGATTGCTTTGGTAGATATTTTCCGTTCTCTCGTAGAACTCTGAAATCGCATTAATTACTAGCTCTAGTGCCAGGCGTTGGCAATGGAATTAAAGAAACACTTTAAATAAATTTTCTAAAAATATTGAATTAAAAAATTCAGCCAATTCAGTCCAACCGTTATACCAGCTATTAATAACATATTTTTACAAATATATATAAGAGCGAAGAGCTTTATTATACAGATCTTCAGATTTCAGGTTTACATCTCCAAATCATCTAGTCGGGGAAATACTAAGTTTCTATTCAATTTGAAAAAAATGCATTCTAACAAAAAAAACATACTTCGCTTTAATGTTTTACCTTGCTCTAATTAAGGCTTGGCTGTCCTTGACTTGTTCAAGATCAACCTTCTTCTGAGATGATAGTAGGACGGATACATAATGTCTGAGTATACCTAGAGTAGGACGGATACATAATGTCTGAGTACCTAGAGTAGGACGGATACATAATGTCTGAGTATACCTAGAGTAGGACGGATACATAATGTCTGAGTATACCTAGAGTAAGACGGATATATAATGTCTGAGTATACCTAGAGTAGGACGGATACATAATGTCTGAGTTTACCTAGAGTAGGACGGATATATAATGTCTGAGTATACCTAGAGTAGGACGGATACATAATGTCTGAGTATACCTAGAGTAGGACGGATACATAATGTCTGAGTATACCTAGAGTAGGACGCATACATAATGTCTGAGTATACCTAGAGTAGGACGGATACATAATGTCTGAGTATACTTAGAGTAGGACGGATACATATTGTTTGAGTATACCTACTACCTAGAGTAGGACGGATATATAATTTACAATCTCACTATGTATTTGTCAAAATGTGACCATTGAGGAAATGGCCACCTATCAGGAAGTTTATCAGAAAGATGGGAAGGAAATGATTACCTATCAGGAAGTTAATCAGGAAGATGAAGGAAATGATTACCTATAAGGAGGTTGATGAGAAAGAAAGAAAGGAAATGGTCACCATCAGGAAGTTTATTAGGAAGATGGGAAGGAAATGATTACCTATCAGGACGCTGATCAGGAAGATACGAAGGAAATGATTACCTATCAGGAAGTTTATCAGGGAGATAGGAAGGAAATGATTACCTATCAGGAAGTTAATGAGAAAGATGGGAGGAAATGGTCACCTATCAAGAAGTTTATCAGGAAGATAGAAAGGAAATGATAACCTATCAGGAAGTTTATGAGAAAGATAGGAAGAAAATGATTACCTATCAGGAAGTTGATGAGAAAGATAGGAAGGAAATGATTACCTATAAGGAAGTTGATGAGAAAGATAGGAAGGAAGACCCAAGTTCTAATCGCAGGATCCAACTGCAGCTCCGGCTCTGACATTTTCTCTGAAACATTTAGAACAAAATTATATTTCCAGAGAAGATTGACAAAAAAGATGTTTAAAACACTTTTCGTTTGTTAAGCATAAAATAATATTAAAATATCTCCTTAAGTATAGGTTACATTAAACGCACAAAGACAACATTCATTCAAAGCAAGATGAAGCAATAATATTAAGTACATCCATACATTACTGCAGGGTGACGAGGGATAAAAACCAACACGTCGAGAAATTGTAAGATTTTCTTTTCCTTTTCTAAAAGTCAATGTTATGGTCGTCACCGTGCAGCTGGATCGTTTACAATGAGAACAATTTAATTCTGCCCGCCCTGGCATAGAATACCAGGGTGAGGGTGGAAATTATATTTTTATCAGCAGAGCTGCTGGGTTGGAAGGGGGGAACAATCCACGGGTAGTGATTTATCAACTCATCTTGAGTTAAGGGTTGTTCAGGGAGCTAAGACTAGGTCTTGGATTAACATGAAACCAGATTTAGTTTATTTTGCTTCAGGTGTACACGAGAGTACACCGAGGAGATTTACATCTACTCCAGGTACAAGGTACAATCTGCAGTACATGGTGTACAGTACAGATTACAATGCACGAGGAGTTAGATTTGCACCAAGTGCTAGATTTCTTAGATCTCTTCTTTAGAGTAGGATTGCACCTAGTTGCTTTATAAGGAACTCAGTGTCACAAAAACAAGATTTAAAATACAACCAAACATATAATGTAATCAACCCAGAACTAGAGGACATTTTACAAATTTCAAAATTAGATCTTACTTTCTAGTGCAGTCGAGTCCTGGGTAGAAATAGATAGATAGATAGCTACCAACATGAATTATGTACTAGGTATTATGCATAAGAATGGTTGAGGTAGATATACTAGGAGCTGAATACAGCAGAACCATTAATATTTCAGAGTTTAGAATAAACAAATTTACTTGGAAAATATTCCAATTACACTGCATCATAAAATATAGAATTACAAGAAGAAATTGTTTAAAAACACGAGACGTGTTTTACTGAGCGATTAGCTGAAATATAATTTTAGAAATTTGCGCCTTGAAATATGAGGTTTAAAGATAGTTTGACAATTGTTACCTATTGCATACATAACAGTCTGATAAATAACACATTAATTTCAATAAAATCATATGATTTGAAGCTGTGATTAGTTCAAAGCTTTTCTACTGTTTGAAAACAGAAATAAACAAAGTGCGGCGGGATTCTAAGAATCTGCCGAATTAAAAGTTTTTAAAAACCGTGGGTTAAAACACTGGGTAAGCAAGAGGGTTGGCCGGCGCGGCGGCAGGAAACTAGGGGGTCAGGTTGAAAACAATTAAGTAATTAAGGTGTCCCTCGGTGCAAAGATCCAAATGCCCGAATCACAACGGTAGCCTTGAACCTTTATCTGATAGAGCTAGCAATGAACAAGTTAATTTTGTATCGAAACGGCAACTGAAAATAATCAGTTTTTAAAATTTATTAACATGGATATCTCATTCATACTTGTAACAGCTTTTAAAGATAGCGTCGTCAATCGGGCATTGCTATTTTTCCATGGAGGGTCACTTAAATTTTGTATAGTGTCCCTTTATTCTGTTGTGAATCGTTACTGGCAATCTTGGATATAAAAACTATGAATTTTATTGTTCGCCAATATTAAATAGTTAAAGGTCAACATGTACCCTCGAGTTTCACGACTAACCTAATTCTTAAAGAATTAACGTAGCTTGATTATAAGTGTGTTTACGATACAATATAAACATTATTTGATGAAACTTGACACAGTTAGAAATTACTTAGTCTCAAAGGTTATTACAGTATTCCTGTATCACATAACTTGACTACTAAAACAATTCAGTTTAATTAATCTACCAATGGCCTATGAAGCTTAATACTGCACAAATATCATATATTCTGTTGTTATCCATCAATAAGCCCTGAGATAATTTGTACTGTTGTACAATTTACAGAATATCCTCTCTTAAGAACAGAATTATACAAAGCCGAGGTTATTGTGTACATTTGACATAAACAGAACTAATTGTTATTGCTTGAGACGGATAAAACTGAGATTAAGTTTATGAACTTAAACTAAACTTAAGTGCAGTATTTTACTTCAATAAAAACTTGTGTTGGTTGGGCCTACGAGTAGTTTAAAGATAGGAAGCTAATTTTGTAATGCACATTCATCCATATATATATGTAAATGCTAAAATATGTAAATCTCTTAAATTGTTAAAAATAAATATTCTGAAGTTCCAACATCTAAGGCAGCGGAGTGTAGAATGTTACACCCTGTAGCTGAGGTATTGGTTCATGACGAGGTAAAATCAGTCTTTGAGGTAAATATTTTGATCACCCTGTAATCTCTGAACTATTAACTAAAACAAACATATTACTTTTTGTTATAGTTTTTTAAAAATTCAGTCAGATTCACTTTTGTCTTACTTTGAATAAGAATCTTTAAAAAAAAATTGTGAAAATTTTAATGAAAATGTTGATGAAAATGTTGATGAAAATGTTGATGAAAATGTTGATGAAAATGTTGATGAAAGTGTTGTTGAAAATGTAGATGAAAATGTTTATAACATGTGAATAAAATGTTTGTATACATGTGTATAAAATGTTTGTTTCCATGTGAATAAAATGTGTGTTTACATATGTATAAAATGTTTGTATACATGTGTATAAAATGTTTGTATACATGTGTATAAAATGTTTGTTTCCATGTGAATAAAATGTGTGTTTACATGTGTATAAAATGTTTGTATACATGTGTATAAAATGTTTGTTTTCATGTGAATAAAATATGTTTACATGTGTTCAAAATGTTTGTTTCCATGTGAATATAACGTTTGTTTCCATTTGCATAAAATGTTTGTTTCCACGTGTATAAAATGTTTGTTTACATGTACGTGTAAAATGTTTGTTTACATGTGAATAAAAAGTTTGTTTCCAAGTGAATGAATTGTTTGTTTCCATGTGTATTAAATGTTTGTTTCCACGTGTGTAAAATGTTTGTTTACATGTGTATAACATGTTTGTTTTGTATTAAATGCTTGTTTACATGTGTATAAAATGTTTGTTTCCATTTGTATAAAATGTGTGTTTATTTGTGTATAAAATGTTTGTTTACATGTGTAGAAAATGTTTGTAAAGTTTCCTTGGCAAGATCTAAAAGATCTGAACTCTGTGAAGGCTGTCCACAACAACTATATAACCATCAGGAGTCATACAGATACCCTACAAATCAAATCAAATCAAATCAAATCAAATCAAATCAAATCCTGAATTTTAGGGAATGCATTAGGCTCCATTAAGCAGCCTGGAGGTTCAATTTCCGATTGTTAAATGGATTTCAGCCCGGATCTGATTTTAATTTTGACATTTGCTATAAATCTTTCTAATGATTTTTACAATCCAGACAATTATTTAAAATTTTTATAAAACTTGGTAAAATCAGAACTTTTTCTCTTTCATTTTTTTTTTTTTTTAATCCAACTAAAGATGAATTTTATCTAATCCAACTAATGAATTTTAACGGATTTCCGTTTAGTCAGAACTTGTTATTTAACCCAAAAGAGAACGATTATTATCTTTGCAATAAACTTAAATAGTTCCTAACTCAGTTAATCACTGAAGTTGCTGTTTTGTTAAAGAAATGAAGGGGTGGGGGAGTCATCGCTCTTTTAAATATAAATACCATTCTCGTTTAAAGGGACTATAAGCGTAATTTCAAGTGACCACTCATGCAAAGATGGCATTGCCTGATTAAACCGATGCCATTGAAACCTTTATCTAATCAATAACGTGGAAGATTTGTCAGTGTTCGAGTTTAATGATGATATTTCCTAAATGTTGCCTTTTTAATGAGAAATCACATTTGAAAATAATCAGTTTTTAGCCTATAACACCCCCCGGCCACCCATAAGTGTCCACAAAAAAATTAAATTGTTAACCTGTGGAGTTTCAAACTCCCCGGGGCCGGTTCCTTTACTTCCAAACTTCTTGATAAAAGTTCCGTTGGCAGAGAACACCTGAAGTAGAATTTGAAAACCATCAGTATTCAGCAGTGTATAAAAACGCCAAGAATAAGATGTACTTTTACGTAAATAAGAGATTGTACTTGCACATTATTATCATTATTATTAACGGACAACCTTGCATTTGATGCATTCTTAAGATTGTTCCAGATGTTTATATTTGTCAGAATAACCCGCCCCCTGGAGGGAGGGGGGGGGGTATTTTGATG